TTTTTCTCGTGATTGGTTTATTTTGGTCCTGGTCTCACTCACACGTACGTAGTCGGAAAATATCTAGCTAGTAATCTAGAACAGGAACTGATTTTTCTTCATAGTTCCCTTACTGTTTCTTCATAGGTGTTTAGATAAAGTCTTTTGATGTTCAGTATAATCACATTATAAGCATCACCTAGTAATCAACTTACAATGAAGTTGTAAAAGACTTTATTTGTTTTAATATCTACAATGAATTTATATATTTACATGCTAGTTCTATTAGCAGTTAAATTTTCAATTACATGTTTATATATACCTAAATATTTATTCAAGTAAATACATGATATTGACTCTTCGTTCGGGTAGAAATATGTCAATTCTAATTTTATGAAGTATTATATAAGTATTTATGTAAAAAAAAATTATATATCGTTTAAACTTTTATACACAAAATCATGTTTTGGGAGCCACAGACATTTCGTGGACTTGGCCATCTTGGCGGTTGTCAACCCTTTCTTTTGGCTCTTTTTGCATTTACTCAATTGTTTGTATTTTTATGTATTAATTTAAAATATCTTTTTCTAGATATCCCATTTCACTTTCATATTTTTGTTCGCATATCCCACAATTTTGGTTTCCATATCCAAAACTAAAATAAAATAAAAATATTCCTCCATAAGAGTTATGAATAGTTACGTCCCATACAAGAATTACCGATTCGTCAAATGATTTTGAAAGTTTCATAAATGACTCATTTAAAATAACGAAATGCTTCCTTAAATGCTCGTCATCTTCTCAAGCAAAAGAATTTACAAACTAGAATAAATTTACAGCCACCAAAATTAAACATATATAATGCACCTTGACAATTAAACATATATAATGCACCTTGACAATTAAACATATATAATGCACCTTGACAAAAAAAAACAAATAATCTATATTCTTAGAAGAAAAAAAATATATATATATATGCTGTATAAATATGGAGCAATAGGTGACGCCAACATCTTATATCATGATGAGCCGGCTTATGAATACAACAAAGGCATCGTCGTGTTTGATTGATAAGATATTTTTGCAAGTTGTTAGAAAATGATAGGAGGAAAAGTAAATTAAGGTATGACCGGACATACAATACAGCAATTATATAATTATCATAAACTATTTCTTTCTCACGCGTATACAAATATCTTTGAAGCTAAAAAAATAATGTGATAATATTTTTGTGTGTGTTTTCTTTCATCAAGGTAAAGCAGTATCTATACAATCTCTTCATATCACTATTTTCTTGCCGCTTTGCTGAATAGTTTACACTAAGTGGTTATGTTTTGCTAGGACATGTTGATGTTTTTTGTATATAAGTTGTGTTAATTATATTTACTTCTAAGTTTTAAAGATTGACAATACAATTTTGGGCCTCAAAACAAACAAATGTACTGATTACGGTAAGAATGTTGTCAAATGAACAGTGATATGGCCAAAAGTAAAATAATATAAACCTCAATTGTAGATTTTTTAATTATTATTACTATGATTTTGATAGGGAGTGAAAAAATGGTATGGCCAGAATTAAATAAACAAACCAAAATATGGGGTTTCTGAGAGATGGCCATAGGAGAAAACCGACCAAATTGCATGGAAGAATAAGACCGACGTACAATTTTATGTTTATCTTCTGCTTATGTGTGTGTTGTATGGACCGCCCAACCAATAATGCAGCCACAAGTTGATCGCAGAATGATTTGTCGTCACTTACACAAAATTACAAATTCTAACTTTTTTATAAAATAAATTTTAATTGTGGGGACAAAACTTAATGCACGAAAATGACTATATATGTCGCATCTCTTCTACAACTAATTAATCCAGACCTTCAAACAAAATGCTTGTTGACAGTTTACGATATTTTCATATACAAAGAAGAATCTTTATGAGCTCAAGATTTTGTTTGGACCGACCAGGCAGCATGCATAACCTCGTGGAGAGATTCGAGAGCTGAAGTCTCTATAATGAGACATTATTGAACGTTATAAGAGATCGACTGCGACAATTAATGTTCGTATCAATATAAATTCGATAGAATTGATTAGTGAATTGATGAAATGGACTCTCACTTTTATATTTATAACGTAAGAATACATTGATGAATAATTGTATATAGTTGTTTCACTTTTAGTTGCGCGTAACATGTACACGAAATCATGTTATACATATAAAAATTTCAGATGGCAAAAAAACTTGAATCCAATCGAACAATAAAAACAAACTGCACCATGTTATTAATGTTTTTTTATAGTCCATTGGTTTGGTTGTGTAAAACTGTCGACACCCGACAGCACGAGACTGAGAGTTAGAAAACGAGAATGTGAGCGTTGTTGGCGTCATGAAAATGGATAAATGACGTACGAGAACGTGAGAGGATCTAAACCAGACGATAGCTAAGGTAGACAACAAGACAAGAGCCCCCACAAGCACCGTCGGATATAAATGACGATGGGGTCAAATATGCTTGACTCTCTGACTAGAGACGGACCCAGGACTCGACTCTGACACTCCGTTGACTCTCTGACTTCATCAATTTGATTACACATATCTACTAGATATGTACTGTGTTCTTTCCCATTCTTTTAATAACAACAAACCAAAACTTCTTTCTCGTTGAGTGTTCTTTATTCCTATACGCATTTTCTGCTCTAGATTGTTCTTTTTCCAAGAATCACGCTCGAGGTAGGGGGGGACCTTACGATATTATCTTAGTTAGTTTTCATTAGGATCGACACAAACACATACATTTATCTTATGAGACTATGTATAGTTTTTTTATTTAAAAACACCTAGATTGAGTTTTGAGTGTGTGAAGATCTCTTATCTCTCTATTCAATATGTTTGTTTGCATTGATATATGGTAAACATTCTCAAGGATTTGAATATGAGCATAGTTCAATAAGTTTGTTAGAAACCATTAGACTGAAAATAAATAAGTGTACTATTAGCTAGCTAGGACATATATATATGGTCGGAGAAGTCGGGCCATGAAATAAAAAGAGATGTCTCTTTGTAGGACAAAAAAGATTAAATGATAAGGCCGATATCTCGTGAATCTCTTCGTCCGTTTCTTCCGTTGACTTAAAATCTAGTAATTAATTATCACCAAAATAATTACAACTTTTCTCTTGTTTTTTTTTTTTCTATTATATAAATTTTGTTTCTCTTGTAATGTTTTTCCATGTTCTTTTTGGATCTATTATTCTCTGTTTATCGTCACTTCTTTCGTACAATCCATCTTTCTGTTCTGTTCTGTCATGATAATCTACGTGTGTGTAACTTTGTCTATACACGTGTTTCTATGGAAGTTTCTTATGGAAAAGTCAACGTGTTCTAAACGACAAATTTTTAAGTTTTGTTTCTGTGTATATATAGCTTATATATATGGATTCATGTATTTTTGTGTATTATTGAAATCTTTCACGGACCTCTTTGTTTATATATATATATATATATATCTTCTTGTGAAAGTCAACGAGTCTTGGAAATAATATATAGAAGTAAAACGAAAACTAGATAATAATCAAGGAATTTTGACATGTTGTTTTGATTTTTGTATGTATTTCTCCTTTAGTGTATTAGAAAAGATGAATCAACGTTAATGATAATTAAGTTTCTTTAATAGGTTTTATGATCATTAAGTTTCTTTAATAAGTTTAATGATAATTATGTTTAGTACAGCTCTATCAATATTATATATATATATGTATAATTTTGAAGATATAAGCAAAACATATGAAAAAACTATACTATTTTTGCTACCAAAATTTAAGTTAAAATCGGTTCCATTAGTGGGTTGCCTACCTTAGAAGAAAAGAGTTATAGAGTTTTACATTAGTAAAATCTAACTATAACCTATATGTTGAATTTACAACATAATCATGTGCATTCTTTGTTTTCCTCATGGATACATGACGACTAAATATTTTGACTTTTACTCTCTGTGACCTCTCTGGAACGTTTTCTGATTTATACTCCACGAAAAGATATATAAAGCCGTGGAAATTCCTCATTCAAGGTGATTATTAGTGACTTCAAAAGTCCACTCAGGTTTCACTTGAGTCAGTAATGCATCTCTAACTTGCAGAACTTTTGATAAGCTTTTTAACACTACTCAACCTCTCTCATATTATTGCTTATCCAAGATAATCCGACAACAATGTAAACAATGTTTATTGCTTCTTCTCAATACTCTTTTGTACACAACAATTCAATAAGAAGTACATTAACAACAATAAACTAATTAACAAGAACAAAAGAACATTTTTTTGAGTGTAGAATCTTTGCATTCCTCAGATTCTATCCTCCACACTCTGTCTAATGGCGACTGGTCACTCTCACAATTCACATGCCCCATTTCTTATTCTGCTTCCTCTCAAGCCAAAACTTCCTTTTATGTTACAAGTTCGTCACCACCTCCAGCTAAACTCATGTGCCTTGCACACTCTTCTCAGCTTCAATCATATGTCTCTTTCTCCTGAAATATACTCTTTCATAGCTTAGCAATTGTATCCAACTCACAACTCCTTTTCAAGCCCGCTAAAGTACTCACTGTTTTAAACTTGAATCTCCATGAGTTTATCAAATTTCTAACCAATTTTCTCAGTTTTTCTTTTTTTCAACAATGCCACAAAGAAAAATAGATTTATATTGTCCACAGTTGCAGAAGGCGGCAATTTGAGAAGACTCCATTCAACAACAAGCAACTAACTCACAAAGTCCTTCTCCCAAACAGAACCAATAAAACATTATAAATGAGAAAAGTGAAAGATGAGTTGAATATTAACATTGTGAAGTAGCTTCAGATGATGAGCTGCAGATGCTAGCATTAAAATCAATATGAGACTAAGTTGAGTTGTGAAGAATTCAATGGTTAAAATGTGTAGTGTCAGTGTAAGATCAACAAAAAGTAAGAAAGATAATTCTGTCAAGTTTAGCTTGCGTCAGTAGAACTTGAGAGATAGAGAGATCACAAGTCGCAAGTAAAATCACTAATAAATTTTAGTGTTAAAAATGATCTGTACATAAGTAAAACATTTGGACCAAAGAAGACAAATCTAGAAGATACAACAACATACACTTTGAGCTCTCTCTCTCTCTCTCTCTGAGCCTAATTATAATCTGGATTGATCTTTGTCATCTCTTTGTTTCGTTTTCTGATAATTTGTCTCTTAGATCTTTAAGAGCATCAACGACTTCAGAATCAAGATTGTGTTTCAGCAATCTCCCTTGGAAAGATGTTGACCTGTAAAAAAAAGTAGTCAAGAGTTTTCTCAGTTTTTTCGGGTTAGCTCCAACTGCAGAATTTAAAAACACAAAAGTTTCCAATGTACCTTGTTTCTTGCATCATTCTCTCAACCTCTTTATGCATTGATTTGATCTACAATATGATGTTTCACAAGATCACATGAAACTCAAATCACAAATATCGAAAAAGGCAACTGATTTGGTGATCATACCTCAGAAACCAGTGCCTTGCTACTCCAAATATAAGCTCCCTGTCAAGAATTAGTCACCCATATCAAAAACAAGATATGAGCATAACGATTTTTTACATCAATATGATGGGCAATACCGCTCCATGAGCTGCTTGTTGTTGACAAACATCAGATGTTACAACCCAAACCTTGGGGCATCCATCTTCTCTCAAAGCAACCACCTATCAATTTAATTCACAAATCTTATCAGAAATGATGAAACATCGATGATGATTCCAGAAAACCCGTCTGTTTGAACCCTTCGACGAAAAGAAATCATATTTCCTTGCCTCCTTTTCAATCCAAGCGTCAGCGCAAGTTTCTCCTGAGAAAATCACATCAACACTGGCAAAAAAGGAGAAACCTTTTTTAGTTGTTAAAGTAAATAAGGATATGAAAACAACTATTAAGTCAGACAAGGGCCAAATGACTGTACCCTGCAAAGTCTTCCTTGTGAGTAGGGAGACCAGACATGAGAGCATCAAACACAACCACTACCTTAACCTCTACAACAAATTAAATTCAAATTGTGGCATATCAAAAATGTCAACTCAAATTGTGGCCTTAGCCAAACTGAGCCATAGATGAAATCAACTTTAAATTATTCCAAGGGTTGTACCTTTAACCATACTGAAGGACACAAGTTCATCAACTAACTTCTGCCGAGCAACGTCAAGCCTTCCTTTCATGAAATGTTTCTTCAGCTTCATCCAATATCCACACACATTATAACCATCAACAAGCAAAACAGGAACTGCATCGTCCAATAGACCCTGATTCGTGCTGTAAAACCGCTTTCAGGGAACACAAACATTCCTTAGAATTTCAAACCTCAAAAGTCATTCTTGAAACAGGTAAATGAGAAACTTAAAAAATAGTGTGTAATTACTAGTAAAGCGTATTTGTAGGATCCCGGTAGAGCTCGCTATCATCCGGTAACTCATCTTTCTCTGCTTTCTTCTTCCTGTAACTAGTCGCTGGCTTAGCCATGCCAGATCCTCTGCTCTGAAACTCCTACATATATATCACACAATTCCAAAGATTAGAATTTAGAAAACTCCTTGAACACTAATGCTTAGACTTTATTACATAGTAGTAGTGAAACAAAAATATCACACTCCTACATGCCTTCCATAACTTCAGAAGCTGCAAGTTATGCTTAACGTTGGATTTGATTCTAGGTGGTTCTGGCTCTGAATCCTGCTATCAAAAACCAAAATCAAATCAATGGTTGCAAAATGCTCAATAAACATTCATCATATTTATCTAACTCCGATGGTACTCATGCTAGAGAATCTCTAAAAGGAACCAAACTGAGAATTGCAGAATTCATACAAACCTATCAACATTATTAATCATACAAGATCAAATCAATGAATGTGAAATGCTCATATGGATATCTCCATCATATTCATAATTCCAATAATAGATCTTAATGTTAACACCAATTAAAATTCTCAGGAATTCCCAGTTCATATTAGAGTAAAAAGACACTTTTTAATTCTCAAAGACGAAACCTTTACATAAATGTGTATCGTGTATGGACCTTAAAAGAAGAAGATTGAGGCTTCTTGCTTTTTCCTCCTCCCATCTTCACCACCAAAACTCTACAGCTATCGGAGGAGCAAGAAGATGAAGACCGAGAAAAGTAAGCGGCGGAGGAGGAGGAGGAACCACCTCTATGCGGCGGCGCTCCGGCGGTTTTCATCTATTGACTAGTGTTTTCATTCGTCACGAAAAGTCTTATGTAACTCAACTAGTGGATAATATCATGTCAACGTTATGGTTTTTTATCAACGCATTATATCTTCTAAAAAAAATCAAATTTTTATTTCAAGTAAAAAAAAAGGATCCTTTTTTACTGCAAGAAGTGTTTTTATTTCCTATCTTCTAAAAAAAACTTATGTAAGAGAGAGAAAAAATCAAATCTTTGTGAGCGTTTAAAGATCATCAATGGCGAAGGAGACAGTGTGTGTGACCGGAGCTAATGGTTTCATCGGATCTTGGATAATCCGAACGTTGGTTGAGAAAGGTTACACCAAAATCCACGCTTCGATTTACCCAGGATCCGACCCGACTCATCTCCTCAATCTACCCGGATCCGAATCTAAGATCAAGATCTTCGAAGCGGATCTCTTAGACTCCGACGCAATCTCCAGAGCTATTGATGGATGTACTGGAGTATTCCACGTGGCGTCACCTTGTACGTTGGATCCACCGGTGAATCCAGAGAAGGAGCTGGTCGAACCAGCGGTTAAGGGAACTATCAATGTGTTGGAAGCTGCAAAGAGGTTTAATGTGAGACGCGTGGTGATCACTTCATCTATCTCCGCTTTGGTTCCTAACCCTAGTTGGCCGGGAAGTGTCCCCGTTGATGAGTCCTCGTGGACCGATCTCGAGTATTGCAAGTCGATGCAGGTTCGTTAAATCTCGGTTTATAATTTATTTATTACAATAATGTTTTGGTGATATTTGTAACAATTTGTGTATAATTTCGATTTTTAGAAATGGTATCCAATATCGAAGACATTAGCTGAGAAAGCAGCTTGGGAATTTTCGGAGAAGCATGGAACCAACATTGTCACGATCCATCCATCAACATGTCTCGGACCACTTCTGCAACCGAACCTAAACGCAAGCTGTGCCGTTTTGCTACAGCTTTTACAAGGCTCCACCGAGACGCAAGAGTATCACTGGCTTGGTGTGGTGCATGTGAGAGATGTGGCTAAAGGTCAAGTGATGCTATTCGAAAAACCTGAAGCTTCTGGTCGGTTTCTATGCACTAATGGGATTTATCAGTTCAGTGAGTTTGCTGCTCTTGTGTCCAAACTCTTCCCTGAGTTTTCTATTCACAAGTTTGATAAAGAAACTCAACCCGGGCTTACGTCTTGTGATGACGCGGCTAAGAGATTGATTGAGCTCGGTCTGAATTTTACTGATGTGGAAGATGCGGTTAAGGAGACGGTCCAGAGTCTTAAAGACAAAGGCTTCCTCTAAGAATTTATATGTTATCTTTGCAAATTTCAATGTCTGTGACCTTTATTGTATAATACAAGTAGAGGAGCTAAGAAGTAAACTTGTTTTTATGATACATATATAAGTACAAGGTATTATTATCATCATTGTTGTTGTTGACTACGCGGTTTTATTGAGCTGAGAGAGTAGCTTATGGTTCACGGAATCAGATGGTGGAAGGAGCATCTGGCTGCTTCTCTGGGAGAGCATTTTGAAAAACAGGAAGATCATTGTATGACTCGTAACACTTTGCAAGAGTTGGGTAAGGTTCCTGTGGAAATCCATACAAAAGAAGAACACGGTTTACCAAATTGTAGAAGTTAAAACCAGCTGATGGACGAGAAATTAACAAACTGAGGATTTGTCTATGTTACTATAATAGGACTATCTTTGTATAGGTGAGTGTGAGACAGAGATAACATATGATTCATGCTACAGCAAAACTAATCCAGGATTCAAAGGCGCTTGGGGATCTAGTATGCAAAAGTTTCTGGACCTGAAACAATGTAAGGTAGTGGAAACATAGTTTAAAGAAGGAAAAATACCATGTTTATCTGGAATCTGTTGATTGCTCCATGGATCTGTGGTGCTAGAAAGAGATCAGCCTGCCAAGTAATGCTTCATGGCTTTTAACACTTTGACCACTTACAGCTTTATAATAAGGGTAGTGACAAAAGAATCACTGAAGTATTTCTTAAGTCCAGAGAGATTTAGAGTAGTATACCAGGTAAATTTCATCACCAGTGGCATGTTTCCCAGCGCAACTCACCAATAGCTTCTCGAGAGCTGAAAGAGAAATGAGACATTATTACAGAGGTCAGTAAAGCCTCAAGGCAGCAAACAATAACAGAAACATTAAAGAGGTGAATGGTACCAATTAGGTACTACCAAGCATAAGAACTTGGATATGATTAACAGAGAAGTGAGAAGATTTTCATACACTTCTACCACAGTATATCAACTACTTACAACGTTGTCTTGGTTCTTGATTACGTTTCCGTATCTTACTTATATTCCATGAAGAATGGATAAGGATACATTAGAGACCACACACCTGTGAACCCTTTATTGATAGCGTTATTAACCCAAGAAGTTTTCTCCTCCGCATTTACCTTCTCCTCGATATACCTCTGTTAATCAGGAGAAAAAAATAACTAAATTTACTCTATCTTGAACTTCCAACTGTAGAATCTGAGAAATTGACATCAAACGCATGTCCTTACAATAACAGCCAGATTTTGATGAGGCTGTATGCCAGACAAGACAATACTCATTGCCTGAAATATACAAAGTGAGAATGCATCAATCAGTGTATGAAGCAGGACAATCTAAGCTGGAATTGTTAATGGCTTAATGGTAACACATGTAACAAAGCAGGAGTCAAAGAAAGAAACCGAGAAGCCAAGATTTAACCGAAATAACAGAAGACTGAAATACCTGGTAATTAACCGCCCGCTTATGGAGGTCACGAGGTAACAGAGGTGGCTCAGGATACTTCTCATCCAGATACTGTCATGTCAATTAAAAAACCCACAAAACTCAAGATTGATGAAATGTTACAAAACCACAAGCAAAGAAAACCTCCAAGGCAGTATTACTGACCATTATAATGGCAAAAGAATCATTAATGACAACACCTCCATCAACAAGCGCTGGTACAGTACCCATTGGATTGATTTTCTTGAAATCTCGAGAATCAAAACGATAAACTTTTACCATAAGAAACCAGTTAGCAGTATAATCTGTTAATGACTCAAAGCTTCTAAACTTTATTTCAATCAAGTTCTCTAGCTATAAAAGGCTCATAATCACACCTCTCATTCCACACATTCTCATCTAGTTCAACCAAGTTCATTATAACCAAGAATCGGAATCAAAAGCAAGTAAAAAACTGGGAAATCTACGTACCTGGATCGAATTGATCCCCTTTGAGCAAGTTCACTGGTATATACTCATAATCAATCCCTGAAAACAATCAAACAAGAATCCAAATTTCAGATCATACAATAACAACTCTATTGTTCTGTTCACAAAAATGACGACAGCAAAAATCATAGAGGAGACCTTTTAAAGTGAGGGCGATACGGACGCGATGAGCACACGAGCTTCTCCAGTAAGAATAGAGCTTCAACTTCTCTGCGCCAGAATTCGCCTGATCAAATTTTGGAAAAAGGCAAAAAAAATCAGATAACGGGGAAATTGAGTGGAGACGATGATTATAAACTAAGATAGAAAGAGAGAAAGAGATTTGTAAAATTAACCATGAAATCTTTCGTGAAGGAACTGTTGTTCTAAGCAGATTCTTCGTTGAGAGCTTCTCCTTCCAATTTATTTGTATTGTATAGAGAAAGAAGAAGAAGAAGAAGAAGAAGAAGAAGAAGAAGAAGTGGCGAATTTGGAGACGACAGTGTGAAAAACAAAACGATCGAATTTGTCTTTTGGTGTCAAAATGACAAAAACACACTTATGCGACGGAATTGTTTATAATAGTCTTTATGGCAATTAATTACAGGAAGAAAAGATGAAAAGGGACGAAAAAAAAAAAGAAAAGATGAAAAGGTTTTGGTGTTTTTGTTATATCCCACATCGCTCGACTACGAATTTATCACTCTTGGACTTGGTGTATATAACAGAAGCTTGATGGACCGAACAATTCATACCTTTCTCGGCCTTTTGGCTAAGATCAAGTGTAGTATCTGTTCTTATCAGTTTAATATCTGGTACGTGGGCCATCGGCCTACACGATATTAACTCTATTTTTTAAGGGAGAAAGCCCGTTAAGATAGCTTGCTATCTGGGCTTTCACGAGTCGCCCATGCGTTGCACTATTGCACGGGCCTGGCTCAACCCGCCATTATCATAGTCCAATAATTTTATTAAACTGAAAAACCAAAAGTTGTAATTAACACTGGAATCAGTTGCACACTAAACGCCGATTATTAGAATTTAGGAGTTATTTTTGCAAATTTTCAACTCTCAGACCTTAATTTGTATAATACAAGTGGAGCAACTAAGAAGTAAACTGGTTTATATGATACATATATATACCAGTACAAGGTATTATTATCATCATTTTTGTTGTTGACTATGAGGTTTTATTGAGCTGAGAGTAGCTTACGATTCACAGAATCATATGGTGGAAGGAGCATCTGGCTGCTTCTCTGGGACAGTATTTTGAAATGCAGGCAGTTCGTTGTATGACTCGTAACACTTTGCAAGAGTCGGGTAAGGTTCCTATACAAGAGAAAAACATGTTATACAAATTGTGGAATAGAAATCAAGTGATGCGAGGGAGAAGTTAAGAGTTGAGACACTGAGAACTTCGTCTATGTTACTACAAAAAGACTATCTTTGTATCTGTGAGTGTGAAACTGTGAGAGTTAATTTTATAATTCATGCTGCCATAAAACTCATCTCCAGGAATTTAGAGATATATATTACACAAAAATCTAGAACTGAAATGAATTCGTGTACCGAGGGAAGAGTTTAGAGAAGGAAAAGTACCATGTTAATCTGGAATCTGTTGATTGCCGCATGAATCTGTGGTGCTAGAAAGAGATCAGCCTGCAAAACAATGCTTCACGGCGTTAACACTTGTCTACTTAATGGATTGTAGGAAGAGGATACCATAGAGAAAATTGAGAAACATTAGAACTGTGTACCAGGTAAATTTCATCACCAGTCGCATGTTTACCCGCGCAACTCACCAACAGTTTCTCGAGAGCTGAAAGAGAAATGAAAGATAATTAGATTGGTAAGTGTAAACCTTGTAAAGGCAGCAAGTGGTAACAGTAAACATCAAAGAGATGATGGTAGTAAGCATAAAGGATGGATATGTTCAACTGAGAACTGAGTAAAACTATCGCACCATCCAGCATAGTATCAACCAAAACCATTCAACATAAGTCTTGGTTCTTGATTACACCAATCCTATGGCACTGAGATATGGTAGATTTGAGATCCCATACCTGTAAATCCTTTTGTGATAGCGTTTTCCACCCAAATAGTTTTCTCCTCCGCATTTATCTTTACCTTTTCCTCGATATACCTCTGTACAAAACTGAAAAATGTAACTAGGTTTGCTTTATCTAGTACCCTACCCACAAAGATAGAATCTAAGATTTTAATGTCAATCTCAATGTACTCACAATAACACCCATATTTTGATGAGGCTGTATGCCAGACAAGACAATACTCATCGCCTGAAATATACAAATAACAGTGCATCAGAGTGGGAAGCAGGACAGTCTAAGCATAATTCAAAGAAAGAAACCGAGACTTGACCGAAGTAACAGAAGATAAAAACTTTGAAGTACCTGGAAATTAACGGCCCTTTTATGGAGGTCAAGAGGTAACAGAGGTGGCTCAGGATACTTCTCATCCAGATACTGTCAATTAAAAACCCACAAAACTCAAGATTGATGAAATGTTACAAAACCACAAAGAAAGCAAACTTCCAAGGCAGTGTTACTGACCATTATAATGGCAAAAGAATCATTAATGACAACACCTCCATCAACAAGCGCTGGTACAGTACCCATTGGATTGATCTTCTTGAAATCTCGAGGAACAAAACGATAAAAATTTGTACCATAAGAAACCATTTAGCAGTAAATTCTGTAAACGAGCTTCTGCACTTTATTTTAATAAGTTCTCTATAACCTTGAATCCGAATCAAAAGCAATTAATCCGACACTAACACCTCTCATTCCACACATTCTCATCCACTTCAATCAAGTTCATTATAACTTTGAATCAGATTCAAAAGCAAGTAAAACTGGAAAACTACGTACCTGGATCGAACTGATTCCCTTTGAGCTTCACTGGTATATACTCATAATCAATCCCTAAGAAAACAATCGAACAAGAATTCAAATTTTGAGATCAAATAATAAACGACAACACTCTTTTGTTCTCTTCACAAAAATGACGACAGCAAAATCATAAAGGAGAGACCTTTTAAAGCGAGGGCGATACGGACACGATGAGCACACGAGCTTATCCAGTAAGAGTAGAGCTTTATCTTATCTGCGCCAGAATTCGCCTGATCAAATTTTGGAAAATGGCAAAAAAAAACAAATTTACGGGGAGATTCAGTAGAGACGACGATGATAAATAGAAATAAATTAGTAAAATTAACCATGAAATCTCTTAGGAAGTAGTGTTGTTCGTCGTGGATTCTTCAGTTAAGAGTATAGAGCTTGTTCAGCGTCTCCTTCCGATTTATTTATATCTGAAGACGAAGAAGAAGTGGCGAATTCGGAGACGACAGTGAGAAAACCAAAACGATCAAATTTGTTGTTTTGTTATCCAATTGTTCTCGGTTTAGTGATATCAAATTGAACCGGAAATCTATTAACTTGGTTCAAAGAAAAGGTTTTGGTGTTTTTCTATATCCCACATCGCTGGACTATGAATTTATCACTCTTGGACTTGGTGTATATAATAGAAGCTTCATGGACCATACAAATCATACCTTTCTCGGCCTTTTGGCTAAGATCAAGTGTAGTATCTGTTCTTATCAGTTTAATATCTGGTATGTGGGCCATCGGCCTACGCGATATTAACTCTATTTTTTAAGGGAGAAAGCCTATTAAGATAGCTTGCTATCTCGGCTTTCGCGAGTCGCCCATGCGTTGCACTACTGCACGGGCCTGGCTCAACCCGCCAATAACATAGTCCAATCTGACTTTTAACATAAGTATCCGGTTTCGCCTTCAAATTGTTCTCGATTTAGTATTATCAGATTGAACCGGAAGTCTTGGCTAAGTAGCAAAATGAAGAAGAGACTATAAAGTCTAAACGGTACACCTCGATTTGATTTTAGACTTGAGACGCTACGGCACCTAACTGCAAAAATATTGTGTTTAGCTTAAGTAATGCTTTGATGATTTCTTACAAGATCACTAACCTTTTCAACAGTAGAAGTATTGAAATACACTCCTACATCGCATAGACAGAGCATCCAGATTTTCATACCGCACTATTGAAGCCTAAATGCTTTGTTTTATTTATTTTTAGAATCAGTGGCACACTACTATAATCCCAATCATGACTAGTCTTTCCTACTACATCAGACATCTTTTTCTTTACCCCTTTTTGTTATTTACTCTTTAACCTATCATAGCTTCTTGTCAACTTAATTGGGTTAAGGCAATCGCCGATTATTATCTTCTTCGTGTTGAACAACATCCTTCATCTCAAATATCGGCTGTTTTCTTACTGGAACTTCTTCATCTTCATTAGCTTCTGCGTTTTGAAGATCTCTCAAAGCTCTTTTCGCGTATACAGTGAAAGCTACAGTTGTCACGACCGCAATTATCAAGGAGATGACGTTGTACACAATCTCCACTGTTGTCAAACGTTGATGTCCGTATTGCACATCAGCGAATGTTCTGATCAACCGACCGCTGCATATGAATCCGATCCAGTTTTAGGATTAGGTTTTTCAAGTTTGTGATTTTTAACTGTTAAAAGTCCAGGGAGAGTAAGACTGACCTGTAAATGTAGATGAAAGCTTCTGGTATCATTCCTGCTATGGATCCGAAGAAGTAAGGCCAGAATCTCATGCTTGTCACGACGATTGCGTAGTTGAAAATCGTGTAAGGAAATGGGGAAATCCTGAAGATTGCCACGACTCTAAATTGATGGAACCAGCTTCCTTCTGCAGCTAGTCTAAGAACAGCAGCTTGACGAGGCCACCTTTTTAACCATTGCTGCATTTTTAGTAATAACAAATCATATCTACAAGTTAGTGATCTTGTAAGAAACCATCCCATGACTTGAAAAAAAGGGACGTAAGGGGTTCGTACATGGAGGCGATCACGGAACATAAGCCCAATTAGGTAAGGAAGAACCATGCCAATGGTGGTTCCAACCATGATTATAACAAAACCTAGACCATAACCAAAAATCATCCCAGCTAACCACATGGAAGGACCAGAAGGTATCAATAACACAGGAAACAAGGCCAAGGAAACAACAAGGACAATCGCGAGCATAGGACGGCCAAATGCAGTTGCTTCCCATTGCAAAATTGGAATAAGAACCTTCAATTGAAACAAACTATTACAATCCAAAGAGCAGAGTTTGTGACAAGGATCATTATAAACAAACAATCAAATCATTGAAACTTGATATATTGAGTAAAAGATATTACCTTTTGGAACACAAATGGAACTCCCCATTTGCCAAAAACAAGCGTAAGGAGGAGAGCAACAGCAAATATCCCCAAAGCTTTCACCCACCACATCAGTTTCTTACTCCGCACCTCTGATTGAGACAGAGACAACACGGTTTCAGCTGCAGCAGCTTCATGAGCCACAACAAGCCGAACATACTCATTATCTTCCCTCATGTGACCAACAGAATCTGTAATTCCCTCTCTTGACTCTTTCAATGGGTTTGACATCAGTCTTCAAAAATCTTAAACTGAAAGCCAAAATTTGATATCAGAGACACAAAATCACCATTTCTAAGCCATCAAAACAAGAAAAATCACTGTTCTATAAAAAATTCGAACCAAAACGGATCAAATAAAATTGGAAACAAACCCTACAAGACATCAAAATCCATAGAAATTGGAGAAAGCAAAGATGCGTAGCTTATAACTCATACTATAGCAAAAACTTCAGAAACTTCAAAAACACATACAAGGAAACGATAACGAAGAAGTAAAGTTAAATTAGAAAGAGAATCAAAAACTATCCGAACATAGAAATTTCCGATTACGGCTAAAAAGGGAAAGAAAAAATCAAAATCAATCAGATACAGCACTAGAGCAATAAAAATCACTTAGATCTCTCAATCTAGCCAAAGATCACCAAACCACAGATAAAAAAAAGAACATCACAAGGATTTATAAAGTAGAGCTAGGGTTTAACGAATCTCACACTACTTCACAATTCGTGGTGGTAAACGACGGCGTTAACGGCGGAGGAAACTTGTACGCCGTCGGAAAAAGTGGGGGAGGTTGTTGCGGCGGATTCACGTTCTTCTTCGTTTCTCAGATTTTAGTGTCGTTTGCTTCTCTAAACAATGAAGCGTGTTTTGTGTTTTGTTTATTCTTTTTCCAGAAAAATTGAAATTCAAATAGGAAAAAGAGTTTTGTTTCGTTGCTTTTACTTTTTTATCATTTTTTTTATTTCATTGTATATTTTGTTAGCTTAAGCTTTACTTTTCTGGAATAACGAGTCAGACCATATTATAAAAGTTTTTTAAAATAATAGTAGTAATAATATTCCCACCCGTTGAACCACCATAATGCATACCTGACTTGACTTTATTAATATCCAAACCAAATCCTTAACCAACGAATCCTAATAATGACCATAAAAACAAAGGAGCGTGAGATAGTGACGCGTGTCTTGTTACGCAAACAAAGGGTAGTCTGGTAAATTCACAGTACGACCTGAGATATTATTTTTGTCAAATTGAGATTTTAAGAAGATTCTTTACAGTCTAAAAAAGCTTTCGACGGAGACGGAGACGAAGACGAAGATTCAATACAAGCATCTATGGTAGACGAGAGATCGTTTCGAAGTCTTCGCCGTTAGATTCTTTGCCGGAGGATTACGTTTTTTTTTACATAATCTCCTTTCACTAGTCCACGCGATGCGTGCGTCGCTTTTACGGTTTCGAAAAGCTTTGAATCGGCGGTGAAGTCAGATATTATATATGGGAGAAGTTTCTTCCGGCGGAGTTCGAGTCTCTGGTTCGTCCATTGCGAGTTTTCTCATCGAAGAAGGAACTCAATTTCAGATCTCTGTAACGATCCTGTTCTAATCGACGGTGGCAAAAAGGTAAATCCTGCTCTCTCGCCCTTTGAATTGTAGTTTGTTTATAGAATTATCGGCTTCTATTAGAGAATTTTGGGCTTGGCACTAACTTATTTTGAGATTTTTTATGCTTTTTTTGTGGCAATTGTGTGTTTCTATATGGTGATACTGAATCTCTCTGATTATTTCGAAATTTTGTGGGATATAAAAAAGCATCTGGTTAGAGAAAGAGGTGTATCTTGTTATCTGCGATGAGCCTCTCAATCATATGGGAAGATGCACCTCACTATTAGGAATGGATTTCAATTCATGAATCTAGGTACTCTTTTTTTCATTATCTCTGCGTTAGTTTGGTTGCAATGACTGGGATGATGATGATGATGATGATGCTGGAAAATTGTTACCCTCCTGTGTTGTGAAGGTTTGAAAAAGTAGAGAAGCTTCTCGATGTATGTTGGTTCGACATTCGTTGATTCAGTTCAAATTAGCAATGTAGGATTCAGTTCTAATTCACTCAGCTATTCAAATTTCAATTGGTATATAAAGTTACTAAGTTCTGCTTTCTGCTATATTTGGAGCAATGTGTATGTAACTGTGAAGTTTCTATATTGTGCTGATACTGAATCTCTCTGATTGTTTGGGAATTTTTGTTGAAAACCAAAGAGCATATGGTTAGGGAAAAGGAGTGGGAAGAGGTGTATAATGTTATCTGCGATGAACTTATCAAGCATTCAGGGTGATACTCCTCCGCATTTCTTCAAATGGTTTCCAAGTCCTGAAGATAGGTAAGTACTCATTTTTCATCATTTTTTGTATTAATTCGGTTGTATTTACGCATTGGGATTGTATAATGATGCTGTGAAACGTTGCCCTGTGATGTGCAGGTTTGAATGGATAGTATTCATCAAATGGAACCGTGCATTATTACCCTCATATTATAATTGATACTACTCCGAAAAGAGGATAGTGTTCATCAAATGGAACAGTGTGATCTTAGCAGTTCGGAATATCATTTTCAATTGTTTATAGGTGTTATGAACCTAAAGCTTAGCACCCTCTTAAGCCTACTCTCTCAGAGAATAAGTTTAATTATTGGGGCTTACCTCTTTATTAATCGTAATAGACCCTTATATTGGCCATGATACATAACATTGTATAAAAAGTAAATACTAAAACTCTAATGGGAAAAGGAAAACTCTCAAAACCAATAGTAAAAGGAAAAGACCAAAACCAAAACTAATTAACGTTCTAAACCATACACTAATCAACCTAACTGTTACTAGTCTTGTATCAATGGGGTTTATGTGATGAAATGGTTCTAGATACTCAAACGTGTTTCGTGCTTATTTCTCGGAAATTTAAGTAGAAATTACTTTGTTAAGAGTTGCCCTGTTGGTATAGGCCAGGGATCGATTCTCCCCAGACGCAGAATTGCTAGCTTTATCCCTTTGGCCACATGGGTATGGGCCTCTTGCTTAAGGCCCATTTGAAAAACTGGGGGGGACTTTACCCGTGGGATACCCTCTCTCCAGGGATTAGTCTCGGATCCTTCCATAGGTCCGGGGATTTACCCTGAGTAATCAAAAAAAAAAAAAAAAAAAAAATTACTTTGTTAACGTACCAGAGTCAAGACTTATAATATAAAGAAAGAGAAATAATATTGCCACCATAACACGGTTAATGACTATCTTACTTGACTCTTTAGGGCATGCACATCGGTTTGGTCGTCCCCCATACTTTTTTTTAATTTTTTTTTTTTCTTTTCCAAATTTTTTGAATTAAAAAAAAAAAAAAAGAATGTAACCAATCGCGGGCCGCCACGTGTCAGTGGGATCCGCGATTTCTGAAGAAAAGAAAACGGGACCGTCCCGTTTTTGTTGTCGACCCACCTTTTTTTTTTCTTTTTGATTTAATTTTTTTTAAAAAAACAGAAGGACGAAGGGGGATACGCTAATGCCCTTGGTCTTATAAATGGGGTGTGTTTGTTAGAATTTCCCATACCATAAAAAACATCTAAACCTAACAATCCTGAGGAGTATAATGACCAAACAAAGGTGTGTGCATCAGGAGCGATTTCGTAAACTTGTACAACGACTTAAGAAGACTCTTAGACTCTCATCAGCTTCAGACAACAGTCACGGCCTTACTGAGCTGGTGTCCTTGCATGACTTACCTGAAGAATGTCTCTCCATCATAATCTCTTTCACAAGTCCACGAGACGCGTTAAACCTCGCTTCGGTTTCCAAGACCTTTGAATCCGCGGTCCAATCCAATATCGTATGGGAGAAGTTTATTCCGCCGGAATATAAATCTTTGATCTCTCAATCGCCAGATTTCTTATCCAAGAAGGAGGTTTTCTTCGCTCTTCGCGACAAATCTATTCTGATCGACGATGGCAAAAAGGTATATCTATTTCTAATATGATACCTTTGTATTATGTGAAAAATGATGTTATTTAATTATAAAAGGTTCTGCCTTTTATTTATAGCTATTTTGTTTATAACTTTGAATTTTTACGATTATAATTTGGTTTTGTTTTGTTTTAAAAAATGAAAGATGTTATGGAAAGAAAGAGAGAATGCGAAGAGGTGCATCATGTTATCAGCGATGAACCTCTCAATCACGTGGGGGAATACTCCTCAGAGTTGGCGATGGATTCCAGATCCAGAAGCTAGGTACCCTTTTTTCATTATCTGTACGTTTATAAATTCGGTTTTGATGACTCGTTAAAAAAAAAATGTTACGATGCAATCATACAGGTTTGAAGCAGTAGCGGAGCTACTTGAAGTATGTTTGTTTGAGATTCGTGGAAGAATAAGTAGCCGTTTCCTATCTCCAAGAACTCGTTACTCGGCTTACATTGTGTTCATGAAACAGAATATATGTTATGGCTTTGAGAATGTATCCGTGGAAGTTGTAGTTGGAGTGGTGGGGCAGAATCTTGAAGATTCTTGTAGAAGATATGTATGCTTTGACGAGGCTAGGGATGAACAGTTTAGAAGGAGAGACAGAGGAAAGAACCTGGTGAAGCCAGAGAGGAGAAAAGATGGGTGGATGGAGATAAAGCTTGGAGAATTCTTCAATGAAGGTGGATTATCAAGCTATGATGATATTGAGATGGTTGCTTTAGAGAATAAGCTTCGTCATTGGAAACGCGGCTTGATCATTCGAGGAATTGAGATCCGCCCTACAAAGATCCGGCAATGAAATGCAACTTTGTTTATATTAGATAGTATAAAGGATGTGGCCTTGCTGGTATATGTAAACCAGTTTCCATCAGTTTAATTAAAGAACGGTTTGATGATTCCGCTTGTATTTTGGTATGAGTTTAATTTCTATTTAAAATTCTTGATTTCATTGTATGGGTTGTTAGAAACCAAAAAAGAACATTTTAAACTGGAACTCTGGAAGGTTAATTAGAAAAGATGCACATTGCTGTAAAGAATGGTAGTTTCGTAAATATGTGTGCACGACTTTGTAACGAGTCGTTCTATTTTAAATATTTAGCGGCAAAGACACGGTTTAAAAAGAAGTAAAGACACACTTGTAGAAAGGCAAATGCAGAGGAGTTTGTGGTTGTTGTGAGACTCTCGCACCAAGTTTAAAAAGAAGTAAATAAGACTAATCCTCACACTTCTTCTAGCTAGGGAAGCCTAATTACAAAACTTTATATTATAATTCAAACACCTTTCCAAATCCCATTAATACAGTACCTAACCGTTTCGGATGAGAGACGATACATATAAACAAATAATTTACGAAGACTACATACATGACTTAGACGACCAATAAGCATTCATCTAAAAAATCTTATATATAAAAACATGACTAAGACCAGGATGCATTAACGAGTGAGACTATTTTATTATCAATAATGCTTATGTCTTACGTGAATATTGACTCTATATTAATCGGGTTGGTAAGTTAGAATTTTCTAAACCAAAAACAAAAAACAATGACCAAAACAAAGAACTTGAACGAGACGGGCGCATTATTCGCAATTAAGGGTCATTTACGTAGATTTGTGGAAAGACTTGAGAAGACTCTCAAACTCTTCTTCTTAGCTTCCGACAAAAGTCACGGCGTTGCGGAATTGTCGCCGTTCGACTCATTACCGGAGGTTTGCATCTCCATCATAATCTCTTTCACTAGTCCTAGGGACGCATGCGTCCTCGCTTTGGTTTCAGCAACACTGTGACTGTCATCTAAAGATAATGGCTCTCAGCAACACTGTGACTGTCATCGGAAGCTGAAAGTCTTAAAGTCCTCTTAACTCGTTCATTGGTTGTGGATTATGGTTAACAAAAATTCTGATCACCAGTCTCAGTTAATATATATAGAGACAATTCACGTAAACGTAAGCATTATGGATCAACCGTATACTGTTGACAATAATAATCCTTTTTCAATAATAAAGTCTTGACCGTTGACTCGTAATTAAGCTAACAACTAGAAAGATAAAAACATTTTAGAAAAAAGGGAACCAAAAATTCTCTTTTGTGTTTTGAATTTCCTATAAAGGAAAAACAAAAAACAAAAAACACGGTGTTTGGGTATTCTGAACCAAATCATTTAGATGATGCTCACATAAACAAACGACCATGCATGATACCAATGTGGTTAATCAGATAAAAACTCAGTGCCTTCGAAAGAATTCAAAATTATCTTCTAGTAGAACACATTCATCGATCGAAAGCATTCACCTGATTATGATCGAGTTTTAACATAGTGTACGACTTATTTCTCTATTTTCATGTCTTATACGTACTAGAAGTTTTGTTATAGATAATCTTAGGGATCCCCTGAAAAAATGTGAAAACTATATTCATCACCGTGTTTTAAATAAGTACGTACCTAGTCAGACTATCTTCATGTTTAACGGATCGTTATTCATAAAAGCAAGTCAGCTAATTATATTATAGCTAGGATCTCAACTCTTTTATTAGTTTCTTAAGTTAGTTAAATTATAATAGTTTATAATATATAATGGAGTATTTGATTTTTGATAGTTAAAATATTGAAACAAACAATGGCCGTAGACTAAATTTAATACATTAAGTAACAATGGGCCAAAAACATGGCGTTGACTCTAGAGGCAAAGGCGGTCAAGCTCCCGGTTCTTCATCGATGGAGTACAAACACTGCGTTGACTCTAGCGGTCTAGGCAAAGGAGAGATCGTCCCGGGAGGGCCGTCGCCGTTCGATGACTTGCCTGAGGATTGCATCCTTAAGATAATCTCTTTGACAAGTCCACGGGACGCTCGCATCTCTGCTTTGGTTTCGAAATCCTTTGCATGTGCAGTCAAGTCAGATAGTTTATGGGAAAGGTTTCTTCCGTTAGAGTACGAATCTTTGGTTCCTCCATGGCGAGCTTTCTCATCGAAGAAGGAGCTTTATTTCACTCTTTGCTACGATCCTGTTCTTATTGAAGATAGCAAAAAGGTATTTTATATATGTCCACTAATCATATTGACTAAATCAATTTGCATTTTGTATACATTTTGAGAATGATGATATCTGTTAGAGAAAAGTATGTGATACCATCTATTCAAATATGTAGAATTGGTTATTGAACTAACATGGTTTTATTGATTCTCCAACTTGGGTATTTATACCGAGAACATAAGACATATGATAAATCTTATCTCCTAAGACAATGATTTCTAAACCTTATCACAATAGGAATATAAATCATAATAACTATATGTCTTTATCACTAATACTAAAATATTCTTCGCTTTGGGCTTCACGGATTCACTTCAATAATTGACTTTCACGGTCCATAATAGTTGGTTTGCAAAATACACATCTTGTTCCCCAAGATATCTCTAATAAAATACATTGGAGTAATCTGGTATAGTTGTAAAGGTTAAATTAATTCATGCATCTATTACAATGTTTCTGACCGTTTGAGACTTTTGTTTTTTTTTTGAAATTCAAAGAGCTTTTGGTTAGAGACATCGAGTGGGAAAAAATGTGTAATGCTAGCTGCAACGGAACTGCGGATCACGGAGGGAAATAATCCTGAGTATAATTGGCAATGGATTAAACTTGCTGAATCTAGGTATTTTTTTTTTTTTTTTACTTAACTTCGATTCTAATGACTCATTTTTATTATTAAATAAACATAACTATAAGCTTGATTAACCGGTCTCCTGGAGATTGGATCCACACGATTTGTAATTTAGTTGTTAATGGATATGGAATTTTAGTGTTGCCATACTATAATTATGACGATCAATTATTTCGTATATATAAAGTACAAATAAATGTCATTCTATCATATAATGAAAACTTAATAAATCAATAATATTTTTTTTTCAATAACTAATACCAAATCGTAAGTTCGGATTTTACATTTTGCGGAATGTTGATAAAATGTGTCATGCAGTTTTGAAAAGGTACCAGAGCTTCTCAATGTTTGCGCTTTCGAGATGGATGGTAGTATGAGTACACAAATCCTATCTTTAGGAACTCATTACGCGGTTTACATTGTGTACAAGATAAAAGATGAACGTCATGGCTTACGAGACTTACCAATACAAGTTGGTGTTGGATTGAAAGGACAAGAAATGCGTAAACGATTCATATGCTTTGACGAGTCCACTGATAAATTCAAAAAGTGGCCAAAGAAGGAGCTAATGAAATCAAAGAAGAGAGGAGATGGATGGATTGAGGCAGAGATTGGGGATTTCTTCAATGAAGGAGGGTTAATGTGTTATGATGAAATTGACGTGAGTATCGTAGACGTTGCTCCACGCCCGAATCCAAAACGTGGTCTGGTTATTGAAGGAATTGAATTCCGACCAAAGTAAAGTGTTTTAAGTTCGGTTTTATTGTAGTGGATGAACGGTTTGGTAATTATGTTGTAATCAAGATAATCTTTTACCTCACTTGATTATCATATGGTTTGTTAATTAGAATACAACCAAAAACGTGCACGTAGGTGCAAAGAAGGGTAGTTTCGTAGATACATGTAGACGACTTGAAACGAGTCTTTCTTTTTAAATTATTGTGAAGGGAGATGCAACGAAAAAGATTCAAATAGATTTTGATGTTATTGAGTTTAGTCATTGTTTCTATGATCCCAGTTTGATTCCTATTCGTTGCGAGAGTTCAGATCAAAGTTACAAACAATAATTAGAAATTTACCATTATTTTGGGGTTATATATTAATTAAGTTGCCTATTGGCTTTCTTTCATCTTTCAAGAAACCCTTATAATTATTTGTTTTTATTCTGTGAGGAAAAAATCCTAGTAATTATTTATGACACAAATTTTATTAAGAAGTTGATGGTGTTTTTGTATTTTATGAAAATCTTCAACAAAAAAGGTTACACGTTTTGATTATGGCAAATAGTAATAACTTGTTTCCAAAAGATAGAATCAGATAACTCCATATCTAATAATTCAACAACATCTTCTTTTTACACACTACAATAGTTTTTGTTTGATAAATTTCAACATCATATATCCATACCTTACCACTTTATCTTATATTTTTAATTTATAATTTTCCTCTATTTTCTAATTTTATATTAACAAAAGTTAACTACTGAAATTATATTACAATAATTTAAATTAAAATAAATTTTTAGGATATAAATTTATTTTATTTTATATTCTTAATTTACTTTTCTATTAAAAAGTAACAAAGAAAAAAATAAGGAAAATCATTATTAAAACATATAAAATTATGAATAAATTAAAGTGAAATTTATATAGTAATAAGCACACAACACAAATAATAAAATACACATAATTAAATAATTAATTAGTACAATATACTCAATTCACAAACAAGAAAACACAATTTTTTTATGTGTCCAAATCAAATGAAAAAAAATTGATCTATAGAGTATGAAAATTTATAAATTGTAATATATAAAATAAATAAAATATAACAATTTACTATGAAATAATTGATCTCAATAATTTTGGTGAAAATATTTAAATTCTCATAGCTAAAAGAAAAAACAAATTCCATAATCTATTCCACATTTTTTTTATGAATCCAATCAATAAATGCCATGTGGCTTTATTGGGCTCCATCTTCACCCCTTTAACATGTTTTTCAACATATTTAGTTCCACATCAGTTCTACTCCATTGTTGAATAAAAATTTATCCATCCCATTGTAAATGGTATTAGGTAGCGTTTAGAAATTAAAGTATTTCTATATAGTCAAACCCATTATTAAAGTATTTGCCAAAAGATTCTTTCTGTACAAATGGTAAAACCTTTAGAAATTGCTCCCACTTACTTAATACTCAGCCCTTCCAAAAATAGAAGGTACTTGGACTCAATATCCCATTGTAAATGGTATTAGGTAGAGTTTAGAAATTGAAGTATTTCTATAGTCAAACCCATTATTAAAGTATTTGTCAAAAGATTCTTTATGCACAAATGGTAAAACCTTTAGAAATTGCTCCCACTTACTCAATACTCAGCCCTTCCAAAAATAGAAGGTACTTCGAAATGCAACGTACATACGTAAGTGTTTCTTTCTTCTTTCTTTTTTTATGGTCTAAGTTTTTTTTTTTCTGGGTAAAATTTTATGGTCCAAGTTCCACAACTTAAAAGCATTTTTAGAAACGATCGACGGTGAGAGAAATTAGCTATGAATTGATAGACGGAGGATATGAAATTCTTGGACTTTCTTTGATAAAGAAAAAGGTACCATCACTTGAAGCCGAGGATCCAGACCCACTCATTCTCGAAATTAAGATCTCTTTGATTGATGCTTATAGAGAAATGAAGAAATGTGAAGAAAGCTCTGAAATTTGTTATAATGATGATAATCTATTTGCTATTTATAGACTAGTCTGGAGGTGAGAGAAGGGCGAGGAAACCAAGCCATTTGGACGCTGCTGGGCCTGAGGATGGTGGAGATGGCCCTATCTAAGAAAATATTGCCTATGGGGCCTAAGTTAGCTTAGCTCAAGCGTAAATTATTAAATCTATATATGACATGGAGCTAATATAGAGTAAAATATATCTTTATAATTAAGCTAGAATCTTAATTTAGTTAAAAACATAACCTTAGACCAAGGGCATTAGCGTATCCCCCTTCGTCCTTCTGTTTTTTAAAAAAAAATTAAATCAAAAAGAAAAAAAAAAAGGGTGGGTCGACAACAAAAACGGGACGGTCCCGTTTTCTTTTCTTCAGAAATCGCGGGCCCCACTGACACGTGGCGGCCCGCGATTGGTTACATTTTTTTTTTTTTTAATTCAAAAAATTTGGAAAAGAAAAAAAAAAATTAAAAAAAAGTATGGGGGGGCGACCAAACCGATGTGCATGCCCTTAGTTTATTGTAGTTAACAATTAATTTTTTTAGTTAATCTAATAGGGTATCTGTATATCTATATGTAAAATTCATTTAAAGTAACTAGATTATTTCAATGTTACATTAACAACTCACATATATATTATGTCTTATCAAGTTCATAATATGATTTTAGATTATATTCTTTATAAAAAAATCTCTTTTTTTTCTTCTTCTTTTTCCTAGTTAATCATTCTCTTTATAATTTATATATATATATTGCATATTATGTGTTGTTAGAGTCATGGATTACAGCGAAGACCAAAATGATGCATGTAGAGCTTCCGTGGGAATTGGTAGAAGAAATACTCTATTGTCTTCCGCTTCAATCTCTAATTCGATTCAAAATTGTTTGCAAACAATGGAACAAACTTTTCAAAAGCAAGTCGTTCATCAACAACAACTCAGTTCGTGCCCGTCCTCAATTTCTCGTATGGACCGAATCCAAAATGTATTCGGTAAGCGTCAATCTCAGCAATAATCCAAAGATCGGGATCCAGGAGTTACCCTTAGATATTCCTTCTTCTGATAATAACAAGAGCACAAGTTTACTTCCTTGTGATGGCTTATTATTTTGTGACTGGTGGTTATGGAATAATAATAAAGCTGCGGTTTGCAACCCGTGGTTGAGACAAACTAGATGGATCGAGACTAATAACGAAGATTTCAGGTTTCGTGGCATGGGATACGATAGTGGTAGACCTGAAAAGAGTTACAACATCGTTGGTTATTATAAAACAATTGATATCTACACATTAGACACTAATGAGTGGAAATGCACAAATGTTAATCCGGGAATACAGATCCGCAGAAGTACTAATGTGTCTTTGAATGGAAATTTGTATTGGACTGATCTTGATCAGGAGACCGGTGAGTACTTTATCCAAAGTTTCGATTTTTCGAGACAGATACACAAAGTTTTTTGCGTTTTACAGTGGATTACGATAAACTCTTCTTTTCCAGTCCTCTCAACTTATAGGAAAGATCGGCTTTCACTGTTAAAAAAATTGATTGGAACAAATAATAATATTGAGGTTTGGGTGACAAAAAACAAGATTAATAATGATGATGCAGTGGAGCATGTATCGTGGATAAAGTTCATGACAGTTTCAGTACCTATTAGTAGGATTTTTTCTCCAAGTTTCTTTATCGATAATGTTTACAACAAAAAGAGTCTCGTCATGTGTTGTTTGGACGATGGAAACGAAAAGCTTTGCATTTATATTGTGAGGGGCAAGGCGTTGACGAAGATTCAAATGGACGCTGATGCTAAACATGCTATTAATCATTGTTCCTATGTTCCCAGTTTGATCCCAATTCCTCCAGAGAGTCCACATATTTTCAAGAACTAATGTTTTAAATATTTCTTATTTTGGATTACTTGTGGTTTTTTTATTCTTTCTTTAGCAGTTACATAAATTGATTTCAAAAGTATGTCTTCTTCTTTCAATATCATTTCGGTTAAAGTAATAATTATATATTATATTAATAGAAAAATTGATGTACAGAGAAATCATAGGCATATATATTATCTTTACATGTACAAAAAGATAAAATATGTGTAAAAACAAAAATAAAGAGCAGATGTTTACATGAACAGAAGAAAATGTAATAAGATAGATAACATCCAATTTCTCGCGTAATGGAGGTGATAATCTCTTACAAGTTATATCTATGTGACATGAGGTGTTTTGTTATATATATACATCAAATTATAAGAAAAAGACTCATCCGAGTGCAATTTTTCATTTTAATATATATAGTTAAGAACTTTAAAAAAGTAATAAGAGAAGAAGACTGAACAAAGAGGTGTGGAAAACAAAAATGTGTAAGAAAAATAACAGTGGTGAACATTAAAAGCTAGGCGTGCGGCAAATAAACACAATCGTTGGGTATTATAAATCTTTGCATCTTTGAGATCATTAACAACTTTACATTGTGTACAAAGATAAAAGATGAACGTAATGGCTTACGAGACTTACCAATACAAGTTGGTGTTGGATTGAAAGGAAAAGAAATGCGTAAACGTTTACGATTCATATGCTTTGACGAGTCTACTGATAAATTCAAAAAGTGGCCAAAGAAGGAGATAATGAAATCAAAGAAGAGAGGAGATGGGTGGATGGAGGCAGAGATTGGGGATTTCTTCAATGAAGGAGGGTTAATGTGTTATGATGAAATTGACGTGAGTATCGTAGACGTTGCTCCACGCCCGAATCCAAAGCGTGGTCTGGTTATTGAAGGAATTGAGTTTCGACCAAAGTAAAGTGTTTTAATTTCGGTTTCATTGTAGTGGACGAACGGTTTGGTAATTTCAGGGTCATGTTTATGTTGTAATCTTTATGTAAAAAGAAAAGAGAGAGTACTTTGTGAATCAGAAACTGAACTAGCCCAGTCAAATATTATTACTCAAATTTAATATATCAGATTATGTCCTGTAGAGAAAACTTTGTGTTATATCACCAAAAACAGACAAAAGCTCGTGTAATTAGGATTCCCATCAGATAAGTTATGTCATTATGTGTGTTACATTGCCGTAAGTAGCTCCATATTAAAAACGAAATCTTTACTTTACTGAGATAATCAGTTCAAGTCTCTATCCAACGTGAGATCCTAATAATCTCTACCTGACTTGATTATATGGTTTGTTAATTCGTATATTTCCAAGAAACCAAAACCGACATAATACAGACAAAAACGTGCACACGTTGGTGCAAAGAAGGGTAGTTTCGTAGATACATGTAGACGACTTGAAACGAGTCTTTCTTTTTAAAAATATTTTAGCGGCAGAGACTAATTCTCTTAAAAGTCACAGCTTGCAGAGGAAGAAAGCTATCGATGGGCCAAAAACACGGCGTTGACGCAAGATGCAACGCCGCAGAAGTTTGTGATTGTTGGGAGATTCTCTCAGAATTCATTAATGGTTCTTCTTCGCCGTCTTTCGATGACTTGCCGGACGATTGCTTGTCCATCATAAGCTCTTTGACAAATACTCCAAGGGACGCGTTCCTTGCTGGTTTGGTTTCGAAAAACTTCGGATTGCAGTTCGATTCTGATAGCGTGTGGGAGAAGTTTCTACCGTCTTCCGATTATGTATCTCTGATTCCAAAATCGCGAGTTTTCGCATCGAAGAAAGAGCTCTATTTCGCTCTTTGCGAACCTTTTCCTAACCACAATGGCAGAATGGTATATACTATTTATATATCTCTCAGTTTTTACATGTTTTCACACTATTCAGATCTAATCCATGCATGATTCAATATATAGTTCTTACTTTTTAGAGTATTTTTTTGTTTCTCTCCCTAAAAATCATAGAGCTTCAGGTTAGATAAAGCGAGTGGGAAGAAGTGTGTAATGTTATCTGCAAGGAAACTATTGATCAGACGGGTGTTAGATCCTCGACACTGGAAATGGATTTCAATTCCAGAATCTAGGTAACTCCTTTAACTTAATGACTTATTTTGATTATATATGGGTGAAAATAAATTTTATGCATTTACACCTGTTGAGGGAGTATTGTGTTATGCAGGTTTGAAAAAGTACCAGAACTTGTCAATATAGATGCTTTGGATATACGTGGGTTTTTGAATACTCGAATGATATCCCCAAGAACTCATTACTCAGTTTACATTGTGTACACAAAACTGTCTCATTGTTATGGCTTTCAAACTTGTCGCATACTAGCTGGAGTTGGATTTCAGGGACATGAAATACCTAAAACATTCATATGTTTTGATACAATCAAAATGTGGCCTGATAAGAAGATTACATATTCAAAAAAGAGGAGAGATGGGTGGATGGAGGCAAAGATTGGGGATATCTTCAATGATGGAGGATTAACGGGTTTCGATCTAATTGAGGTGAGAATTTATGACGTTGCTCACCGTCCTCGTACCAAGAGTGGTGTGATTATTGAAGGCATTGAGTTCCGGCCAAAGGATACTAGTCAGTAAAAGGAAGAAGGGTTTTATGATTTTCGTTTATATTTGTTGTAATCTTTTTAGAGGGAAACAAAAAACTGTGACATGATTATAAGTATGTGGATTGCAAGGATTGTGAATGGTCCTAGAAATTGTGGCGCATTTTGTAAAATCTCGGGATTAAGAGGCTATACACAATATGTATAGACTTAAAGGTGTAAAAACATATAGAGATAAACTTACTAAATTTGGTTATTGGAGCATACGTAGTAAGTTTATCTCACTCTTGATGTTATTTCACATAAGAATGTTTCTCCAATAGATTTTAACCAAAATCGAAAAAACTTCTTTGTATAAAAAGATCTGATTTCATAAATTAGTAAACTGATCATCCAACATTTGTTGAATCACTGAACTTGTTGTCATTTTTTAAGGGCTACTTTGGTCTATCTTCTATTTCCTTTGATATGCAGAGCTTGTTACCTCACTGAGTGTGAGACAGTGAGAGTTATCTTTTACACCTCCTTACGTGAAAGTATATATAAACCTAGCTAGTGAAGCAAACTGGCAAAATTCTCCATTTTTTTAGGCTGGGTAAGTCACAAACTAGCTAGTTTTAAAAAGACATCTATAAGAGGCTCTTTATCAAATACTTTAAGATCAGAAAATATAATTGTTAAAATTAAAGAAAAAGATTTGAAAATATGTCAATAATTCTATTTAACTAGATTCTATTAAATTATGGACTTCCTTCTTCTCTTTTTTTTTTTTTTTCATAACCACTGACCCTTCTTCCTTGTCGTCTTTGACTCTTCTGTTACAATAATAGACATAAACATTACAAAAAAAAAGAAAAAAACAAAAAAACTTAGAACTTTGGGCTTTTCTATTTGACGCGGCCATCTAAGAGAAGACATTGCTCTCAAAAAGTGGCATTTTCGTAAATTCGTAGAACGATTTCTCGCTTAAAAAAGAGAAAGTCTGTTAATTTAATAATGTTTTTAATTGGGGTAATTTTATGAAAATTATTTGATTTGATTTATTTTGGAAGTAAAACATAATGTTTTAGTTATTGCTAGAAGTTAATTTTAGTCTTAATTTTTTATTCACAACAACTAAAATTAAGATTAGTCAATAATTATACAGTAAAATTTTTATAATTTAATAATGTTTTTAATTGGGGTAATTTTACGAAAATAAAAATAATTTTTATTCAATATTTTATTATTTTATAGTATAAATTAATTTTATAATAGTATTTTTAATTGTGGTAATTTTACGAAAATAAAAATATGAATTGGAGTAATTTTACGAATATAAAAATATAAATTTAGATATATTATAGATAAATTCATGTATCTAAATGATATATACAAGTTTAAATTTATGATTACTGAACTCATTTGCTATTTTTAAATATGAATCATATTTCAGCTATTTTATGATATGTTATAAAGTATATTGATTATTGAATGATTAGAAACTTAAAATTAAATTATAGAGAGTTATATTATTAAAAAAAATTATTATCTTATCGATTTTGGTTCGGACCAGCAACGTGAAAACAAATTGAGCAACATACAACATTCACCTGCTCCATACATTCTACATATTCATTCTAATATTTTCCTCCTCCTCGAGGATGATGGATCCGGGGAGGGGGAAAAGATGAGGCTAGTAGAACCTTGGACGATCATCATATTCATCATCTACATTCTACACCATTCATCTACTCTAATCAGCCATTTTCTACACATTCATCTACATCATCCACATCCTAAACACATTCCCATCCACATTCTAAACCATCATCCTAAACACATTCATCTTCACCGTCCACATCCTAAACATTCATCTACACCATCCACATCCTAAACATTCATCTAATCTAATCATCCACATTCATCTACACCATCCTAAACATTCATCTACACCTTCCTAAACATTCACCTAATCTAATCATCAACATTCATCTAATCTAATCATCCACATCACATCCTAAACATTCATCTAATCTAATCATCCACACCCTAAACATTCACTACACATACAGCTTTTACCAGCCGTCATAACTACACATACATTTTACCATCACATATATAGCTTACAAGCAAGCATTTATCATTCATCCTACAAAGTAAGGCACATTCCCAAGATTCTCTGTTCCTTCACATCCGATCTTTTTTTTTTCCGTCTGTAGTTTCTCTCAAAAGGACATGCACTTGTTAACTCACTCTTTTTGAATATGTGTTCATCTGCAAAACGAGATCAAATCATTACAATCCCTTCAGAATTATTTTTTTTTACAAAAATTAAAATCATGCAAGTATCACATTTAATCAAATAATCAAATAATATATTCTTATGTCGATTAAAAAAAAAACACATTTCAGATTATTACAAAAGTAACGCCTTTCCTTAATTCTTTTTTTTTTTTTTTTGACAACAATTTAATTCTTTTTTTTTTCTTTTCAAAAAAAAAATATTAAGATAACAGGAAAAGGAATGATAATTTTTGTTTCTATGTTCATTTAATAATCATTTATATGGTCTTCTAAACCTCATTTTCGTAGGAAGAAACAGAGTATGATTAAAATGAAATGCGACATAGAAAAATAAATGATAGTTTGCTTTCTTTTTAAAGGCAAAATTTTAAGAGTAATCTATTGAAATAATCGAACCATGAGAGCTTCACTAAAACATTTTTTAAAAAGTTGAGATTTAGATTTTATTTTGTTAACTTCCTTACACTACCATTCCATATCTATAACTCAAAATGTATTTTTTTCTTTCTTAAACTAAGCATAAAAAATTGCAAGATGTGGGAAACTAAAATACAAAAGAAGTAAAAGGACCAAAGGCGTGGTGTTACCTTGTAGGGGTGATGAGTCTTTAAGTCTCTATGCTCAGGGAATGAGAAGATCAGAGACAAGGCTTGAGTTGTAGAAGACGTATGTATATCAAAAGAGATCAGAGACAAGGCTTGAGTTGTAGAAGAACGTATATCAAAAGAATATAAAACAGAGACTATTACTGGAGTATTTGAGAAATGAAATTTGAGAGTAAGAAAGGAGAGAAGTTTTTGATGTCTGAACGAAGGAAGACGAAAGTGTCTGTCTGTCTACGTATATATAGAGATTATTTCTAACGGTCACATAAGTTACCGTTCGAGTGAAACAAATTTATAATAGAAAAAATAAAAGTTACTGTTCCGCAATCGTCTTCAAATTTTATTACGGATAAGTTACCGTTGGTGACTAAAAAATAAAATATTAATACAAAGAGTTACTACTGACTGGTTGGGTTTACTTGGGTAACGTTCAAATTTACTGTTTTCTACAACGTTCTGACTGATGTTACTGGTGACAACATAGGGAGTGAAAAAATAAGTTACCGTTGTACACTCGTGATTGTTACGCTCTAAGTTTATCACGTTTTTTTTTTTTTTTTGGGTTCTCCCTAGCTATAAGAAAAAAAATCAAAAATAAAATCAATAACACAAAATAAATCAAGGTGCTGTTTGATTCAATGTCTTGATTTAAGAATTTCAAAAGTTTCTATAATATGGGTCTTCATGCATCTTTCATATCACTAGGTGCTGTTTGATTTCAGTTTTTTGTTTCTTTTTTACTATTACGAGGGAGTTCTATTTGAGCATTCATGTTCTTAGGAACTTCTGAGTCCTATTTCTAAACAGTTCGAAACAAATCCGAAGTCCCTTTTTTCAACAATCCTGGTTAATTTTCAATTTTAAAAAGAAGGATAAAGTATCATCTCCATGGTCTTGGACCCAAATTCGTGTGCTACAGAAGAGGAAAGAGTTGTTGGAATTTGAATGCAAACGGCTGCAAATATAGCAAGTGTGAGCAAAAGTATATCATCTCGTCTATTAAAGTAAGCCAATCGGCTACGTAACTTTCTTATTTACGACCGGATAACGAAAAGTATATATGTATGCATGAATGTCAAAGTGTCTCCTTTGTACAACAACGCTTTTTTTTTTTGCTAAGAAACAACAACGCTTTTTGTGGACTTTATGTTTCAATTATGGTTTTGATTGCTTACAATTTTGTTTGTATATGAAGCAAGTTTTTAAAAAGTATACATGTACCATATTCATTGTAAAAATAAAAATAAATATAATCATATAGCGTGAACTATTCGATTGTCTAAAAACCATGCAACGTGAACATGGCCGCACACGGCACGTGGACAACTTTTGCAGGAGTCATAGTTATGTTCCTTCACATTAAAAACAGTCATAACTGACTCCTACTGTCTAAAAAAAAAGAGAAATAAAATCTCACGAGTCTATATAATAAGTCTCCAAAAGCATACGGTTTGATAAACGCAACGCACCGATGGGCAGTGAATCTAGCGGCGAAGATGGAGGAGAGATCGTTCACGAGACGTTATCTTTCAATGACTTGCCGGAGGATTGCATCTCACACATATTCACTTTCACTAGTCCACGTGACGCGTGTGTCGCCGCTTCGGTTTCGAAAACCTTTGAATCGGTGGTGAATTCCGATAACGTATGGGAGAAGTTTCTTCCCCCGGATTATGCATCTTTGGTTCTTCTTCCTCAATCGCGAGTTCCCTTGTCAAAGAAGGAACTCTATTTCGCTCTCTGCCACGATCCTCTTCTAATCGAAGATGGCAAAAAGGTTAGAGTTAGTTAGAGTTAAATGGTAAAAATCTCTGGCAAAAGCTTAGAGGTCGCCGGTTTGAGTAACGCTTGGAACGAGATTATATATAACATGTTCTGGTTTCGGATCTGAGGAGATGTATGGGTTTCGGCCCAGAACTTCTTTGATAATTCAAAAAAAAAAAATTAGAAAGAAAAAAAAAATGTTATTAAGTCTTTAGGATACTATTCATATGCTTAAAAAGTTAATATCCATTTCATCAGTAGGTCTTCATGAAGCAACGGTGTGATTGTGAAGTTTTAAATTCGTGCATCCATTCAATATTTCTGATTTAAGTTACTTTCTTTTTCGTTTTCTAAAAATCAAAGAGCTTGTGGTTAGAGAAAATGAGTGGGAAAAGGTGTATCATGTTATCTCCAAAGGAGATGTGGATCAAATGGGTTAGTAGTCCTCGGCAGTTTTGGCAATGGATTTCAATTCCTGAAGCTAGGTAACTCCTTTTAATAAATTTTCGATCACTCAACCTGATCATGATGTTGGTGAAGATAATGGGGGAAAAACTGTTGCATGCACGCAGGTTTGAAGAAGTACCAGAGCTCCTCAATGTATGTTGGTTTGAGGTCCGTGGTAGGATAAGTACTCGTTACTTATCTCCTAGTACACGTTACTCGGTTTACATTGTTTTCAAGACAAAGAACGGATGTCCTGGATTAGAGGATGTGCCGGTGGAAGTTGGAGTTGGATTGGTGGGACAAGAATCTTCTCAAAGATTCATATACTTTGTCGGACCTTCGGATAGAAAGAAAGAGAAAGAAATGAGAGATGTAATGAAACCAGAGAAGAGGGAAGATGGGTGGATGGAAGCTGAGCTTGGTGAATTTTTCAACAAAGCAAGTTGTGATGAAGTTGATTTGAGTGTTGTTGAGATTAAGTCTCCTCATTGGAAACGTGGTTTGATCATTCAAGGAATCGAGTTCCGCCCTTCGAAAAGACCCTAAAGTTTTTAATGATTTTGTTTATGTTTATTTGCTTTAAGTGATTATTTTATTTTATTTTGTACATGTTTTAACGGTAACACGATTTTCTTTTTCAAGGTTTGTGGATTGTAATTTTCATAATTCTCACGTGAAAAAAAATTAAGTTAAAAAATTATGTTTTCTTTTCTTTATCATCCAAATCCTTTTGTAGATTTTTGTAGACTTTTTACTTAGGAGAGATGGAGCAATAGATTAATTATGAATTATTGACTTTCTGAATGATTTAATTTTGGTTTATTATATAGCTATTAGCCTATATATAACTTAAATACGAAAAGTTATTAAATGTATAAAATAATGTGAGTTGGGATGGTCATATTTTATTATGTTAAGACGAGTTCTAAAAAAGTCAAAGACCAATAATTCTCGAGCAAGAGATGGAGAAAAATCACGTCGTTGAAGGCAGAGGGGAGATTGTTTACGAGTCATCATCGCCGTTTGATGCATTGCCGGTGAAATGCATCTCCAATATATACTCTTTTACAAGTCCACGGGACGCTTGCCTCGCCGTGTCCCTCTCAAAACTCTTTGGACCGGCCGTTGATTCCGATAGCGTATGGGAGAAGTTTCTTTTGCCAGGGCATCAATCTCTGATTCCTATATCAAGATTCTTCTCATCGAAGAAGGAGCTTTACTTCGCTCTATGCAACAATCTTGTTTATATCGAAGATGGTGGAATGGTTTATCTTCAGCTCTTCTTATTTGAGTTTGAACATTTAATGTTGCTATTGAGCTATATATATAGGGTTATTGAAGCTTTTTATTTTCGGAAATTATAGACTCTCTGTTTAGATAAAGAGAGTGGGAAGAGATGTGTCATGTTATCAGCGAAGCAACTTGACATCACATTTGATAGTCCATATTTTTGGAAATGGATCTCAATTCCTGAATCTAGGTACATCCTTTTTTAGTTGCAATTTTTTTAAATTGATGAATAGGACTCAATTCCAATAATGCTATATAAAATGTGTTATTAAGGTTTGATCAAGTACCAGAGCTTCTTGTTGAAGTTCCATTCAAGATAAAAGGTGTGATGAATACTCAAATCTTGTCTCCCCAAACTCGTTACTTGGCTTACATTGTGTACAAGACAAGTGATAGATTTCACGGTTTGAAGCACATTGGAGTTGGATTTATTGGACAAGGAACTCGCGAAACCAAAAGGTGGGAAAGAAAGGATCTAATAAAACTAGAGGAAAGGGAAGACGGATGGATGGAGACAGAGCTTGGGGAATTCTCCACTGAATTTGGTTGTGAGGAAATTGTGTTGAGTATTATTGAGATTGATTATGCCTATTGGAAGCGTGGTTTGATCATTCAAGGAATCGATACCCGCCCTAAGAAAAACCCTGTAAATTAGTACAATGGAAGAGCGCTTGGATGGTTGCAATTGCATGCTTTTGTCAATCTTGTATCTTAAACAAGTGAAAAAAAAAAACATGAAACTAATATTTGTTTGATTGTAATGTTTGCGAGTTTGGATTTTTTATTTTGATGTTTTATAAATTAAAAAAAAATTGTTGTAGACATTTTAAGTTTCAACCAGTGATCATACTTACAACAATGTGTGGCAAGTAGTTTTCAGATTTTTTTAGAAGAGATCATGAAACCTGAACATATAGTGTTTATCAGAATTAGAAGAGAAAGGGACAGAAGATAGAGGGAGATAATTTGGTGTCTCAATGTGCTTAGAATAGATGGTGTGATTAAAAGGGGAAGATGACTAGGTGGAATGGGAATGGTGACACAATTTGGGTAGCAAAGAAAAATATGAAAATATAAAAATAAGATTACTTTTGAATAAATAACATAAGCTAAGTATTTCAAAATGAACCATCCTACATTACTCGTAATTCTGTCATACTAGTCCATTGGTTTGTTAGTTTATAATTTTTCCAAAACATAACCAATTGTAAAATATGGAGCTGTAAGAAGAGACGTGCGTGCTCATTGATACGAATTACGACATTTCCTGTAAATATATAAGGAACGACTATGTCACTTTATAGGACAAGCCTTTGATATAAAAAGAACTGTAGAGACGACTTTAGAACAAGTCATAAACTGTACCAAGTCACGATATATATATATATATATATATATATATATATATATATATCTCAGAATCCATTGATTAATATATCAGATAGATGCACCAATGCGAACAAACATTTCTGGTTAATTCGTCCATGGGGCAACACCTCGGAATTGATTCTAGAAGCAAAGGCGTAGGAGAAAGCTCCTCCCATTATTTATCGCCTTTTGATGAGTTACCGGAGGATTGTGTCGCTAATATAATCTCTCTTACAAGTCCCCGGGACGCATGCATTGCTGCTTCGGTTTCTAGAACCTTAAGATCGACGTCCCAGTTAGATAGTGTATGGGAGAGGTTTCTTCCGAATGAATATGCATCTTTGGTTCCTGGATTGCGAGTTTTCTCGTCAAAGAAGGAGCTTTATTTCGCTTTATGCGAAGTTCCTGTTCTAATAGAAGATGGCCAAAAGGTATTACCTTGAGTTTTAATTTGTGCTATATATCGATGAATATTTTGATTAAGTGAGCTTCTTTATTTTGAAAAATAAAAGAGTTTCTGGTTAGAGAAAGCGAGTGGGAAGAGATGTATCATGTTATCTTCCAAGCAACTCGCAATCACATGGGGAAATAGTCCTCAGTATTGGCAATGGATCTCAATTCCCGAATCTAGGTACTCTGCGCAATGTTATAATTATAATTCATATTAAAATTTGAATCCTAAATCTAACTCTTAAAATATATTACACACTCATGGTTTATAGTGATATATCATAATCAAGATGATAGGAAAAAATGTTGCACCTAGCTAATGTGTTATATATGCAGGTTTGAAAAAGTTCCGGAGCTTCTTGATGTATGTGCTTTCGAGATCCGTGGTTTGATGGATACTCAAATCCTATCTCCAAGAACTCATTACTCGGCTTACGTAGTGTACAAGACAAGAACTGGCTGTCATGGCTTCCGAGATTTGCCCATACAAGTTGGAATTGGATTGGTTGGACAAAAACATCCTAAAACATTCATATGCTTCGATGAGTCTACGGATAAAATCAAAAAGTGGGCAAAGAGGGAGCTAATGAAGTCAGAGAAGAGAAGAGATGGATGGATAGAAGCAAAAATTGGGGAATTCTTCAATGAAGGAGGATCATCATTGGGTTGTGATGAGATTGAGCTAAGTGTTGTAGATATTGCTTCACCTTATTGGAAGCGTGGATTGATCATTCAAGGAATTGAATTCCGGCCTACCAAAAAGTAATACCGGTTTACTGCTTGGAAGAAACGGTTTGATAATTTCCCGGTTTATACTTTTGTGATCACATGTATCTTGTATAATTAAGAAGCAAGTTAACCTTAATTTGTTGTTTCTCTTAGGGGTAGAGAGATATTTATCTTGTCTGTTTACGGATTGGTTTATTACTTTAGTATAAACAAAGCATAATAGTAAATTTGGTTTCTTACAAACATAAACCAAATCAACAGTTCGTAAACAGCAAAAAAAGAAAGCATGCAACGTGACGGGGGAGTTGGGGACGCACGCACGTCGCATGCGGCATGCATTGACACAATAAAAGGGTGATTCCGTAAATACGTGCGGATGACTTTACACTAGATGTTTTTCTATTGATTCCTTAACAATAAGGGCGACTTAACTCTAATTAAAGATAAATCATTTAACAAAAAAACAAAAAAAAAATTGAAAACGCTTAAGACAATTCCTTAATTATGTGTACAACGCTTTTATTATATAGTTTTGTTAGATTAAACACAAAACCGACATTAAACACAAGGAGACGAAAACGTGCACACTGATGCAAAATATGAGTGGACGACTTAAGACGAGTCTTTTCTTTATCAATATTTAGACTTAATACGATTTCTTTAAAATCTAAGCTTCAAGATGAAGAAAGATGATACAGATCATAGAAACAACAAATGGGGCACAAGCAAAGCGTTGACTCAAGAGACAAAGGCGAGAAAGTTTTTGGTTCTTCCTCGAGTGGAAAAGAACATGGCCTTGTTAAATCTAGCGGCCAAGGGGGAGGAGCACTTGTCTTCGGGCCTTCGCCGTTCGATGACTTGCCAGTGGATTGCATCTCCAACATAATCTCTTTTACTAGTCCACGGGACGCTTGCGTGGCCGCTTCGGTTTCTAAGACCTTTGAATCGGCTGTCCAATCCGATACCGTATGGGACAAGTTTCTTCCATCGGATTATTCATCTTTGATTCCTCCATCGCGAGTTTTTGCATCCAAGAAGGAGCTCTACTTCGCTTTATGCGAAAATCATGTTCTTATAGACGATGGCAAAAAGGTATATGTTAATACGAGTTATTTTTATATAGTTATAGTATATGATTTGATTTGTAAACCTGATTTATAAAAAATGCTCGTGATACAAATGGAACAATTTTGGTGTAGTCGTGAAGTTATTATTATTCATTCATCTATTGAAATTTGATTGTTCTGATTTTTTTAATTATGTATTTTATTTTGCAAAAATAATAGAGTTTCTGGTTAGAGAAAGGAAATGGAAAAAAGTGTATCATGCTATCTCCTAAGAAAGATATGTGGATCACTTGGGTTAGTACTCCTCAGTATTGGCGATGGATCTCAGTTCCTGAAGCTAGGTACGTAACTTCTTTTTCTTTTTAATCATTTAAATCTATTGTAATCACATCCACATATGATGATAGTGGGGAAAATAATGTTGCACACGCATGCAGGTTTGAAGAGGTAGCAGAGCTTCTCAATGTGTGTTGGTTTGAGGTCCGAGGGGGCATGAGTACTAAATACCTATCTCCTGGAACTCGTTACTCGGCTTACATTGTGTTCAAGACAAAGGATAGATGTCCTAATCTGGGGGATGTGCCAGCAGAAGCTACGGTCGGATTAGTGGGACAAGAATCTTCTCAAAGATTCATATACTTTGTTGGGCCTTCGGATCGAAGAAGAAGAGACAGAGAAAGGAGAGATGTAACGAAACCAAATATGAGAAAAGATGGGTGGATGGAAGCTGAGCTTGGTGAGTTCTTCAATGAATCAAGTTGTGATGAGATTGCAACAAGTGTTCTTGAGACTAAGTCTCCTTATTGGAAGCGTGGTTTGATCATTCAAGGGATAGAGTTCCGCCCTACGAAAATCCGGTAAAAGTGATACAAATTATTCCGGTTTATGTTTGTTTGCTTGTAAGCTAGTGAAAAGCTTTATTGTATTTGGACTGTGTGGTTTGGTTTTTCGATTCTGATGTATGTTTATGATTGTCACATGAACAAATTCAACAAAGGAATTGTATTCTATTTTTCTTATCATCTACTATGATTTGGTACACTTTACTTAACCGAGAACGATAGAGATCAAATAAAATATATGTAGAAATTTCGTAGACACACAGATCTTAACAAAGATGCATCGAATTTATAAATTCTTGACTTTTTCTGACTAAATAATCTTATCATATAACTTTCTTTGGTAACAAAAACTTCACAAGTAAGAATGTAAGATAAACACGAAACAAAAGTTATTTGCTTTGAGTGATTTCTGAAAAAACTTTTGAGAATCTCTTAAAACGATCGCAAAATTTTAATAACCTTTTAATCATAAAATCACCTCTCTTTATTTTTTTTTGGACCAAAAAAATCACCTTTTTTTTTGTTTTTCATCATAAAATCAATTTACTTTGCTATTTTTGCCAAAAATAAATAAATATCATAGTCGGTTCAATTGGTTTATTAGATTTATTTTATTTAACTACCGGAGTGCAAAACCAACCAACCAAGTCCAACAATAGATCTGCACACGAGACGACATTGCACGAATCATATTCTTACTTTTAAGACAACAGAGGCGAGTTCTGAAAGAGTCAGACGACGGCAGAAGTCACAAACATAAAAAAAAATCACGGATCCGATGATGGGGAAAAATCATACCGGTGGAGAGATCGTTGTTCCGGGGCCATCACCTTTTGATGGCTTGCCGGAGGATTGCATCTCGAACATAATCTCTTTCACAAGTCCACGAGACGCTTGCGTCGCTGCATCAGTTTCGAAGACCTTTGAATCGGCTGCTAATTCCGATAACGTATGGGACAAGTTTCTTCCTTGGGACTATTCCTCTCTGATTCCTCCATCGCCAGTTCTCGCATCGAAGAAGGAGCTTTATCTCGCTCTCTGTCACAATCCTGTTCTAATCGAAGATGGCAAAAAGGTACATATGTATTATTCTCAAATTAAATTAGTATTTATATATCTTATTAACCATAGGTTATACGAATAATGATCTGTCTAGAGCTAGGGTTCAAATTGGACTTCATGTGTAGAGTTATTGAGTTCTGTTAGATGAAGTTTGTGAAGAAGATTTGATTTAAAAACCTAATTTTAGAAAATTCTTGATACGATGGAACATTTTGGTGTAGATGTGAATTTCTAGTTCTTACTTTTTTATTATCTTTTTTTCCGAAAACCAAAGAGCTTTTGGTTAGAAAAAGCGAGTGGGAAAAGGTGTATCATGTTATCTTCAAAGGAACTTTGGATCACATGGGGAAGTAGTCCTCAGTATTGGCAATGGATTTCAATTCCTGAAGCTAGGTACATAACTCCTTTTTCTCTTCCACTTAGCTTGATTGTAATAGTCCTCTATCGGAATTGGCAATGATGATGATGATGTTTTGTATACATTGTTGTTATTATGTAGATTTGAAAAAGTAGCGGAGCTACTTGATGTATGTTGGTTTGAGGTTCGTGGCAAGACGAGAACTCGTGAGCTATCTCCTGGAACTCGATACTCGGCTTACATTGTGTTCAAGACGAAAGATCAATGTCCTGGATTAGGACATTTGCCGGTAGAAGTTGGACTTGGTTTGGTTGGACAAGAAACATCTAAAAGATTCATATATTTTGTTGGACCTCGGGCACGAAGGGGAGGGAGAGAAACGGGAGATGTAATGAAACCGGAGGAACGAGAAGATGGGTGGATGGAAGCTGAGCTTGGTGAATTCTTCAACGAAGCAAGTTGTGATGAAGTTGAGCAGAGTGTTATTGAGACTAAGTCTCCTTATTGGAAACGTGGTTTGATCATCCAAGGAATCGAACTCCGCCCTACAAAAAACCCTTAAAAGCAAGAACCGATGCGATTCCGGTTTATGTTTGTTTGCTTCATGAGTTCTATATCTAAGCAAGTCATGATAAACTTTGTTGTATTGTAACATGAACCTCTTTTAACATTTTGGATTGTAATGTGTGGGAACTTGAGAAGGACTAAGAGAAGTACTTTTATTTTGTTTGGGTGTTGTAATGTTTGATTTTTTGTTCATGCATCATCATCAGTACATGAACAAATATCACATAAAGAAAATGTATTTATTTTCTTCTTATCTTCTATAATACTTTTATAGACTTTACTTAGCTAGAAATAGAATGACACATATGACTAAATCTTATTAGATGAACTAGTCTTGATAAAGACTTTGACTTTGGGAATATAATTTTATACATTATCCCCCTAGTCATACATAAGTAATAAGAAAGACTTCACAGGTAAGTTAAACACGTAACAAAAGTCACTTGCTTTGCCTGATTACATAAAGGCCAAACCTTTTTTTTTTCAATTTTATTTCAAAAAACAAAACTTTTGAGATTCTATTTATCAAGACGTTAACACTTATAAGGGTATAATAGTAAACTCGCATTAAAAATCTTAACCTCTAAGTCTTTGATGCCGATATAAATATCCACTTCATTGACACGCTCACAACAAAACAACACAACACACCGTTTCATAAAGATACTCTTCTCATCGTCAGATTCCAAAATTCAGATTCCAAAAAACACTATGGAGCAAATTCACGGTAGCCGGAACAATGAGATTGCTGTTGCGGCGGCGGCGAGATTCGATACATTGCCGGAAGATTGTATCTCGAAGGTGATTTCACACACTAGTCCACGAGACGCTTGTGTTGCGGCTTCGGTTTCGAAAGCTGTGAAATCGGCGGCTCAGTCGGATTTGGTTTGGGAGACGTTTCTTCCGATGGAGTATTCGTCACTTGTTCCTCAACCGGCGACTCACTCGTCGAAAAAAGAGATCTTTATATCTCTTGCTCATGACTCTGTTTTGAGTGAAGATGGCAAAAAGGTAACGACTTTGAATCCGATTCGGGAATGTGAAATCAGGGTTTTGCTTTGTTTGCTTTGAATTTTTGATTTTTTTTTGGTATAAATGCCTGATTTTGTAATATTGATTTTGGGGAAAAAACAGAGCTTTTGGTTGGACAAGACTAGTGGGAAGAAGTGTTACATGTTGGCAGCTATGGATTTGACGATCATTTGGGGAGATTCGCCTGCTTATTGGCAATGGATTACAGTTCCTGAATCTAAGTAAAGCCCTAATCTTTTTTTTCTCCTTTGTGTTCTGAAATTGTGCTGTTGAAGTTTATTTACTTAAATCTTCTCTGTGTGTGAATTTTTCAGGTTTGAGAAAGTGGCTGAGTTGCGTAACGTGTGTTGGTTTGATATTCGGGGGAAGATAAGTTGCAGAATGTTATCGGAAGGCACTCATTACTCGGTTTACATAGTGTTCAAGAGGGCACAGAATAGATCATACGGGTTTGATAGCGTACCTGTGGAAGCTGGAGTTGGTTTTGTGGGCAAAGAAGCTACCAAGAGATCAGTGTTTCTCGAATCAGGCGGTGCTGCGGGTTCACGCAGCCATGATTATGGTTACACGGGGATTTCGCATGCCGTAGTATCTAGAGCGTTTAGGAATAGGCGGTCGTGGTTGCTGGTTCCGGGAATAGTAGAAGAAGAAGTTGAAGTAGAGAGGGAGAGTGGTAGGAATGCGGAGGAGCCAAAGGAGAGTGGTAGGAATGCGGAGGAGCCAAAGGAGAGAGGAGATGGGTGGAGTGAAGTGGAGCTTGGGAAGTTTTACATCAACAATGGAGGTTGTGATGAAGGTAGTGATGAGATTGAGATTAGTTTGATGGAGACTGAGAATGGACATTGGAAGAGTGGTTTGATCTTTCAGGGATTTGAGATCAGGCCTGAAAGAAGAAACTGATTGATCAAACTTTGTGTCTTGAAGTATTAACTCAAGTCTTTAAAAACTTGTATTTAATGTCTCGAGTCTACTTACAGTTTGGAGTTCTTGATTTGAAAAAGCAGAGAGATTGATAATTTTCTCTCCTTTGTATTAATATCTAAATAGCAGGTAAGATTGTTCATGATTGTGGCTTTCTATCTCTTATTTCATGTTTCCGCACCCTTGCATATTTTTTGAGTCTTCGTTCAACAACAGTTCAAACCACTCTTTTGTTTAGTCATCATGTGATAGTTGCAAGAGTCGCCACACTTAAACCATGAAGAATGTGTAAGCATCGACCAAGTTTCTCTTCACCATATACTAGAAGAACGCATATATAGATTTAGACTAAGCTTCGGAATGGTCGAATGGATTTGGCCGTTTTCTCGTGGATGGCTAAAATGGCAGTATAAAAATGATATTAGATGTTAATTCGTTGATACTTTCGTGGCTATTAAGCTTATGGGGGATATAGCCACGAGATTTCTAGTTGGTTCAGATTGGCCAAGCAATATTTGTTGTGGCTAAATAACTGTTTACGACATGCTAATCAATGGACATCCAAGCCCAGTTTGCTACAAATTTGGGCGAAGCTCATATAAGAAGGCAACAATGGTAGTGGCAGTATAACCAAGGATTAGGATACATAATATTAGCTACATCAGTTGTAATGTTTGATACATGGTTTAATTAGCTTATTGATCTCTTGGTTAATAAAGTGTAAAAGCTAGATGGTTTATTTTGATTTGTTGAGAAAAAAAAAAAAAAAAAGGTGAAGGCTATTTGTGATGTGAAAATAAACCAAGCTAAGTAAATATGGGTCCGTTAGGTCTAATCTAACTATGAAGGCTTTTAAGAAGAAAACATATGGGCTTTGTTGCCCCTTACGAAGTCAATTTTGGGTTTTTTAGTGATTTAAAAGATTGTGAATTGTGACATAGTTATATATTCATATAAATACGGTACTCTAGTTCAATCGGCAGTCACATATCTAATAAACCCTTAAATTTCTTTTAGCCTCTAGGTATATGGTACTCTAGTTTTACACATCTGTTTTGGTTTTTCTATTTAATGAAACTAAAATTTTACAAAAAAAAACAACACAAATGTATAGAATTATAGGAAGAAGCAATATTTCATAATTCTTCTGAATCATTTGAGTAAGGTGTTCTATGATATTTTACATACTTTTCAAACTCACTATACTTCTAATGTGATATCAAAATCAGCTACAAAACCACTTAAGTCAATTTTCAGAAAGAAAGAAAAGAAAAAAAAAAACATTAATTATTGCAGGATGGAAGAGAAGACTCTCTAACGAAAACCGAATTATATGAAAAGCCATTACGAGCCACATGGTATTGAAGATTATTTGTAAGATTGTTGAATAGTCGATGTCACATGCTTTGACTGTCTCCTTCATTATACATATCGATGACCTTGAATACTTTATTATTAACATGGAATCGTATCTTAACTTTCTACGTAAAACAATTTTTAATCTCTTTATGAAAGATCATGCACACACTAGGAAAACTATATAAGTGAGTTTCTTATATGGTAAACCAACTTTGAATGTAGGCTAATTAGTTTATTAAGCAATATATATAGTCTTTTTATATATGTCTATGTTCATTTCACCAGTCACCTATATTGTCATTAAAGAAAGTTGTGTAATAAAATCATGGGAAAAAGTGTGAGACTTTTTGGTTTTGTTTTGTCAAAATGACAATCTATTTTTCTTTTCTTTTTCTTTCTTCAAACAATCTAAAGAAATTTAAACCACTGATTTGTATATAGAAAATGAACCATAACGTATACATAACTACGAGAGAATCCATTATCAGACTGACATGCGTCATTTTTTCTTTTCTCGATTCTATCGAACTAGTTAGTGACCAATTCTTACGACCAGAATTTGTGTTAGCGTTACATAGAAAAGTAACATTAACGCTTCCTAAATTTGTCGCTACTGAAAGAAAAAAGTATATTCACGACAAAATACAATCTTTCAACCATGAAAGTAATGTTGTTCTTGACCAATTCGTAGAATGCATGACACTTTTAAGTTTCTGGCTTCTCTCTAGTATTAAAATATCTTCCCAAATTGATATATAACTCATATGTGACCGACGTGGAAATATAACGTATTGACTCTGGAGTCTGGACATTATAAGTGCGCATGTATATTACCTAATCAGTGTGCTAAGAGTAAGAAGAGGTCGACGATGCATGCCAACAAACAAACAATTAGGTCGATATATTATACCTTTCCTCTTTGGAGTATATCATGTAATATGGCAAATCTAGATTTTGTTGCCCAAGCTTTTTTATTCGGAAACTAAAGAATATCTTGTAGGTCTATTTTTCCATTCATTATCATTATTTATCAACTTGCAAAAAAAAAAAAAAAATTGTAGTTGAGAAGAGAGATGCAATGCAATGCAAAGGTGTCAACGTCCGTGCTTTGACTTTTCTATGTCTCTTGTCCTCATCTTTAAGCTGACCTAACCGGTCACTCCCTTCTTCTCCGGTCATCTTTTAATTTTATTCAATTATATATTAACCCATAGGAAGCTTTTTATTTATATAAAACTAACAACTTGCTAAATATATAAAAGCCATAAACTTCAAATAAAAAACACCATTTTATAAAATTTTAATTAGTTACTTTCAGTACGTTATTTGAACACAAACGCTAACATTTTGACTATATTTTTTTTTTGTGAATAGCAACGTTTTGTTTTTGCATTATTATTTCAACGTTCGATCGTTTTCATAATTCATTAATCGTTCCAAATTTTCCTCTGTCTAATCTATCCGTTGAAGGCCAAATGCTAGACAAACTTATTATTCAAAGTACATATTTAGCCAAAAATAAAATAAAAAATAGACCTTTCCTAAGTCAAAAACTATGGATTTGGACTTCATATTTTTCTTTTCTAAACGCACTCAATTATAATTGAGAAAACACGCAAATGTTATTTCTATAACGGTTCTTTAACAAAATTTCCTTAAACGGGCAAATATAAACACAAGTATATTAAAACTTCAAAAAAAGTTGATTAGTGTTTTCATTGACCGTCATTAAGAAAACAAAATATTTTCATTCACAAGCTTCTTCGTCTTCTTCTTCTTCTTCCTTTATTTAAAGAAAGACTTTATTTTTTACTGTTTCTCTAATTAACAGAGAAAAAAGACCAAACACAACTCTTCCACTTTATCTCTCTCTCTCTAGAGTTTTGCCTGCATTTAAACACCCACTACTTGCTGTAGCGTGTTGAAGTCAAAAGTCGCCATTTTTTTCTCTTTCTTCTCTCTTCTCTCTCTCTTGCTTCATCTTCATTGATGATGATCATCTAAAATGGAAAGAATCATATACACCCATCTCTTATTCTCTCAGATTTCTCAAGGGTTCTTGTTAATAAAATCTTAATTCTTCTCAAAGTTTCTTCCTTTTTTTAATAAATATATTTCTTCTTCTTCCTCTATTTTTGAAATGCGTGTTCATCGTTTGTGTGTGATCGTCATCTTCCTCACAGAGCTACTATGCTTCTTCTGTTCATCGAAATCTCAGACCACCTTCACGTGTCATCAACGTGACCTCGATGCCTTACGTGGCTTCATAGCCAATATTGAACCAAAGCCAGATGGCTGGATCAATCCTTCTTCTACAGATTGCTGTAATTGGACCGGAGTCACCTGCAATTTAACCTCTACCAATCCAGACAACATCAGAAGGGTTACTAAACTGGAGCTCGGGAACAGAAAGCTGTCGGGGAAGTTGTCTGAATCTCTCGGGAAGCTTGATGAGATTAGGGTTCTTAATCTCTCCGTGAACTTCATCAACGACTCGATCCCTGTTTCGATTTTTAGCTTGGCGAATCTAGAAACTCTTGATTTGAGCTCTAATGATCTCTCCGGCGAAATCCCAACAAGTATAAATCTCCCAGCTCTGCAAAGTCTTAATCTTTCTTCCAATGGATTCACTGGTTCGCTTCCGTCACATATCTGCCACAACTCTACTCAAATCAGGGTTGTGAAACTTGCGGTGAACTACTTCGCCGGAGATTTCACTCCCGGGTTTGGTAAATGCTTTTCCCTCGAGCATCTCTGTCTTGGTATGAACAATCTTACTGGTAACATCCCTGAGGATTTGTTTCATCTCCAAAGTTTGAATCTTTTAGGGATTCAAGAGAATCGTCTCTCTGGACCGTTGAGTCCTAATATTGGTAATCTCTCTGGTCTCGTTCGTCTTGATGTTTCTTGGAATTTGTTTTCCGGTGAAATCCCTGATGTGTTCCATCGAATGCTTAAGTTGAAGTTTTTCTTAGGTCAGACCAATAAATTCAGTGGAGGAGTTCCTAAATCGTTGGCGAATTCACCTACTTTGAATCTGCTTAACCTGAGGAACAACTCGTTAACAGGTCCTCTGCTTTTGAACTGCACAGCGATGACTGCTTTGAACTCTCTTGATTTGGGTACTAATAGATTCAATGGGTCGTTACCTGAGAATCTTCCGGGTTGCAAGAAGTTAAAGAACGTTAACCTCGCGCGGAACCTCTTCCATGGACAAGTGCCAGAGAGTTTCAAGAACTTCCAGAGCTTATCTTACTTCTCGTTATCGAATTCGAGTTTTGTTAATATCTCTTCTGCGCTTAGGATACTTCAGAATTGCAAGAACTTGACTACTTTGGTTCTTACAATGAACTTTCATGGAGAGGCTTTGCCTGACGATTCAAGTCTTCATTTTGAGAAGCTTAAGGTATTAGTTGTGGCGAATTGCAGGCTTACTGGTTCAATGCCTGGATGGTTAAGCTCGAGCAATGATCTTCAGTTGTTGGATCTTTCTTGGAACCATTTAACTGGAGCTATCCCGAGCTGGATTGGTGATTTCAAAGATCTTTTCTACTTGGATTTATCTAACAACTCGTTTACTGGAGAGATCCCTAAGAGCTTGACTACGTTGCCGAGTCTTACAAGCCGGAATGTCTCATTCGATGAACCGTCTCCAGATTTCCCGTTTTTCATGAAAAGGAACGAGAGCGCGAGGGCGTTACAATACAATCAGATTGTCGGGTTTCCGCCAACGATTGAGCTCGGTCATAACAAGCTCTCTGGACATATATGGGAGGAGTTTGGTAATCTGAAGAAGCTTCATGTGTTTGATCTCAAGTGGAATGACTTATCAGGATCGATTCCTAGTTCGCTTTCGGGTATGACGAGCTTGGAATCTCTTGATCTGTCTAATAACCGTCTTTCAGGCTCCATCCCTGTTTCTCTGCAAAGACTCTCGTTTCTTTCTAAATTCAGCGTTGCTAATAACAATCTCTCGGGAGTAATCCCTTCCGGTGGTCAGTTTCCGACGTTTCCAAACTCGAGCTTCGAGAGTAATGCTCTGTGCGGGGAGCACAGGCTCCCCTGTTCCGAAGGTACAATGGCTGGTGGTTCTGAAAGAACATTGAAACGGTCAAGAAGAAGCAAAGGAGCTGAAATTGGAATGGCTATTGGGATCGCGCTTGGTTCGGTTTTCCTTCTTACTCTTCTCTTGTTGATTGTGTTGCGTGCTCGTAGACGGTCAGGAGAAGTTGATCCGGAAATAGAAGAGTCAGAGAGCATGAATCGCAAAGAACTCGGAGAGATTGGATCGAAGCTTGTGGTTTTGTTTCAGAACAATGATAAAGAGCTCTCTTATGATGATCTTTTGGACTCAACAAACAGTTTTGATCAAGCTAACATCATTGGATGCGGCGGGTTTGGTATGGTTTACAAAGCAACTTTACCGGACGGAAAGAAAGTCGCGATCAAGAAGTTATCCGGAGATTGCGGTCAAATCGAAAGAGAATTCGAAGCAGAGGTTCAAACACTCTCAAGAGCACAGCATCCAAACCTTGTTCTTCTCCGAGGATTCTGTTTCTACAGAAATGACAGGCTTTTGATCTATTCGTATATGGAAAATGGAAGCTTGGACTATTGGCTACACGAGCGAAACGACGGTCCAGCTTTATTGAATTGGAGAACTCGGCTTAGAATCGCTCAAGGCGCTGCGAAAGGGTTACTTTACTTGCATGAAGCTTGTGATCCTCATATCTTACACCGCGATATTAAATCAAGTAATATTCTTCTAGATGAGAATTTCACCTCTCATTTGGCGGATTTCGGACTCGCAAGACTGATGAGTCCTTACGAGACACATGTAAGTACGGATTTAGTTGGGACTTTAGGCTACATTCCTCCAGAATACGGGCAAGCCTCGGTTGCAACTTACAAAGGTGATATATACAGTTTCGGAGTCGTGCTTCTCGAGCTTCTAACGGATAAAAGACCAGTGGATATGTGTAAACCGAAAGGAAGTAGGGATCTGATCTCGTGGGTTGTTAAGATGAAGTATGAGAATCGAGCAAGCGAGGTTTTCGATCCATTGATTTACCGTAAAGAGAACGAGAAAGAGATGCTTCGGGTTCTCGAGATTGCTTGCCTATGTTTAAGCGAAAACCCGAAACAGAGACCAATGACTGAACAGTTAGTCACTTGGCTTGATGATGTCTAGAAGAAAAAACAATATTTCTGTAGATTTGTAATCTTCAATGACAAAACAGTGATACATTTTGTAGGGAGTGGTTTTCATACTTTTGGGATACAATGTAAATAGTTTCCAGAGAATAAATTTGTTTCATTTGTTAATCTCAAATTTATGATTCAGATTCAGACATGAATATACGAGACAGAACTGAACATACTGTCCGGGAAAACTGATTAAATATTTTGTAAAATTTTCAGAAATAATGAGTTCTTGAAGAAAGAAAACAATCTCAAGCATTTTAGATTTGCTTTATAGATTCTCTCTTGATTATGTTAGTACTTTTTAGAGATTTTTGGTTGCTTTTTAAAAGTTCTATTTAATAAAAAGATGTTATATTTTAAATTTGATAGCTAAAAACCTTTTGGCCAACTATAGTCAGTTCTTGTTAAGAATCCATTTTCCTTAAACTTAATTGTTATAGGTGTGAAATCTGAAAATATTGTTCAACTCATTGGACCAAAAACATTCAAAGACTTTGACTTTGTAAGGTCAAAATCTAACATTTGCTTCATTGGAAAAGTTTGAAGTTTAGCATATTCCAATTCTCTTTCAATCGATTTCCTCATTTCCCAATCCCCAACGACAAGGAATTGAAATATATTGAAGTACTATTCATATTATTATTATTTTCTTATAACTTTTTAAAGATTGAATCTAGATTTGATAGTCAAGAATCAAGCCAGCCAAAATAATACGAAACATTAATGAATTTAAAAAAAGAAAGATTAGAGGAAAAAATAATTAAAAGCATTAAGCATGTCCATCAATAGTTTGTGAGATACTCGATTTAGAACGATGGAGATGCTCTAAACTCATAATGCGTGCATGATATATCTATCACTGTCTTTTGTCAAAACGCATTCATAGTTAAAGCACTTTAAACATGATTCATTAAACTAAGTTCCAATTCATTTAATACTTTCTCATATGCAAGATATTTTTATGTCTCTAGCTAGTGGACTTAATCAATCCATGAGGGGAGTAATCTCAAATTTTTAAAAACAGAAAATAATTGATATATACATACCACAATCTCATCTGGAATAATATCTAGTGTGATTGATGAGTTTCCACTTTTCACCATAAACTATACACAACTATATATTAATTTCTAACTAAATTAAAAATCCATAGTAATAATATTGGACTCATTACGGGGTGAGAACTTAGAATCATGGTACAAAACCTTCTTGGAGAGAAACTTTAGGAAGAGAACAACGAGAGATTTAAACCTTTAAAAGTCCTATCTACATCCTCCATGCATACTCATAAGGAAACATTGTTATATGGTACCCTTAGTTTAAGATGGGCATACAAGAATAGATATTACCTAGAAAAAATTAATCAGTTTACCATGCTAACTATTCCAAGATGCGAAATGCAAATGTCGATTAAGAATAATGAACTAAAAATCTAAAATGCAACAACTATGTACATGTAAGTACATTTTTTTTACAAAAATCTAACACAAAGCTAAAAAATACAGAAAATATTATTTTTCAACAAAACTAACATTGAAATATTCATTGCAATCTAACTAAATACACCAATGATAAAATAGAGTTCTAAGTTTTACCGACTCTAATAAGACTAATTAAGAGACACTAATTAAGAGACCAAAAGATAGACACTACTGCAATAACATTATTATTTCAATCATTTATACTATAAAAAAAGAATATCAAGGCAAAGAGTATAAGTGATAAAATCTAACATGTATGGTGTAAAATTTGGGAATGCCACTTCACATGTTTGAACCGGTCACCAAAGATTCAAAGCAAAATACTTCACTCATGATTTAAGTAAAAAAAAAAAACGAGCATAATCTGTAGGAGCCTCATCTACTTTCATGATAAATTCGTCAATGAGACTCTTACATGATGCCTTTCATCAAAAGTTATATTGTATCATATATAAGTTTGGAGACCTTATGTTAGAGAATCGAGAGACCTTATACACATTTGATTCAATCAAGTTCAAAGTTCCATCGATTTTGTAAGACTAAGAGACCAATGGATATATAATACTAGTGCAATCACAGAGATATTCCAATCACTTATTGGGTACAAGTAATAAAATCTAATACATCAAATTCATCAATCATCAGTGTATAATCCAAGATTCAGAACATAACAAACCCATTCAAGATTCAAGTAAAATATATACTACCATAGAGAAGTCTCAGATACGTTCAAAATAAGAAGACTCGTCCATACATCTCTTTCATAAAACAAAAGACCTTGATTATGATATTTTCAATTAGTGAATAGTGAAGACTCAAGCCAAGGGTACAAATATAGAATCTAAACACAGTAATCACTAGTTGATAATGCATACTTCCAAAATGTGGTTTCACATGCTTAGAAATGAAACATCAAGGGTTTAGAGCATAACACAAAACCAATACATTCGAGATTCAATAATATCATTACCATGATGTGCATTACTATCACATAAATCTAAAACTATGAGTCTACAGGAGACCATAAGATGCATCTATTTCATATACATTCAAACACCAAACAGAGATAGATAATATAATATACAAAATTCTAAGATGCCATTCACATGTTTAAAACAATCAGCAAAGCTTTAGACTTTATACCATAACAAAATCAAGATTCAAGGAAACTACAATCATAATCTATAAAAATCACACCTATTGTCAAATATATATCTACAAGAGACTCCAAGATGCATATATAATATAGAATAAGAGACCTTATGATACGCAAGCATTGAAAAATAGAGAATAAAACACATAAAACACACAATAAGCTCATGTAGAAACGCAAGCACTTTTTATGATCTTGAAACTGAATATACCTAGTCTCTCGAATTGGAACATGTCCCTGAACACATCATCTTTAAGTGTTGATACAGCAAAAGCACCATAAACAACTACTTTGGAGTTCAGGTTAATGTCAGTGAGCCACTCATCATTGAGTTCAGCAGGGTTCAGTTATTATTAGATACAATTTAGCTTTATGGAACAATCTTTGTAACTAAAGAAATTTTTTGAGAACAATATGCATACCTAAGAGTCAGAGTTATTACCACTGCTCTCTAATATGATGATAAAGACGACTCACATGTATTATACTACCATCACTTCAACATAGAACAATGGAGAGCAAATAAAATGAAGATAATTAACATAATGCCAAACAGAGGATTACTCACATTTAAAGTCACACCCCTCTGCCTTAAACCTGCAAGTGTCAAAAAACGTGGATCATCACAACCACATCCACAGATTTGTTTGGCACGATGTAATCCAACTACATCAAAAGAAAAGAAAATTGATACCACAACCAACATGAATATCTGCATAAAATGCTTGAAGTTGTTCACATCTAAGTTAATACTATTTCAATGCTGTAAATAGCCAAAAGACCTAGAAAGGGCCATACCGAATGCAACAGTGCAGTCAGCATAATCATAGCTCGGTTAGATACAATATCTGTCACCAGCCTTAGGATGAGGGTTGATCTGCAAATCATATATATATATATACAATTCAGACAATAAGAGACAAGAGAGAGTCTATTTTCTTATATGTAATGTAACCAGAGATGATTTAAGTTTCACTTGCCTCTGTTCAATAGCCAATAAGGTCATGCATATTGAAATTTTCACTATGCATTTCTTGCTTTATTCTTGCCTTCCCCTGCTCAATCATTCCTTGACTCATTTCAACAAAAAGTTTTAGAGTTTTTTCAAATAGACATGTCCCTCCAGGGATGTTCATTTTCTTTTCTCTGTCCTTTTTTTTTATCTCCTCAGCATCTAAAAGTATAAAATAAGTTTTACGTGTGGAGTAAGTTGCACTGGTAGAGCTAAAATTGACAATTAACTGAAAAAGATACAGAAATCTATATCTATCAGAACGTTTAAATTAAGTTAACCTAAAGCATGACCTCTCAGAATCAATTCCAATGCCAAATCATACAGTTCTTGGAAACAAACTCTAGTGTATGTAATCTAGAAAAAGACAAATGGTAATGTTATATGAATTCAAAAACACACTAATTATAGTAATGCAGTTGCCACTTACCATTTCTTCGATGTGATCAATACACTCTTCCTTCTCTGCCTCACAAGAAGTAAAATTAAACTTTCACATGTAAGAAAATCAGATTATCACAGAAAACTCAGAAAAACATATACCTCGTCATAAGTTCAGCTACACTTATATAAATCTCCTTGGCATCAATGAGAATATCAACATCTTTGGAAGCACATATACCTGAAGCAAATTAAAATTAGTCAAAACTATGGCAGGTCTAGAACAGGCTTATATGTTTAGACTCCGATGAATAAAAATCCATCCATTAGAAACAGTATCTTCTCCATAATACAAATTGAGAACAGCCTAACATACCTCATCAACATAAGCAAGATCTTTGTCAAGTGATGGCTAGGCCAAGTCAACTGAGTAAATAAAAGTCAAAGTAACAAGAATCAGTCCCAAGGATGACAAAATTCTACAACTTTCGTTTCTACCAAATAAAAGCCAAAGTAACAAGAATCAGTCCCAAGGGATCATGTATAATTACTTTCTACCGAAGTCGATGCAAACACATCAATGTAAACGCAAGAATCTGAAGCTGGTAACTTAACTTCCTAGAATCCTTCACAGTCAAACTCAAAGTAGCCACCGTATTTGCCTGATAAGAAGAAACAAAAGCCAGATAAAAAAAAAAGAGCTGACAAATCAACGAGACTATCAACATCTTAGGAAGCACTTACCTGAGAAGCACTTACCTGAGCATTTAATTACAAATAATTACAAACAAGTTTGAAAAGCACACAAAAACAGAAAACGAAAAGGTTTGAAAAGCATCTACCTGTCAAGAAGTCTGCAACACTTGAAATCTACTCAAAGTCACATACCTGCAAAAATCAGAATTTGTTAGTTTTCATTTTACATGAATGTTATACTTACCTTGTTCCTGCATATTCTTTGTCAAATATCTTGGTCTTACAACTTTTTAGAGTCATTGAGCTCACCTACTTTAATATGCTGGTCGTTTGTACCATCCAACGAGGCAACAAGTCTCAAGTCTACACAGCCTGCATATTTTTTGTCAAATATCTTGGTCTTACAACTTTTTTAAGCTGTTGGTGTATTAGCTCTATTGTCTTGTCTTAATAGTTGGCTAGACTTCATTAAGCTGTTGGTGTATTAGCTCTAAGCTCATTGTCTTGTCTTAAAGACTTTTTTCCTTAATCCGTTGGTCGTTTTTTACCATCCAACACTGCTCTCCTTGCATGTATTAGCTCTAAGCTCATTGTCTTGTCTTAACGACTTTTTTAATCTTATGCCTCCTTTGTCTTACAACTTTTTTAAGCTGTTGGTTTATAGCTCTATTGTCTTGTCTTAATAGTTGGCTAGACTTCATTAAGTTGTTGGTGTATTAGCTCTAAGCTCATTGTCTTGTCTTAAAGACTTTTTTCCTTAAACCGTTGGTCGTTTTTTACCATCCAACACTGCTCTCCTTACATGTATTAGCTCTAAGCTCATTGTCTTGTCTTAAAGACTTTTTTAATCTTACGCTTCCTTTGTCTTACAACTTTTTTAAGCTGTTGGTTTATAGCTCTATTGTCTTGTCTTAATAGTTGGCTAGACTTCATTAAGCTGTTGGTGTATTTGCTCTAAGCTCATTGTCTTGTCTTAAAGACTTTTTTAATCTTATGCCTCCTTTGTCTTACAACTTTTTTAAGCTGTTGGTTTATAGCTCTATTGTCTTGTCTTAATAGTTGGCTAGACTTCATTAAGCTGTTGGTGTATTAGCTCTAAGCTCATTGTCTTGTCTTAATAGTTGGCTAGACTTCATTAAGCTGTTGGTGTATTAGCTCTATTGTCTTGTCTTAATAGTTGGCTAGACTTCATTAAGCTGTTGGTGTATTAGCTCTAAGCTCATTGTCTTGTCTTAAAGACTTTTTTCCTTAATCCGTTGGTCGTTTTTTACCATCCAACAACTGCTCTCCTTACATAATGCATGCACTATCCATCCAAAAAGATCCGATTCCCATTCTTTTATGTCTTTTGTCTTATATCTCATTCCAAGTCACTCCCAAAGCCGAGGGTACCAAACTCTTAGAACTCTTTGGTTCTTTTCTGCCTTCTGACTTATAAGCCATGGTATCATCCAACAAATCGAAACCACTTTTCCAACTCGCAACATGCATGCACTACCAATCCCATAGTTCACAACTGTTCACGGGACAACGGGACAATGTCCCCAAAAAAGAATCTTACATAACACTATTACATAAGTGTCTGCCTTTGATCTTTTTTGGGTTTTGAAAGAAAACAAAAACGAAACATCAAAACTTAAAAGATCCAAAACTAAGAATCCGCAGACCAAGAAATCAAAACCAAAAACGGATCTGGATTCTTATTTAAGATGCTGGTCAAGGAAAACAAAAACAAAACATAAAAACAAAAGGTAAGAGTAAGACAGAGTAATACATCAAAACTTAAAAGATCAAAACAAATACAAAAACATCAAAACTTAAAAATCCAAAACTAAGAATCCGCAGACCAAGAAATCAAAACCAAAAACGGATCTGGATTCTTATTTAAGATGCTGCTCAAGTAAAACAAAAACAAAACATAAAAACAAAAGGTAAGAGTAAGACAGAGTAATACATCAAAACGTTTTGAAAGAAAACAAAAACGAAACATCAAAACTTAAAAGATCCAAAACTAAGAATCCGCAGACCAAGAAATCAAAACCAAAAACGGATCTGGATTCTTATTTAAGATGCTGGTCAAGTAAAACAAAAACAAAACAAAAATAAAACACAAAAACAAAAGGTAGGAGTAAGACAGAGTAATACCTCGACAAAGCGGAGACAAGCTTCAACTGATGATACATCTGATGAGGAAACACGTAAAACATATGGTTGTCACGTAACCAACCTACACAATACATAAGAGAGAAAATGCGTAAACAGCTGAGAAGAAGCAAAGAGTAAAGACTTTACTGGTTTATACTTGAGATTTTAAAATTGATGGTTCATCAGCTTTTTGCAGCGCCCTTACCAACATTAGGAAAAGCCTGCCATAAGATCAACATAAAAGGAAAAACAATCAAGCACAAACGCAAGGTTATAAAATCATTTCAATGGTATACTCATAATGCATATGTACTCAGTTTAGCACCAAGGGAATCTAGTCTTAGCTAGGCATCAAAGCAGGACAAGAATGCAAGTGACTGTGACTGCAAGAATATGAGCACAATTTGTGATCTCATTCCTCAAATAGTGACAACACAGTTCTAGTGGTAATGACAGAAACTATGGTGATGTCAAATGTCAATCAAAAACCAACCAAAGACCAATCTTGTAGACAAGAAACAAAATCTACCTAAAACAGAAAGTAAATACAGAAACACGAAGAGGATCAAAGGAAGAAGAAACCAACCAATCACCACGAGGATGAAGAAGAAGGAGAAACCAAGCCGCCAATTAAAATAGCATCCTTTATGTACCAAAAAAAAACCCTAGATCTGTACACAACACAAGAACAATTAGAAAATTCAGAAACCCTAAAAAAGAAAACACGAAGAGGATGAACAGAGTAATCAAACTTACCAAATCACCACCACCACGAGGAGGAAGAAGAAACCAAGCCGCCGATTCAGATAGTACCCTAGAGATCAATACAAAACCTAGATAAGAACGGTTTCGCAAAATTTAAATAGATCGCGTAAAAATTGCGATACAGAGAAATTGAAATTGAAAAATACATATGGATTAGTTTAACATGAATCTCCTCTCACCAGTCGTCGAAGTGTTCTTCATTCAAAAACCCAGAAGAGCGAAAAAAAAAATATTAAAAGAAAAAGAAAGCGAAACTTTGTTTCTCTAACAACAGTGTTGTGAAATTATATATCGTTGCGTCTTGAGTGATGCGTTTGCTTAACGGCTATTATTAAACATAGATTGACCGTTGATGATTTGTCAGATACTTTAATCCGACGGTTCCGCTTTCTCCGCGATTAAAAAGTGAATTAGCAATATAAACAAACGCGGAAACAAAGGAAAGGAGCGTTTTCTCCTCAACGGTCATATGTGGTCTCTCGAGACAGATTAAATGGGTTTCATAATGTAAAGCCCAATAAGGTCCATTAGTTTCAAGTTTCAAAATTTAAAACTCTATTGTTTTTTTCTTTCCGCTGGCTTCGGTGAAGAGAAACGCTTTGGTAAATTTTTTCCGTGATTTATGTTTTCATGTCTAATAATATGTATTACGAATAATTCAACTCTTTCATCTTATCAAAATTGTCAATCATTTGCAAATTGCAACCCTAATAACTTTAAGAATAATAGATCCTAATATGAGGTTTTATTGCAAAAACATCAAGGTACGTCAATGTCACAGTCTCACTTCTCTAGTAGAGTAGGTTTCAGCACAAATCTGCACGATCCTTCCATGTATTACCTTTTTATATAACTTTTTTTTTACAGCATGACACCTTATGTAAAGGGAACAAAACCCAGTTTTCAAAATTTAAGCGAATTCATTCCCATCATCAACCAGACGACTTAATCAGCATTACATCTAATTTCATTTCGTATCTAATGCTTTCCTCTCTATTGAATACAGAAAAGCATAAAACAAAACGGTCTTATCTTTTCACCTGATCATATAGTTGTCCTCCTGTCTTTACATTTCAGCGAATCTGATGGTATTGTGTAATGCCTCGTTTTGGTGGTAGCTTTCTCAAGATGAAGAGGACCAGAGAAGACGGTAGTATCTCTACCAACTGTAATCAAGTACCAGGATCAGGTTACAAACAAGAAAAGAAGAAAGTGAAAAGAAATAAAGTTCCTGATCAGAGATTATATGGTTAAGCTAAGAGAGAGGGTTTGACGAAAGGAAATAGAAAAAGCTCAGAGAGAAGGTTACCAGGTAATATATGAAGTTGAGGATGGGATGTTCTAACACATCAAGGTTTGCACCCTCATCGAAAGCAGCAAAGCACATCTAAACCATATTAAATGATAAAAGCTTTGGTTAGATGTTAATTCCAAAACTGACTATAATGTATAATAGAGAAGATAATCCAACCAAGAAGACAAGGATTCATAGATATTAACAAAACGATGTGTTTGTGTGAGTCTTTACCATGATACATCTGATGAGGAAACACGTGAAACATATGGTTGTCACGTAACCAACCTACCATACATAAGAGAGAAACGGCGTAAACAGCTGAGAAGAAGCAAATAGTAAAGACTTGACTGGTTATATTTATGATTTTCTAGAATTGATGGTTTACCTCTTGCAGCTTTTTGCGGCGCCCTTTAGATTCTACTGGAAACCTTTGCAGCATTAGGAAAAGCCTGCCATAAGATCAACATAAAAGGACACAAAATCAAGCACTAATGCAAGGTTATAAAATCATTTTCAATGGTATATGCATATGTACTCGGTTTAGCACCAAGGGAATCTAGTCTAGCTAGGCATCAAAGCAGGACAAGAATGCAAGTGGCTGTGACTGCAAGCAATACGATAAGAGTTTGTGATCTCATTCCTAATTGGTGACAACACAGTTATAGTGGTAATGGCAGAAACTATGGTGATGTCAAATGTTGAACATATTTAAGTGGCAACAGATTTACCTTCCACCGTAAAGTAAAAATCCAAGGGCAGCGAACAATGAAACACCTACAATTATAAAATTTGCAAGAGATATGAGACATGTACTATGGATTATATAGCAAGAGTGTATCCATAGGATCGAAGCTAATACCTGCAAAGAACATCTTAGATAGAACTACCATAACTCGAACAGGCTTCCACCACAAAACCAACCAAAGACCAATCTGAAAGTAATAAATCCAATTTTGACCGATACAAAAAAGAAAACTTCAATTTTGAGTTTCACAAATTTCTTAAAGATGAGAAATGTATATACCTGAACTATATACACAACTGCATTAACTGTGAAGAAGCTTGGCCTCAGTCCATCAGTGGATACGGCACGTGCCTGTCAATTCAAAGAATGTTGACTAAACATCAAAACCAAATAGCCATAAATACAAGTATCCTTATAAATTAGAAATTACCTGATAGTAAATTTCTGCCCAGAAGAGAACCAGAAGAGCATAGGTGGTGAAGAAAGCAAGACTTGGAATATCAAGCAAGATATGTTGCAGAATCTACAAAGAGAACATTTGCAAATTTAGAAAAGTTGACAAAAAAACCAGTTCACAGGATATTGAAAGATCCTAAACCTCTGGATTTATGAATTGAACATTTCTCCTGAAGACAAACACCACAGCACGAACTACGAGATAGAAGAAGATGAGCCAAATCAATCAATCAATCAATAAGAACATACTCAAAATACAAAATCACAATTCGAAGGAACACCAACCTCCATTGACAACGAAATTAAGAAAGTGGAAGACCTTTTGCGTCGTCCATCCGTATTCTGGAACTCTCAATTGAATCCTCACAAGTTGAATCTTAAGCCAAATTCCGTTTTGAAGAATCAAAATCCCTAAAAAGCGACGATGATTTTTAAAAAAACCAGAAACGAAAGAGACGTACCACAGCAACGACGGAAACGATTCCGTATAGAACAGCGAGGACATGGAAGATACGATCCTGCCAAATCGGAGACTCGTTTACATCAGACCACCAATTCGAAGCTTCTTTGAGATTCAACGCTTCCACCACATCCGAAGAAGATGACATCATCATCGCCGCCGTCGACGACGCAAGACCGCCGATTCTCATCTAACAAACGATTCAGATTCCTTCTCGATCTTTCTTTTTTGAATAACACATATGACAAGTCTCGATTTGAATCACCTTTTTTTCCCGAAATAAAGAAACAGCAAAAATGGAAAAAAAACGGCCGACGTCGGAGACGAGGGAGATAGCCGGTAATAAATTAAGTGAGAACCGGTGATAGCCGGTAAAATCAATCGAGAGATTGAAGTTGTTGGTGAATGTTGACTGACACGCTGCTACACGTGGCACATGTGGATAAAGAGCAAAACACAAGCTGGCATGATAGATTTGAATTCAAAGATTTTTGCCTAATCAAGTGAAGAAGCAAAAGTAAATACTATGACTAAGAAAAGTTAAAGACAGTTATGGTAATTTATGTTTAATTGAACTTACCTTGATGAAAAAAGATGTTATTTTGTTCAGGATTGGTTCCAATACACATAATATCTAAACAATCATTATGGAATTTAATTTGTCACATGAATTTGTATTATATATATACTAATATATAAAAAACGATAAATAACTTAAAAGCCAAATCCTTCACTCAATTTTCATATATATGTTTCCACTTGTTATTCTAAACTCTAAAGGTTAGTCAGTATTAAAAAAGCCATTTTTGTGAAATTAAAATTAAATGTTAAACTAATAGTAATTATTATAAAACATATAAAGTAATATAGATTTATGATATAGAATGGACAATATTATCTGAAAAGTTTTTATTATATTTATTTTAATTATAAAACATATGACTTTTATTGGGTACAATTTTTATAATCCGAAGGGCATAAGTATATGTTTTGATACTAGTTTGCTAACATCTTCATATTCTTATGTGGTGGTGGAGGATGTTTTTTGTGTGGTGAAGGGTAAAAAAATGGAGGTATTATGCCTGGATATTGGTTTGCTGACATCTTCGCATTCGTATGTGACGGTGGTGGATGTTTTCCGTGAGTTGGAGGTAAAAATGGATGTGTCACGCCTGGATATTGGTTTGCTGACATCTTCTCATTTTCATGTGGTGGTGGATGTTTACCGTGCGTTGGAGGTAAAAATGGATGTGTCACACCTGGATATTGGTTTGCTGACATTCTTGCACTTATGTATGATATAGGATGAAATGATTCAGTTGAGAGAGTTGGGTATCTAGCCTCGACAAAGCCAAATGCAAGAAGAAACAGAACCACCACCATTTTCATTGGAGAGAGCTCCATAATCATTATCTTATTTTATTTTATTTTGTGATTAAAGATGTTTACACTACCCTTCATATTTATATTGTTGTGACATACAAAAATATAAAGTAATATAATTATTTTTGGTTGACTAAAATTATATGTTGACCAAAAATATAAGGCAATATGGTAATTAGTTTACTTAAATTGTATGAATATATATATAGCAATGTAGTTATGTTAGTTGATGATAGGTTACAATTTCTTTGAAAAACATAAATAAAAGTTCTTTAAAAATTATATATTTCCTTTTTTATGAACATATCCCACAAATCTTTTCCACAAAAGAAATGATTCTAAAACATACCATCAATTGTTTGACCAAAAAAAAATCATAATTAGAGTAGTTTATATATTGCATCATATATAAATAAGTAAGTGAAACGTTTATTAAAAAGATGGTGAAACGAGTAAAACTTTGCTGAAGTGGCTAAAATGGCGATTGTTAAATAATTGGAGTAGTTTGGACGTAGGAAAACTTTGTTAAAGTGGCTAAAATGACGATTATTAAATAATTAAAGTAGTCCATTGATTTAGGAGTCTCATCTCAGGCCATGGTCGATTCGGTAAAATTTGCCCATCTCCTGAAAAAACATTGTAACAGTGATCTAAATCGGATTGAGGATATGACTGTCAAGCTTAATATAACAGAAGATGAGGATATTCTTCTCTAGAGAAGTCTTCGAGATAGGTACAAGAAAAAAGTTTCATATGAAAGGGCCAAGAGTTTCTAATTCACATATCACAGCCGAATAAAGATTGGTATAAAGGTGTTTGGTTCAAGAGCGTGAAACCAAAATACGGTTTCTTTACATAGTTGGTCTTAAACAATCGGATGTCAACAAAAAAATCGAGGTTTGAGTTAGAATTCGAATCAAAGAACTGATTGTGTCTTCTACGGTAGTTTTGTTGAATCCCGAGACCACTTATATTTTACTTGTCATGAATATGTGACAAATAGTTTGGTCTTCTCTAGCAAGTAGGTTGTTTGGAAATGATTTTACACTCAGTTCGACCCATCAATTAAGTTTCCTTAACAATACAAGATATGAAATTAAAGGAATCGTCTATGTCACAAGCGCAAACAAACAACGTTATCGTGATATCCCCAGCTCTTCACCTCATCTTGTAAATCTCATATACAAGAACATCTTTATGGTTTGCCCTTTGCCGCTCGACCACCTTAGCTTTTTTTTATGCTCTAACATATTAATTCAATTTTCATAGTCATAATCATTGTTAAAACTGTTTTTAAAAATAAAAATTAATTATTTAGAAAGTAACATGTTCACTAAAGTTTTACATGTGAGTACTATGTTGCATGCATTTCTTAGGAGTTGGAAGTGAATTCACTATAATGATCGGATATTGATTAGTTACCAACTTAGAATTCTTGTGTTTGATTGGTTGAGGACAATATAAAGGGTCAATAGCTTGTCATAGTACAATGCCTTGCTTATGGGCGGGCCTTTAAAAACAGCAAGCATCATATGGTAAAATAACTTAATAACTTGATATTAAGTATTCAAAATATATAGGGAAACGAAATTAACTTAAACTAAATTAACTTAAATGTCAAATAGAATTTCCTTTAGTTATTCTAAAAGTTGTCGATCAACATTTAAGAAAGTTTTTGTGAAAGCAAAATTAAATTTTAAAATAATGATTATTATGAAACATATAAAATATAACAAAGATTTATTATATAAAATGGATAATAATACCAAACAATTTTTACATTGTCATGTTATTATATTTATTTTAATTAGAAAACATATGAGTTTAAGAGGTGCAATATTTATAACCCGAAGGAAAAAATATATGTATGGATATATAGTTTATACTAATTTGCTGACATCTTCACACTATGATATTCTGGTGGTGGATGTTTTTTGTGTTTTGGAGGGTAAAATGGATGTGTCACACCTGGGTATTGGTTCACTGATATTTTTGCACTTCCGTCTGGTATAGGACGAAATAGCTCAGTTGAAAAAGTTGGGTATCTAGCCTGCCCAAGGCCAAATGCAAGAAGAATCAGAGTAACCACCATTTTTTATCGGAGAAAGCTTCTTAATCATGTTTATATTTTTGTTTGTAATTTAAATGTTTACCCCACCCTTCTTATTTATATTGTTCTGACATAAATAACATGAAGTAATATAGGGGGGGGGGGGGGTTTATTGGCTTAAGATTTAATTAGTGTTTTAATGACTTTAAATGTTACCTCGAATCTGTTGTTAATCAATCAAAATTTTATTAAACTCTGGTAAAGTTTGGTGTGATTAGTTTATGATTTGTAAAATGTCATCTAAAATCTTCATAAATATGAGATTATTAAATTCAAAATTTTTATAAGCCAATAACTTTTTTTGTTATTCAATTAAAACAAACAAATAAATCTCTGACTGTTAATGAATTAAATTATTGTATTATTGGTTTATGATTTTATACACTTTTAGTAATAAAATAAAATCATAAAAATGTATAATTAAAATATAGAGATTGTTTGGGAGAAAAAGTACTAATAAGATTATAGAATATTCTCAAGCAATCATATAGAATCTTTCTTTTATATACTATATATGATTTTATAAAGTCATCAAAATTTTAAAGTAGAATTATTTTAGTGAAAGTCTACTTCTTGTGAAAATTTAATTATGTGTAAAGTAGCTTAATTCTACTTTCAGTAAATATTAGCTCAAATCTACTTTTAGTAAAATTTAATTGGCTCAATTCTACATCATGTGTAAAACCCCAATATATACTACATCATGTGTAAATAATTAAATCAAAAACGGTGACTAAAGACATGTTGAAACAGATAAATGATAGTACAATTTTGTTTAAGTGGCTAAAATGACGAGTAGTTTTGGACGTCTTTGGACATGACATGGTGCAGTGAACACACTAATTTAGGAATCCCATCTCATGCCACAGTCGTTTTCGTTCGTAAGAGTTGCTCATCGCCGAAAAAGACATTGTAACGATGCTCTAAATCAGGTTAAGGATATGATTGTGTGTTCTACGATGGTGTGGTGGAATCCCAAAACCACTTACTTTTTACTTGTTAATATGCGCAAAAGTTATGGCTTTCTCTTGTAAGGTTAGTTGGAAATACTCATATACAAGAACATCCTTAACAGATTCAGTTCCATCCGAAACCAGAGTGACTATACTCAAAAAGAAAGGCTCACCTTATGTAGTTTGCCACTCGACCACCTTAACTTCTTACTAATATTGCTATATTAGTTTATCTTTGTTTTTCTGTAAAATATTAGCTCAATTCTTAGTTCAGTTTTTTAAGTTAGTATATATTAGCTAAAAAGGTCACATTCATTTTTAAAACTATAAATTTTACATTAATTTATTTAGAATCTATCTAACATGTTGACCAAAGTTTTTACATGTGAGTATATCGAATGAATTCTTAGGAATTAGAAGTGAATTTACGAGAATGTAAGCGCATCTTGCATTCGAATAAGTAGATGATGTGATCCTACGGATTAGTCACCGACTTGGCATTCTTGTCTTGGTTTTGACTAAGGACCATAGCTGTCATAATACAATAGGGATCATCTTAGTTTGACCGGTATGGCCTTACTTATGGGCGGGCCTTCAAAAACAGCAATGAGCAAGCATCCTATGGTGGTGAGAGGCCACATTTTTATTTTTTGTAATAATATACTTTTCTTTTTTTCTTGGCTCTGTGTCGAATTAAAATATATACCTCTAATCAGTACATATTTAGTGAAACAAGATTGTCAACATACAATATAATAATGTATTATTCGTTGTCAACATAAAAATATACCTCTTAGCATCAGATTTGCTTGTCAACATAAAACAAAAAAATTTATGATCATTATATTGAATAGTTTTACTACATTTTATCCTATAACCAAATTAAGAAATAATATAAGCAGAAATTAGTTCCTGTATAATCATAGTAACTGATATTCATTATAATGAGTATATCCTATAACCAAATTCATGGTAATTACCATTAATATTAACTATTCAGACTTTCAATAACTAAATATTCTAACTAGACTAATGATAAACTAACTCATTCTAATATGACACACATTCGAAAAAGCACAAACACTTAAAACAGAGATGTTAGTTGTCTTAGCAAATAAATATAATTCAAAACAACAATGCATAAGAACTATTCGATTCTGAACTTCAACACAAAACACCCTACAAATTACAATATAATTAACAATGACTACGTCTTTTAGTAACTGATATATCCGATAAAACAAACTATATACATTAAATTGTATTTCTTATAAACATGAACGAAAACATTACCGCGGGTTCAATACTAGTGTATTACTTATAATCTTAGCTTAATTGGTGCACAAATGCCAAACATGATATACAATACAAGTACATATATAATATCAACTTTGGTTGAGAATTGAGTTATATAAAAGTTTGAATTATTACATACAATTTTTCTTTTCTTTTTTTTTTTGGGTCAAGATGACCTAATACGTGCTATATATAGACACATATGACTAATAGTAAAACTACATGTTTATATCGGTAAAATTCGATGAAAATAGCAACTAAATTTGAATGTGAAGAATTATGATTAGAGAGATACAAAATTATTAATAGTGACAATAATAATACAAAAGTTTTTTCTTGTTTTGGTTTTTGGGAAAAGAGTACAACAGTGGCTTAACTTAAAGGCTCCATCACTGTGAATGTCCCTTATATTGATGTCAGCTTAGAAAAAAGAGAGAAGCTTTGAGTAAGAAAGACACAGTGTATCAGTCTCTGTACTTTCACAAGCTTCCAAGCTTTTCTCTCTTATCACTGTAACTCAAATAATGCTTTTCTTCTGATAATACACAATCTACAATATCTTCTTCTTATATTTTTTTCTTACACATTTCTCATCACTCTCAAGATTTGAGTTTAAAGACTGAAAGCGAACCAAAGTTGAGATTTTTAAGTTTCTCTCTCTCTCTTTCGATGGATTACGAACGAATCGGAAAGACCCAGGTGAGAAAAAAAGCTTTGGTTTCACGTTTCCCGAAACTGTGTTTTGCGTAAAATTAGGGAAATCAAAAGCCAGATTTGGCATTTTCTTGATTTCATAGCTAACTCTTTTGATCTCTATTGATTTCGTCTCCGTTGTGTCGTTTTCTTGTCATATCTCTGTCTTTTTCAAGTCACTTCATCTCTGTCTTTATAAACTCTTGTTTTGTCTCCGATGAGTTTTGTGAATAGGTTATAAGTAGCAGCGGCGGTGGGTTTTCACCGGGGAAGTTAAGGAGTATGCTTCTTCTGGGTGTTGATAGAAAGAAGAAAGAAGAAGACTCTACAATGAGATCTGAGTCTAATCATGTTGATGACCCTAGGGTTTATGGTGGAGCCCCTTAATCATTTCTTAATACTCTTTTTAATAACGCTTTTGTCTCTATTTGCTTAATGTGGAATCTAAAGTTTGCTACTTTTTTGGCAATGGTCTCTTCTTAACTCAGCTTTTGCTTTTGTTGTTTCCAAATGTTGCAGTTGCTAGTGGATTAGATGATTGTAAAGATGTTGATGTTGTGAGTGAGGTTCCTGATTGTTCTACTACAGGGATGGCTCGAGCGGTTAGTTTGGGTCTTCAGGAGTATACTAGTAGTCTTGATTATGATAATGTGAATGAGATTAAGAGTGTTTCTACAACATCTGTCTTTGAGTTTCAAAAGACTGAAAAGGAAAAGGTTCCTCAAAGTCAAAGAATGCCTATTAGATCATTCTCTAAACCGGCTCCATCTAAATGGGATGATGCTCAGAAATGGATTGCTAGTCCTACAGCTAACCGACCAAAGACTGGTCAGGTTCAGGTTCCGGGTTCTAGGAAAGGGCCTAGCTTTGGTCGTCAGTCTTCTATGAAGATTGTTGAAGTTGCTGATCTAAGAGCGGTTGAAGAACCTGATACAAAGCGGATAGATGTAAGCGAAGTGAAAAAGGACACAGGACACAAGTTTGTTAGCTGGGAAGTCGATTCCTACACAGCCGCGGATTCATATGTCAAACCGGTTCTTATGGTTGAGAACTCTATTGTACAATCAGCAACTGAAGGTGGTGTTATCTGTCTCTTTGAGTTATTCAATTTTTATGCACTGATTGTCTTCTGAATCCGAAGTTTACTTGCTTGCAGTTAATCTCAGTCGACATGACTCGTCAGTTGCAACTGCATTTGCCCACCCGCCTTCAACAGCGAGATCTGTATCTATGAGAGACATGGGGACTGAAATGACTCCTATAGCTAGCCAAGAACCTTCAAGAAACGGGACACCTATTAGAGCAACAACGCCAATCCGAAGTCCTATATCTTCTGAACCTTCAAGTCCAGGGAGACAAACATCAGCTTCTCCTATGACTAACAAGGAACTGTCAGAGAAAGAGCTTCAAATGAAAACTAGGAGAGAGATAATGGTGTTGGGTACTCAACTTGGCAAATTAAACATTGCTGCTTGGGCTAGCAAAGAAGATGAAGACAAAGACGCTTCAACATCACTAAAGACCAAAGCTTCTCTACAAACATCTAAAAGTGTTTCTGAAGCTCGTGCTACAGCGTGGGAGGAAGCGGAAAAGGCTAAGCACATGGCTAGGTACTCTAAAGTTGCATTGTTTGTCATAGTGCTCTCGTTTTCTTGAAAAACTTTGATATGACTTATGTCATCTCCAGGTTCAGACGTGAGGAGATGAAGATTCAAGCATGGGAGAATCATCAAAAGGCGAAATCTGAAGCCGAGATGAAGAAAACCGAGGTAAAGTATACCAACATAACAACTCAAGTTCAAGTCATGATTGTGAACAAACTTGGAAAAACTTAAGTGATGATGATGGACTTCTTGATATTACAGGTGGAAGTTGAGAGGATTAAGGGACGAGCGCAAGACCAGTTGATGAAGAAACTAGCTGCGATAGAGCGCAAAGCAGAGGAGAAGCGAGCAGCAGCTGAAGCAAAGAAGGATCGTCAAGCAGCAAAAACAGAGAAACAAGCTGAACAAATCCGAAGAACAGGCAAAGTTCCTTCATTGTTGTTCTCTTGCTTTAGCATTTGTTCTTAATAACGTATATTGTGGTGTTGTTAATTCTCAAGAACTCATCATTTGTATAATAAAAGCTTTGTAAAACACTTCCTTGTCATCTTTTTCGTTGCTTCGTAGATCCTCAAATCCTGGTTTTCATAGTGTTGTTGCGTAAGATGTACCAATCGGTTTACAATAATTTCATACTCGGTTAAGGTTCGGTTTAAATACCTTATCGTTTGTCTGTTTCACAACATCCCAAAGTCGCTGTTTCTAGCAGAGGTGTATGACTGTATGATACCAAGGCTTTCTTTTATATGGCTAACGTAGAAACCAATAAGAAACTAGCACGTGTCAGTATTATATTGATTAATACTAAACCGAACTTGATCTATTGATATTTCCCATCACAAAAGGAAAAAAAACTTTTAGGCTTAGCTTTTAAAGGGCACACACACAGAGTCGCGAGTTTCTCTCTGGTTCGCTCTTTGTGGCGGCTCGTCTTCTTCTTCTACGTTTTCCACGGGACTCTCTCTGATCGGTGAATCTCACGCTTTAGGGTTTCGATCTGAAACCTTTCGATCTACTTGAAAGAGAGATTTAGATTGAAATTTACAAGTAGTAATAATGTTTGCGCCCGCGACTCAACCGCAGCAGCAACAGCCACAGCAGCAGAAGCAATCGGAGACTGTTTCATCTGCTGAGGAAGAAGCTTTGAAGTGGAACACCGATTGTGTTTACTTTCTTGCATCTCCTTTAACCTGCAAGAAGGTAATTGATTTTGATTTGTGTTTTCGTCTAGATCTTATCCAGTTTCTGCTTCAATTAGGGTTTTGGATTTGGGATCTTAAGTTTCTTTCACCCGATTTTGTGTTCCCTTGTGGTTTTGTGTCCCTTGAAGCTTATCTCTACATACTTCATTTCTCCGTCTGCTTAATTTTAGTGCAAAACTTAGATCTGGTGATTTCGAACTTCTTGAATCCAAGTAGGCTTGTTTCTTAGGGCTGCTTGTTAGCTAGATTGAAAATCACATATATGAAGCTATATTTGGAAGGTCTTGTAAAGGAATTTTTGCTCATATACTAAGGTTCCTCAGTTTATCTTTATAGTTTCTGCAGTTAGTCTCTGATCAGCTATAGGGATTCTTATGGTTATATATTTTTCTGCTAACAGGGAGCTGAATGTGAGTATCGCCACAGTGAGTATGCCCGTATGAACCCAAGGGATTGCTATTATTGGCTGAATGGAAATTGTATGAATCCCAAATGTGGTTTTCGGCATCCTGTGAGTTTACTTTCTTCCTCAATACAAATCTCTGTTTGATATTGAAGATGTATTATCAAGTGTGCTTATGTGGTGTTTTTTTTTTGCAGCCTTTGGAGGGATTGTTGGGAAATCAAGGAGGTGCTCCTGCTGGTCCTGTACAGCCAGCACATGCAACCGCACAGCATCCTGGTGTTGCGAAACAGCCGGTTCCTTGTGTGTTCTTTCAAAAAGGCATGTGTATGAAAGGAGATATGTGTTCGTTCTTGCACACTCCAAATCCGGCTGCTTATAAAAAACAGCATCCCGTAGAAGCTAAGCCTTCTACTGATTCTCAGATTTCGAAAAAGCCGACAGAAAATAACACCGTGGAGAGGAAATTTCCAGATGCTAACCTCTCAAAGGTGGTTAAAGCACATACTGACATTTCGGCTGCACCAAAAGTCGCCTCTGCTGGACTAAGGGATAGTAGAAGTGTAGATGGACACATTTCAAAACATGTGGGATATGAGCCTGTTGTGCAGAGAAAGGTTGCAGGAGTTCCGTCTTTTACTGAAGGAGGCCGTTCCACTCACTTGCTTCAGAAATATGGATCTGATGATAATACCAGTTTTCACAATGGTAAGGATGCAGATGACGTCTTAAGAGAGTCGTCTCCTGGGTTTGATGTTCTTGTGGATAATGAGGATGAAGATTCTGAGTATTATAATGTTGAAGATCGATATCAACGGAGAAGTCAGGAGGGAGGAAACCCAGAGTATGACCCTGATTTCAGTGCAATTGCTGATGGTGACAAAGACACATTCCGTGATCAGCGTTTTGATCCATATGACCAGAGGGAAGACAGGTATGCATGGGGCCACCGTAGAGTTTCTTCTGAGAGTGGGGATCGTTTGGACAGAAGGGTTTACGCAGAAGATGAGAGATCAGAGAACATAGTGGAATCGGATCTGAGGTATCGTTTGGCTAAGCAGAGGAAAGGCAATGGTATGAGATCAGTAGGAAGCCATGACTATGCTGCTTCTGACTCTTCGATGGACAGAGGATATAGAGACTCTCGTAGGGATACACAGAGGGAAAACTCCATTAGCAGTAGCCGTCTTCAGGGTAGAATTAAGCTTCGTGAGAGAAGCAATGGCGACGAGGGTCACTTTGACAGGAGAAGTGAGAGAGGAAGGGACAGAAGCGAGTTATCATCTCAGGGTAGACTCCGTGATAGAATTAAGGGTAGGTTAGAGGAAAACCATAGTGGTAATCAGGAAAGAGGTTTCCGGGCTCCATGGGCTAGAAGAAGAGAAATGGAAGAGGAAAGAAAATCAGCTCCTAAAAGCATTGCAGAAACTAAAAGCAGCAAAGAGGAAAGTAAGACAGAGCCATCTCTTGGGAAGAGGAAAAGCTTGGAAGAGGATCATCATAGTCATAAGCGATCAGGAGACTCATTTGCAGCGCCGTTGCCTTTCAGTGAGATTCTCAAGAGAAAAAGAGCGGCTGCATCTGTCGGTAGCAGCAACAACAAGAAGGTTGAGACTGCAACGAAAGAGGAAGCTGGAGATGAGACGAAACTCATAACAGAAGAGAAAACCGAGGTTGTCTCTGAAACAAACACATTCCACGAAGCTGAAGTAGCAGAAGGAACGATGATGGAGGAAGAAGAAGTCGTTGGGGAGGAAGCTTATGAAGGAAATGAAGAGGAGCAAGCTTATGAAGGCGATGAGCTAAACGGAGAGTACTATTACGAGGAAGGATATGAAGAAGAGGTAGGAGAGTACGCCTATGAAGAAGGTGAAGAAGTAGTTTACGCGGCTGAGGAAGGAGAAGAAGAGGCAACAGAAGGAGGTGAAGCTGAAGGAGAAGAAGACATTGAGAATAAAACAGTTGAGATGTTGTCTTAAAAGAAAGAGATGACACACAAGAAAAGCTTTCGCTCCTTTCCTCTCTCTGCTTAATGCTGTGCAAACTGGAGAGAAGTCGTTGAGCAAGTAATATGCAAAAGTCGCTTTTTTATCTTCTTCGGCTTGGCACTGAGATTTTTAGCCGCCATTTTTTTACGTATTATGATTTCTTAAATTGTAACTGTAGAAGAAAGAAAAGAAACAATGGTACAACGTACAAGTGCAACAACATAATATTTCTGATTTTTTTGTTCAACCTTTTTGTTTTCTAATCTGTTTTGATATGTGACATTTTCCTCAAATTAATAGGAATTTACAGAATAAGAACCACAAAAATTGTAACATATTTCTTTTATTGTTAGCTTATAACACCTTTCTATTATTGTTTTTGCAGTGCCTATTAGATTTTAACACCTTTCTATTAGATTTTTGTTATTTTCATTTTAGCATTATTGTTTTTTCACTTTTAACAACACAAGTAATAGACCAATATGGTACCCAAAGGCTTATAAACTTTGGGTCTATGTATCCTGTCTGTAGAGGCCCAAACACCATATGCAGAAGCCCAAACAATAAATATATCATAAACAAGTGAGGAGGAATAGTCTATGAAGGAAAAAAATAAAAATAAGCAACAAACCCCAGACAGAGTTCATAAACCCTACTTTCTTCCTCTTCTTCTTCTTCTTCTTTCTTCAGTCGAATAGGTTGAGGAACACTAGAGTACTACCATGTCTCTGAGCTAAACGATGAGGCTCATTCTATTCACATTGAACCTTTTCCTGAAAATGTTCTGTTCTCTTCGAAACTTTATTCACATTAATCGCAGATTCCCTCGCCATGTAAGCCCTTGTTCTTCTTCTCTCTCTCAAATTCAATCCCCTCTCTGTTTCCCTCTATCTTCTCCCTCTCAAACTTCCTTTATCTCTTGCCCTTTCGTTTGGTTCACTAGCTTTCTCTGTATCATCCGATACCCTTTCGTTAGCAAAAGCGGTGCTTCTACTTACTCCGAAGATTTTGATAGAGATTGGATCCGTAAAGCTGTTCAGAATGATATGTGGGATGATCCCGGATTCGAAAAGCTTTTTCATTTGACATCAGCTCCGATTTGGGTTCCGAGGGCTCTCCTTGAATTGAAACAAGACCCGAAATTAGCTTTCAAATTCTTCAAATGGTCGATGACTCGTGATGGGTTTAAGCACACCTTAGAATCGTACTGTATAGTAGCTCACATTCTGTTTTGTGCTAGAATGTATTATGATGCTAATAGTATCCTAAGAGAGATGGTTTTGTCTAACAAGGCTGGCGAATTTTCGGAATGCGATGATGTTTTTGATGTTCTGTGGTCTACGAGGAATGTGTGTGTTCCTGGTTTTGGAGTGTTTGATGCTTTGTTTAGTGTTTTCATTGATTTAGGAATGCTTGAGGAAGCTATACAGTGTTTCTCTAAGATGAAGAAATTTAGGGTCTTCCCAAAAACCAGGTCTTGCAACGGTTTATTGCATAGGTTTGCTAAATTGGGGAAGACAGATGGGATGAAGAGATTTTTCAAAGACATGATTGGTGCTGGTGCGAGACCGACTGTGTTTACTTACAACATAATGATAGATTGTATGTGTAAAGAAGGAGACGTAGAAGCTGCTAGAGGTTTGTTTGAAGAAATGAAGTTTAGAGGTTTGATTCCAGACACTGTCACATATAATTCTATGATTGATGGTTATGGGAAGGTTGGTCGATTAGATGATACAGTTTATTTTTTCGAGGAAATGAAGGATATGAGCTGTGAGCCTGATGTTATTACTTACAATGCCCTGATTAATTGTTTCTGTAAATTTGGGAAATTACCTAGAGGTCTGGAGTTTTATAGGGAGATGAAGCGAAATGGGATGAAACCGAATGTTGTGAGTTACAGCACTTTGGTTGATGCGTTCTGTAAGGAGGGTATGATGCAACAAGCCATCAAGTTTTATGTTGACATGAGAAGAGTTGGTCTTGTGCCTAATGAATATACCTATACTTCTCTCATTGATGCCAATTGTAAAATCAGTAAACTCTCAGATGCCTTTAGGCTGGCTGATGAGATGTTGCAGGTGGGTGTGGAATGGAATGTGGTCACTTACACTGCACTGATCGATGGCCTTTGTGATGCAGAGAGAATAAAAGAAGCTGAAGAACTTTTTGAGAAAATGGATACAGCCGGTGTGATTCCAAATCTTGCAAGTTACAATGCTTTGATTCATGGATTTGTAAAGGCAAAAAACATGGACAAAGCTTTAGAGCTTCTGAACGAATTAAAGGGGAGAGGTATTAAACCGGATTTGCTGCTCTACGGAACTTTCATTTGGGGTTTGTGCAGTTTAGAGAAGATAGAGGCCGCTAAGGTAGTGATGAATGAAATGAAGGAATGTGGAATCAAAGCGAATTCACTGATCTACACAACGTTAATGGATGCTTACTTTAAGTCGGGAAACCCCACTGAGGGTTTACATCTGCTGGACGAGATGCTAGAACTTGATATCGAGGTCACAGTTGTTACCTTTTGCATTTTGATTGATGGATTATGCAAAAACAAGTTGGTTTCTAAAGCAATTGATTATTTCGAGAGGATAGCTAACGATTTTGGTCTACAAGCTAATGCGGCGATATACACAGCAATGATTGATGGTCTCTGTAAAGATAATCAAGTTGAGGCTGGGACAACTCTATTTGAACATATGGTCCAGAAGGGTCTAGTTCCGGACAGAACGGCGTACACATCGTTAATGGATGGGAAATTCAAGCAAGGGAATGTGGTAGAGGCTTTGGCTTTACGAGACAAAATGGTTGAGATTGGTATGAAGCTTGATTTGCTTGCTTACACTTCATTAGTCTGGGGACTAACGCAATGCAACCAGTTGCAGAAAGCGAGATCCTTCCTCAAGGAAATGATTGAGGAAGGAATTCTCCCTGATGAGATTTTGTGTATTAGTATCTTAAAGAAACACTATGAGCTTCGATGTACAGACGAAGCTGTAGAGTTGCAGAGTTATCTGATAAAGCATCAGCTCTGGACCAGTGACAATGATAATGCACTCCCGAACATTTGAACTCGAAAGATGCAATCTTTTTGCTCTTATCATACTGATTCTGATATAAGGATCCAAATCTTGTTTCTTCTGAAGAACATAAAGAAGAAGAAACTAGACTATGGAGTCTTCAGTCTAAGGTTCTCCGGAAATCTGTAAGATTCATCATAAAACAATTATAGCGGCCGCAATCGCCCTGTTTGGTGCAGGACTAATCCGAGGAGAAAGCTTATCGACAAATACATTTTTCATCGAAAAGAGCATTGGTATGAAACCAGTCCAGTTTTGAGTGCTTTGATATTAAAATCTGAGTTGAGTTTGTGATAACAAAGATCAAGTCTTTTGTTGCAGACTTTGAGGCTCCGAAGCTATGGAAAGGAGTGAAGATTAAGATTCATGAATTAGTTAGCTTACAGATGGGTTTACAGGTTCTTCATTGTATTTTTTTTTTTTTGTATTGTTGCATTGAGGAACCAATCAAAATCCCAAATTTTGGTTTGTGTACATATTTTTTCTTCTCTTACCCCCCAAATGTAATTTTCATTTATTAATGATTGAATAATTAGGTTTGAACAAATTACATTTTTTTTTCATTATGCATATGAGCTTGAAATCCATGAAATATTAGTCTTTTTCAGTTTTTACTGTATGTTGCCAAAATATAAATTGTAAGCTTTTGGATATAGTTTATTTGCTGATATTATATATGAAAAAAGTTGTTTAATATTTGAAAGAGTTGCTTATTATTATTAGATTCGGGGCAAATTAATTGTGAGAGTTTTTCCAAGACTGAGTGGCTCGGTTACAGGTGTGGAGTTTAGAGCGAGGTTCGGAGATCTCTGTCACCGTACGATAATCTCAGGTACGGTTTCAGGTTCGGATTCTGACTCTCTCTTCCTCACGAACGGTTCGTATAGCCGTTTAATCTCTCTCTCTCTCTCTCTCTCACTCACTCACACACGAGATCAGTCGAGTTAAACTCTGAAGATGCAATTTCTAGACGATTCTACATCTTCTCGACTTGAATCTGTGTTCGAAAATGGTTGAATTTGTTACTGAATCGATTCTGATTTTGGAATTTGTGTTTTTCTGTGGGAAGCGATGGGAGCTAGGGTTCGAGTGCAGCATTACAATTTGGAATCAGCTGATTCCTACATCGGTACTTCTCTCCATGATCTTAACTCCGTTGACGGTCCGCCGAGAGATATTGGTCCTAACGGAGATACTTTGGATAACGACGGCGATTCTTCTTCCGCTGTGTGTAAAAAGTTCTCAATTTGGTCTCAGTTTTTTTTTTAGCGTTTATGAGAGAAAAAAAAGTCGAAATTTTGGGTTTTTTCGAATGTGTATTGAGACTTAGCAATGACTCTTTTCCAGGACTGTATGCATGAATCATACAGAAACACTATGCAAATCCACAATGAAGGTGTTGAAGAAGGTGGATCTCATATGGAGAACAAGGGACCTGTAGGATCTGCTTACAACATGTTAAGCGTTGAAGGTAATAAGGATCAATCTAATAAGTATTTGATTGGTTTTCACAACTTAAATGTGCGGATTGTTATGTTTGCTTTAGATGTTTCGCCGATTGAATCAGCGCGAGGGAGATTTCTGCAAATCATCTTAGACTACTTTATTAACCAACATGTGATTGAAGTCTGTGAGAGCAAGGGTGATCATGATACGGATTCAGGAGAACGGGATAGTGATAATAAAGTTAAGAGGAAGTCTGATGATACACGATATGAAGGTGATCCGAATTTTGCGTTACCATTGATGTATATTGCGAATATGTATGAGACTTTAGTCGGTGAAGCAAATGTGAGACTTGCTTCATTGAATGGAATAAGGGAAAAGACCATTGGGGTAGCTCTTGAAGCAGCAGGTGGCTTGTATCGGAAATTAACAAAGAAGTTTCCTAAGAAAGGTATTTGTATCTGTTCTGATGTTTGCAAATGTGATAGGGTTTGATTATGTTTGAGCATTAGTTGATATGTGTGAACTTTCCCTTCTATGTTATATTTACAGGTGCTTGCATGTACAGGAGAAGAGAACTGGCAACTTCAGCTGAAACAAGGACAAGGTTTCCAGAATTGGTAATACATGAAGAGAAACGAGTTCGCTTTGTTGTGGTAAATGGTTTGGATATTGTTGAAAAGCCAGATGATTTGCCTATTGAAGATGCTGAATGGTGAATATACCTCTTTTCAAATCATCATCAGACTCTTACTATTTCGAGTTATCTACATCAGCATATAATTGGATGTTGTCACTACAGGTTTAAGCGATTAACAGGCCGTAATGAAGTGGCTGTCTCTGCAAGAGACTATAAATTCTATTGCCCTCGACACAAGCATAGGCGTGTTCAAAATTCTGTCTCCAGGATCCATGGCTTGCCTGTAAGACCAATCAACTCTCTGTTTATTGCTTTTTCCCGACTTGAAAGAACAACTGACAGTGTGTTTGTTTATGTTTTGCAGACATTTCCAAGTATAGACTCTTCAACCTTAGCTAATACACAAGGATTTCGCTCCGTTAATGAAGTATGCACTTACTCTTTCTGAATCTACATACTATGGCAAATTCTAATGTAAATGATCTTGAGCTCATACAAATTTATTATAAATGCAGGATCAAAGTCAACAACAACACACTCCTTCCCCTTCCAAACATCATATGTCATCGTTGTCTCATCAATTTCACCAATCTATTCACCAGAGCAACCACCATCATCAATCTATTTACCAAGGTCAACACGCAACCACGCATTTTCCCTGTCAGAACCATCAATGTGACACTGAACTATCTCACACCCACCAGTCACCATCTATTTCACAGCACATGGCTTGCTTGCAACCCCTCACTGGAGGCCATGCAATGGTACAAAATTTTACGAATATCTATTCCTCTAGTTGGGTCATTTCAATCTCCAATTAAAAAGTCCTCGTATGTTTATCTGTCTTTCCACAGCCATCCACTCCGGCAAAGTTCTGCGACCAATGTGGAGCACAGTACTTGAGAGAGACATCCAAGTTCTGCTCAGAGTGTGGATCCAAGAGACTCGGGATGTAGTGAATCTTTGCTCGATTCTCAGGTTGGAATCTCTTTCGAAGCAAAAAAATTACATTAAGTTGGTGAAATCTTGAGCCAGTTTACTTGGCGTGGAAGTAGTTAACCTAAAATTTGATATAATGCAGATGTGTTACGCTTCTATGGTTTCGGCTATGTAAAATGTATATGACCAAAAAAATGATCAGTACATGAAATTATTAGAAAAAGATGTGTATGGATAGAGATTTTGATGAATTGCAAAAGGTGTTGTAATCATTTAAACACAAACGAGTCAGTGTAATGTAAAGAAAGCATCTATGAACTTATGCATTTTATTTTATTTTCGAATATAACATTGATTAAACTTAACAGAATGTTTCACTTTAATTTCTTTTTCAAATGAGTATTAATTTAATATTATTATTAGTTTATTTTCAAGAACATATAAACCGGAAAACAGAAGACATACATATATAGAACACAAATTAACAAAGTGTGTCCGTAATTGAAGATATAATATTCTCCAAGTACCAGATAACAATTATTAAAGAGAGAAGTCGAAAATACTACAATAGGTTCTTGAAAATATGATCTATCATCATCATCATCATAGATATATAGTCTTTTAACAGTTTTTGGTGCATAAACAACGACGGAAGGCTCCATCGAATTCGCAGTGACCGCTATCAAAGTTCTCAAATTGTTGGCAGATGATGGCACAGTTGTTATTGCTCAAGCACACCCCTGAGAAACGGTCGCTCCTTGTCTTGCATACCTTGTCGGCCGCCAGACCCATCTCTAAATGTATAACACAACACATTTGAATTGCATGTGTGTTACTAGTGTATATAACATAAATGTATACTAAGGACTTTTGAAAATTTTAGATACAGTATAACATGACATGAGTATTGAACCTGAAGTAGCAGTAGCAGCAAGGATGAAAGAGATCAGGAGAAGGGCTGAGAGAACACGTTGGGAGAGCTTCATTTTTGGAGACAGAGCTAGAGAGTATGAATAGTATGCTAGAGCCTAGAGAGATCGTTGGCAGATAGTTTAGTGTTGTGTAGGGAGAAGAAGTGGGTGGGGGACTATATATATAGTATAGGCAACAAGGACTCAGTATCTTATATGATATTTTCAAAGTATTTCTAAAAACCAACTCTTAGAAAATTAATCTATGATTTCTTTCCTTCAAATTTGTGCATCCCTATTTTTTTAATGAAAAACTTTAAATACATAATTATCTATTACATATTGATTTAATTAAGAAAATATCTAAGATATATATTGTGTTGTAAGATGTAAGATTTAAAGCATTCCTATTTTTATTTTTATTTTTTACACATATGACACATATTCATATCAGATACTTATGTATTTTAATAAACATAGTACACATGGCATTATAATTATATTATCATATAATATTATTGTAATTAAACTAGATTTTCTTTCACTGTGCATTTCTAGTAGTGAATTCTTTTACATATTTAACTAGATTTGTTTCTCTTTTCTTTTTCTTTTTTTCTTTGCTTGCTTTTTCATTTAAATACAAAATTAACATCAGATAAATTTTGTGATAAACGTTATCTTTTATTTTAAAAATTATCCAAAGACCAAAACTCTAGTTTTGAGAATCTGCATTTCTCTCAGACTAAAATACACACTTATTCTTTTTCATTTAGTTAAATTATTATATTGAAAAAATCTGAGATATAGATTTTTCTTGACATTCTTTCTTTGTTTTTTATATTATTTTAAGTTAACATATCTAATTACTTTTTGCTAAAATAATTTCAAGATATTAAAACATAATTTGTTTACCACATATTGCATATTATCTCAATAATTTATTTCTGTTTTATCTTTAGGTATCAAATTACGGTATGCTAATATCATTTGAAGATAGAAAACTTTTTCATATATCTATTTTTTTTTACCAAATATGGAAAATTAATAAACAACATTTCTCACAAAAAATGCTATTACATTATTTTACAAGATTATTTTCATTGAACTAGTTTTTTTGGTCCTTGTTCATTACAAATAGTATTCATTACATTTTAAATTAGATTTTCTCCTTTTTCAAAATGATTGATATATTTTAAATATATAGCTTTATGTTATCTGTCTATTAGTAATGAACAAAACCGCTATTCCATTTTAAGTAATATCTTTTATACAGAGCTTGTTTCAAAAAAAAAATATATACATACTTACATGGTGGATGGTACGATATTATATATAAGCAGATTTTATATAATACATGAACACTTAGGATTCTTAATTACAAAAAGGAAAATCACATCATATATATACAAAAAAAAAACACTTAACAAAATAGTCCCTTTTGCAAGATTATTACATGACTCTCGAATTGAAAACTAGAAAACGATGAGAGAGAGGATAATATTTTTTATTTGTTCATTAAATTTATTTCGAATAATGATGATTTTAATTGATAAATTAGCAAGGTTTGGAGCAGTAGCAACGGAGACTATTGCATCGACCGCCAGTAAAACCTTCACTGGGGCAAGCTTTGGCACAGGTCTGTGAGTTGAGACAAACTCCTGAGAATTTGCTACTCGGTGACTCACACGTTCTTGCTTCCACAGGACCCATTCCTATATATCATCACATAACCCACCATAATTAAGAACCATGCACTAATGTATTATATATGTCACTCTAATCAAAATATAGAATTTGCTATTTCATGATGTGACCAAGACCGGCCCTTATTAGAGATATGTTATATAATTACGACGAACCTGTGGCAAAGAGGAGCATGATGGAGAGGAGAAGGGCTGAAACCAAACGCAGAGAGAGCTTCATTTTTTAAACAGATTGATCGATGAAAAATATACAAATGTTAAGAGAATGCTACAATGTAAATTAAGCAGATGAAGAAGAAAAAGAATATGGGACTATATAAAGGGAGTGGATTCTTTATTTAATTTGTTGGTAAAAAATAATTAAAGGTTTCGTTTTGTTGTTTACTATAAAGAGTTTATGGCCTTTCAAAAAATAGAAACAAAACATGAACCATTTAAAGTTTAAAACCTTTTTACCCAAAGCTGCAGTCGTACGTAATTAAAGGTTGACCAGCCAATTTATATAATCGAATTACATATATAGTTACGAACTTACGTATAAGTTAAAGAAGTTTTCTATTTTGAGCTAATTTGGAGAATAAAAATGTGCACTATTTATATTATAAGCCGAAGGATCAAGAAATTATACGGATTTAAATAAATTTAATTTGATTTCAAATTTACAATATAATAATTAATGTGTTTAAGTTTTTTTTTTAATGTTATACAAAGTATTAGTACTAGCCTAGCTAGCCATCTCTCTCTTTCACGTCGTGGGGCTGTAAACAGTAAAAAGTAAATACTATTTTATTACCGTTGTGGTTTTTGTCAACATTACCGTTGTGGTTTTGTTTATAAAATAATTAAATATAAAGAAAAATGGAAAATAACAAAAACCAAATCTTTAAAATTTCCTTAAAAATATGTATATGACCGTTGTGATTAATTAATTAATTTACGTATAAATATATTCTCTCAGGTTTCAACTCAACGCTTTTTCGATCGTCATTCATCTTTGAGAGAGAAATAAAAAATTCTTTACTTCTCACTTCTTCTTCTAAAGATCAAAACCAAAATAATTCTTTTATCTTTTCATATTTTTTCTCATGTAATAGTAAGAATATGATGCAGTAGTTCGTTTTCTTCTCGAGCATACATACATACAGAGTCTTCATTCCGATGATGATGATCCGTAGAGACGTTGAAGTGATAGGAAGTTAATGATCATCTCTGCAACATCCGTGAGAGTAAGCATGATCAGAGCCAGAAGCTTATCATCGTTTCGATGATTGAATGATCTCCATCGACCAGGTTCGTAATATTTGTCTTTTGTTTTTTTTTATCTTGAGCATTGAATTTGTGTGGTATGATTATGAAACAAAGACGACATTACTGACTCTGATGGATTTGTTTTGTACGTGTGTATTTGTGTGGTATGATTATTTGGATGTTCTCTCTCTTTCGTTAAAACGACAACCGAGTCGCCTCTTGATGCTCAAGAGTTAAGATCACAGCCTTTTTGCAGGTATACTACACTTTTCTTACCCAATTTTTTCAATTAAGAATTATGCTTTTGATTTTAAAATATACAAAGATTAAAAATTAAAAATTTATGTTCATGACTTCTGATTTTTATGATTTAAAACTAAAATCAAAATTTATTTACCAAATAATTTTCAAGTAAATAGTTTTGATTTTAACTAAACCAAAATGTTTTATTTTTCTCCTTTACTTAATCTAATTGTTAAATTTAAATACGTTGAAAACAAACCGAACCTAGCATCCAGTCCTTTGGAGGTGCGTAAGTTTGGTGTAAAAGTTCAACATGGTTTCACGTATTTTAAATTTAAAGCTAAGATTTAAGGTTTTATATACAAATTATATTTTAAGTAACAAGTTTTGATTAAACCAAAAAAATTTCACTATATAATGTTTTCTAAAAAAATTAAGTGTTAAATTCAAATACGTGGAAAACAAACCGGACCTAGCATCCAGTCGGATTGACGTACTATTTCTCCCCGGAAACTATGTCATCGTATCAAATCTACACAGAACTTCAACCTCGTTTCATGTCTCACCGATTCGATAGTTCTAAACCGATTTCCACCCGAATCTAAAGTTTTATTGCTATTTTCTCCTCAAAGTATCTGATATCATCTATTGCCCCATAAATCGAAGTTGATGAGGTTTGCTGTTGGTTTAATATTTCCTTAACCAACTAAAATTTTTTATTAACCGGACTAAACCTTCTTTCAACCCAATTTCGAAACTAAACCCATCTAATCGTAAAATTAAACACCTCCGACCGTGGTAGACTCCGGTGTAAGGACCACGACCTTGCAACTCATAAGAACCAAGCTCGAAGAGCTTTACTCTAGTCTTGCTGTTTTAGAGAATCTCAGTTCTGGATTCGATCCATCTTTCTCTTGCTTAATCTTACTCATTCTAATCTCTCTCTTGTGAACCTTTCCTAATGCATACAGTGAGAAATTTCTGATGCAAATTGATTTAGATGTCATGGCTGGGAATTTTGATGATAGCTCCCGATGTGCGGTATCTAATTGAAATTTGAAATTTACTGTATCAAGTCTCAGTTTTTATAAGCTTGAAATTGCTTTCTTCCCATAACAATAACTCTCGATCTATGTAGCTCTTGAACGATTTCAGTTTTTAAGAGGAATCAAATTATTTTTTTATAAGCTCGAGATTAGTGATATGGTTAGCATCCTTGTTGGGTTTCTTGATTCTGAGATGGGATTTTAGAAGAATCTAAGAAATCTGTGTTTTTTTTATTTTCTGGGTTTTGTTTCGTAGAGGGGTGTTTTGATCATATTGGGTGTGATTGATCTTTTGGTTAGGGTTCTTACAGCGAATTTGGTGGTGAATTGATCAGTACTTCGTGTGGAAAACTGTTGAGAAATCTCATTGGTGTTTAAAAGATCAAGTGGTATATGGTTGAAGAAGATGATAATGTAGTCACTTTTATCAAGCTTTTGGATCCAACGAAGAAGATGATACTGTAGCTACTTTAAAAATTAATTTCATATCTGGTTTACGTCGGTTCTATCGGGTTTGGTTTGTAAACCGGTTAAACCAAAAAATTGGAGAAATAGATGAGAACTATCGGATTCGGGTGGAAATGAGTTTAGAACTATCGACTCGGTGAGACATGGAATGAGGTTGAAGTTCTGCGTAGATTTAGTACGATGCGATAGTTTTTGGGGAGAAATAGGACGTTAATCCCATCCAGTACCTTTGTGGTCCGTAAGTTTGGTGTAAAAGTTCAACATGTTTTCACGTATTTTAAATTTAACGCTAAGGTTTAAGGTTTTACACAAATAATATTTTAAGTAACAAGTTTTGATCTAACTAAAATCTTTTCACTATATAAATGTTTTCTAAAAAAATTAAGTGTTAAAATTCAAATACGTGGAAAACAAACCGGACATAGTATTTAATCCCTTTATAGTCCGTAAGTTTGGTGTAAAAGTTCAACATGTTTTCATGTATTATAAATTTAACACTTGGGTAAAGTTTATCTTTTTTTTACAAATATTATTTCAATTATAAAAAATGTTTTTAATTTCTGGAAAAAAAAATCTAAGTTTTAAATACCTTGAAAATAAACCAAACTTAGCATCATGTCCCTTTATGGTCTCGTAGTTTGGGGTATAAATTCAACACTTATTTAAGTTTTAAAACTTTTTCTTAGTTTTAAGTTTAGTTTACATGTGTTTCAAAAAAAAGTTACATAAGTTACTTTGAAAATATCCTCTTTTCAAACTTTATCAAAAAAACAACTAAAAATAATGAAATTTATTCAAACATATGTGTAAACTTATAAACTTATACATAAATTACCTTTATGGTCTCGTAGTTTGGGGTATTATAAATTCAACACTTATTTAAGTTTTAAAGCTTTTGCTTAGTTTTAAATTTAGTTTATATGTGTTTTAAGAAAAAAAGTTACATAAGTTACTTTGAAAATATCCTTTTTCAAACTTTATAAAAAAAAACCACTAATAATAATGAAATTTATTCAAACATATGTAAACCTTATAAAACCTTTTAAAACCTTAGATCAAATTTCCCGTAGTTATTATCTAGAAATACTTTATAAACCATATAAAACTTTAAAAATTTGCATATTTAAACAGAATTATTTTTGAAAATGGATAGATAAATAGGGTATTTTTGAAAATGAGTATACCAAAAAGGGTATTTCTCCAAAATTCTCTTGAATTTAAACTCAAAACTTTTCATTATACAAAATGTTTTTATTTCCAAAGAAAAATTAAATGTCATAAATTAATAATATTTTGGTAATTTTAAAAGGTTTGTCTTTATTGTGTGCAAATGTAAAGATGTTAAATTTCAATAATGTAATGATAATTTAATTTTAATGAGTTAACACATGTATTTACGTAGATCTTAGAATTTTAGGGACAATCTTATTAGATTTTAAAGAGGTATTTTGAAAAATGGTGTTAACTATTTTTTTTGTATAAAACTTCTTTTTAAATTCATTCTTAATCATAATCTGCAATTGAATCAAAGAGAATTTTTGAGAAATACCCCTTTTGGTATACCTCTTTTGAAAAACACTTCTCTTTCTATCCATTTTCAAAAATACCCTTTTTCAAATATTTATATATTTTTATATGCTTGATAAGGTACATCGAGATCATTATTACTACTAGAAGACTAAATCCAAATATTTATAAGGTTTTAAAAGGTTTTAAACGACATTTATAATGTTTTTATAAGGTTTTTAAAAGGTTTACATTGTTTTATTAAGGTTTTTAAATGGTTTTTAAAAGGTTTTTAAAATGTATTTATACGGTATTTATGAAATATATATATTAATTTACACACATATAAAGATAATTTGTGTATATAAATATAAGTTTACACATATGTTTTTGATAAATTTCAAATTTTATAGTGACTTTTTGATAAATCTAGAAAGAGGGGTATTTATAAAAAGTGGTATTGGAAAAGAGATATTTTTGAAATTCCCACTTGAATCTACTATTTTTATTATTTTTTTGGTAAATTTCAAAAATACATCTTTTCAAGTACCATTTTTGAAAATAGGTTCAAACATTATAAAAAATCTACAAAAATAATATTGAAATTTATCTAAATATGTGTCTGTAAGGTACATATACTTTTTATGTGTGTGAAATTTTATGTCATAAATACCGTATAAATACTTTATAAAAACATTTTAAAAACCTTGTAAATCTTGTAGAAACGATCTAAAACTTAATAAGTTATTTTGATAGAATCTTATATTAGTAGTTATATCTAGAAGTAGGATAAAGCATACAAAATTTTATAATTTTTTATATTTAAACAGAGGTACTTTAAAATGGATAAATAAAGAAGATATTTTTGAAAATTGATACACCAAAAGAGGTATTTCTTAAAATTTCTCATTTTTTTTGCCAAATATTTATTTTTCAACAGTGCAAATATAACTTATATAAGCTGTTTTTATTTAACAATCTATCTATGTATTTTATTTAACAAATTATTATTGATTTTAATGTTTTCGAAAATATTTGATTTTTAACTGTATAAACAGAAATTATATAAACTGTTTTGTTTAACTAACAAAATAACAAAGGTAGTTTTTTTTATCTATCAAGGAAATTTAAAAATACTTATTTTCATATACCTCTTTTTAAAAATACTCTTTTTCAAATTTTATAAAAAACCACTAAAAATGTTGGAATTTATCCAAATTTGTGTATAATCTTACACAAATTACCTTTGTATTTGTATAAAACTGTATATATTTTTCATAAATAATATAAAAATAACTTATAAAAACTTTTTAAAAATCTTATAAAACCTATAAAAACGATTTAAAACTAAAATATATTAAATATATATTAAGGTTCAACTTTGTTTACATTGCTACATAGCAGTACATGTGTATAGTTCAGGTTAAACACGAAAGACACGTGCAACTAGCTTACGCTCCATTTGTTACTTTACTGCAACTTTTACATCTAAATAAAGTTAATAGTACCAATGTTCCAGTCTATTCATCATCACATCTATTTAATCAGTTCTCTAAATTGTAAATTCTATAAACCGATAATAATCATATCGTCGCATTAATGTGATTTCACTTTCTCGATTCCAGTTATTGGAAACTTTGAACTAAAACACATTCTAATCCTTAACCCACCTCCATTTGTGAACCTCTAAAAAAAAGCTTAACAACATTTCATTAATAAAAATTGATTAAATAAAAATGTTAGAGGGAGAAAGAATTATAGAAAGAGAAAGAGATGAATATATTTTTTACCAATGAATAATTGTCATGTGTCTTTAAATACCCCTAAACACAACTTCTAAAACCCCTTAGTTTAGATTCCATCTTTATTTAATTGTTCAATTTTGATTTATTTTTTATCTAAAATAAACTTATGAAATTCACTAAGCACCTCCAAAGGGAGGTGCCTTTAAACAAAAATAAAATCAAGCCATTGAGATGATTTTAACATTACATTAAGATCGGAAACACAAACCAAAGACTTATTTTTAGGACACAACCACACGCACACACTTGTACGGTACGACATTGGTACAGTACAAAAGATAAGATTAAGGAAACAAGAAATCAAAGACGACCATATGGATCGATCGGAGATGGGGATTCATGAGAACGGATAGATGGGATCAGCAGTGTCTGGTGCAGTAGCAACGACGGCGGAATCCACGGCATCTACCTCCGGGGAAGCCTTCGTTGTGGCACACGTTTTTGCAGTTGTTTCCGCTCACACATGGACCCTTGAACCTGTGGCTCTTTGACTCACATGTGCGTGCCTCCACCGTGACTGGACCCATCCCTAATAAGATTATTAGACCATAGCTTAGTTTTTCATCTTCTATGACTATGTGATGCATGTTAATAACTTAAACGTGTGATGTTTGCTGTAGAATAAGTGTAAGAGATAATTATATATGTTATGATGACCAAATGAAAGAATAAAAATATGACATGAATAAGTAATGAACCTGTGGCTACGAATATCATGAACACGAGGAGAACAGCTGAGATCAAACGCATAGAAAGCTTCATTTTGAGACTGAGAGTGGTAGAGACTCGAGAGAGAGGAGATGTGGAAACAAGTGGTGAGTGTGTGTGTGTGTGTGGGATGCTAATGTGGAAGGTGGGATCTATATAAAGGAACTAAAAAGGTATTAGAACCCTCTCGAGATAATTAATTATAATATATAATTAATAATTTGAACTTTAAAAAAAAAAAAAAAAAAATATCTTTTTTAATTCCATTACATTCACTTTTTATTTTTTGCCACTGAGGTCTGACGACGACTTGTCGTTTTTTATTTAATTTCCTTTTCTTTTTCTTTTTTCTGACATCAAACATTTAGTTTCCTTTTCTTTTCTAGTTTCTTTGTCTTGTAACTTGCCCATATTTATTTGCTTTACCGACACTGTAGTAAATGTAATTTTTGGTCTTCCATAGAATTGACAAGACACGCAGAGAGTTCGAAAATAAGTAAATAAAAATTGAGTTAGTGAACATATAGTAACTCAATTTAAAAGATCAAAAGGTCAAAACCAAGTGAGCTAGTGAAGTAGTAAGTTATTCCAAATGTGAAAATTGTGGCTTCTTTGCAACAATGTGATTAACATGCATGTAGTGTTTATCATCAGAACTTAGACGATAGATTCGAGTCCTTTATTATATAGTAAAAAAGAGGAGGCACTAGTTTATATAACGTTAACACAAAAACTGGGAAACACACAAACCAAAAGACTTATTCAAGAACACACACTAAAACACACACATGCACAGTACAACACTGGTACTATACATACGAAAGATTAGACAGAAAGAAGAGAAGAAGATATTTGGATCGAAGACTTGATTTACGAGAATGGATGGATCAGCAATGTCTGGTGCAGAAGCAACGACGACGGAATCCACGACAGTTACCTCCAGTAAAGCCTTCATTGTGGCACACGTTTTTGCAGTTTGTCTCGCTGAAGCATTTACCCTTGAACCTATGGCTCTTTGATTCACACGTGCGTGCCTCTACCGTGACTGGACCCATCCCTAGAGAACAAAAAAAAACTCTTTTTTAGTTTCATATTCTCATGCATGTTTATATTACTAATCTTTGAACTTTAGTCAAGAATTTGAATATAATTGCTAGGTAATATGAGCAACTAATATCAACTAGTTATTAGATATCGACTTAATATGTTAGCATCTTCACAAGAACAATCGTTATTATCCACTTATCCTGCCTTAAGGGAAACCATATGTATATATAAAGTGTGTTATCATAAACCAAATGACCAAGAAAGAAGACAAGGGTAGCAAAGTTAGATATTATGGAATGAGTAACGAACCTGTGGCTACAAATATCATGAACAAGACAAGAACGGCCGAGATCAAACGTATAGAAAGCTTCATTTTTAAGGAGAGAGAAGTGTTTAGTGTAGTTTGCTAATGGGGAAGATGGCACTATATATAAAGGGACTAAAGAGGGTATAACAACGATGAGATATTTTGATTTGTATACTATTAGATAATTTTCATTTTAAATAATATTTTAGATATTTTTGGGTAAAAATCATCTTTATCTTTAGAGTATTCACATTTGATTTTAAAAAGAGTTGTGACATTTGTCGTATTTTTCCCTTTTCATTGCTTTTTCACGCTTTCTTTGTTTTGTAATTTTGTCGATTTGTATTTGATTTACATTATGCTGTCATAAAACGCAGATTTTGGTCCTTAATGCAAGTGACACGACACACACACAACTCCTACCGTTTCGACAAGTCACCCTCGAATCAATAAAACCAATTTTTATTTCCAAAAAAAAAAAAACGTATTCAAGAAAAAGTCAGAAAAATTGAGTTAGTCAGAGATATTGTGAATCCACAATAATAGTGGCCACATCAAAAGTTACAACAAGTGGACTAGACTAGTCAATCAAACTCCTACCTAAATGAAAATAATTACTAGTTAGTAGTATTAACTTTACATTTGGTATTTTGTACATTCACTGTAGACAAAAACTAAGATTTTTGTTACACTTTGTTACTCCACCAATTACATCCAAGCTTCGTTTCTAGGTATTGTACGTTATGTAGGGTTTGGCATTCCAAGATAAATGTTCAATTTTCTTCTTTTGCATCGAAATTCTCTTCAATGTGAAATATGAAACGGATGCGTCACGTTAAATGGTTTTGGCATTCTTAGATTTGTGTTACACTTCGTTACTATTAGCTAGTTGCTACTTTCTTACTCCACCAATTACATCGACAGAGTAAAATTTGGTATTTTACACACTCCAAGCTTCGTTCTCTTGGTATGATACGTAGAATTTATGGTATTCCAAGATAAGTGTTCAATTTTCTTTTATTCCATCACAATTCTCTTCAATGTGAAAGATGAAACGAATGAGTCAAATAATTCTCAAAACGGAATTTATATCATCATACTTGCAAGTTGCAAAATTAATTGTGGATTAACTTGTAGATGTTTATTAGAAGTGATTAGAACATAAATTCCAATACTCTTACTAGAAAAGGCCATTATGTTATTTAGCATAACATTAATATCGGAAACACACAAACCAAATACTTATTTGAGAACACACAAGACATGTACGGTACGACATGGTACGGTACGGAAGATAAGATAAGGAAGAAGTAACACAAGACCAACAATCGAAGATTTTAAGTTATGAGAATGGATGGATCGATCAGCAATGTCTGGTGCAGAAGCAACGACGACGGAATCCACGGCAATTACCTCCCTGAAAGCCTTCGTTATGGCACACGTTTTTACAGTTTGATTCACTCAGGCATGTACCCTTGAACCTATGGCTCTTTGACTCACAAGTCCGTGCCTCCACAGTGACTGGACCCATCCCTATACAACATTAGCACTTGGTTTAGACCATAAGCTAGCTTAGTTTCATATGTCTCATTCTTGATGCATATTAAATTTAACTTTAGATGAGCATCCACAAGAACTATCGATAGAAACCATAAATATAGAATTTTACCACAAAAAAAGTTGAAACTAAATATGTTTACATACGTTACTAAATCCAAAAAAAAAAATAAGACATGGGTTGTGTGCAAATTGAATATTAGGTTATGAGAAACGCACCGGTGGCTACAAATATCATGAACATGACGAGAACAGCTGAGATCAATCGCATAGAGAGCTTCATTTCTAAGAGAGGTAGAGAGAGATTTCAAAAGAAAGAAGTGTTCAAGTGTGTTGCTAATGAGGCAAATGGCACTACTATATAGGGGAGTTAAAGAGGTGTGTGTGTAATCAATAATAGATATGGCTAAATAAGCTTTTTATTTTATTTTTGGAGTATTCACTTTTGATATGAACAAGAGTTGCTGTGAATTTGTGGATTTATTTGCTTTACCGACACTTTCATAAATGTAAAATTTTGGTCCATAGTGTAAGGTGACTCAGAAGAGTCCTACCGTTACGACAAGTCATTCTCCAAATTCATCAATAAAACCAAACTTTTGTTTCAGAAAGATACAAAAAAACGTATATAAAAAGAATAGTAAATAATGAAGTCAGTCGGATATTGTGGAGTTCATAATAATAGTGGCCACGTAAAAGTAACAAGTGGAATAGTCACGAGATACAGCTTTTCTATCGTACCTAAGGGCATGTCCAATACAGGTCTCATAACTAGTATCTTAGAAATAAAAGGGAAAAAATTAAATCATTAATTAATAATAAGCTAAGAGATATCTCTTATAGAAGAAGTTTTTAGACAATTTATTAAGTACATGTGTCACTACAAGAGAAGTCAGTTCTATTAATTTACCAAATGAAGTTTTTAAATATTTTTTTTATTATGTTTTAATATCATGTGTTTGTAATAATTTTCATTTTTATAAAATTTAAGTTTTCAAATTTTTTTTAAGAACTTTTATTAAGAATTTTATCATTGGAGATGAATAATTTTAATTATCCTTAAAAACTTCTTATTTTTTAAAAGTACACAATTTATAACTAAAAAATTACTAAAAAACTTTATTAACATACACCCATTGGAGGTGGTCTAAGTGAAATATTATTTTTCTTACTGGTTGCATAAAATCATAATTGTGTGTAAATATAGTAAAAAATGTGTCAATTACTACTTAGATGAGTAATGCTCGGAATTACTAAACTCTAAACTAAATAGTATATTTGTGGCTATAGATAATAGTAATGCATTTGTAAATTAAAATAAAGGAGAAATGTATATTTTTGTCAAATTATTATGGCAGACAAAAAGCTGGTTGCTTTCTCTTTATCATGTGACTTTAATAGTTGTACACGATTTCGATTCAAGTTTTGGACATGGAACACTTTCAAAACGTTCCTTGCCACAAATAATCAAAACTATTCTCGTGTGATTTTGATTTTTTACTTTAGTTATTATTTTGTAACGTATATACTTATAGATTTAATTATTCAAAGCAATTGCCAATTTATCATCCAGATTTTTTTTAATTGTAGTAAACAAGACTAATAAGTTTTTTTTATTCAAGTTAAATCATTTTCATTCGGAATTTCGGATAAGGTCGGTTCACTTTAGCCGTGAGTAAAAGTATTAGCTATGTGAGTATGTGACTGGGCCTTTATTACAGAGATTCATGAACCAAACCCAATAGAACTAGTTCTTTGTTAGGCTTCAGGAAAAGACAATGGGAAAACAATCTACTGAGATTTATGTCTTTATACAACTCAGACGAACTAAAGGCTTGAGCTTTAATCATTACGAGATGTGTTCACTTTTGACACTAGCACTTTAAAATTGGGTCACGTACTACTCCTTCATGAAATCTTTGATTTGCAAAGACCAACCTATCCTGATGGTTCAGTTTCATTGGATCACTGCTATGCCAACAACAATCAAAATCCACATTTTACATCTTCATACTAGGAGCTTCCGAAATGATCAAAAACACCTGCATCGTCCATCTTATACATTATTGTCCATTTCCCCCAAACAGTGTTTGAAACAATTTAGGTCTGACGAGGGAAGTGTTGAGGGATTTTATTTACATGCATAGAAGAAATATAACTATTTGTGATCTAATAATAAATTTTTAAGTCTAGTAGCTAGTGTTACACATGTTTTCTCAATAACACATTAACTTTGTTTCTTGGCTAATTTTACCTCAAAACAAACAAAACAAAAAAAGAAGGTAAAAAATAATGTTATCCCATGAGAAGGGAAGCTAGAATCTCTCCCATGGTTTTCTCAGGCGTGTCTCCGTCGTCATCTACGTGAACTCCGGATTCTAACACCGCCGCATCAAGAACAAGTTTCCGCTTCGCAATCTCATAGATGTTCTCATCAACCGTCGATTTAGTCACCAGTCTGTACCAACATTGCCAATGTTATTACTCAGATAAAGGGGAGTATAGACTTAGCCATATAAACCAAACCCAATTACAGTCATTAACTCAGAACCAACCGAATCAAAGTTATAAAACAACGAAAGAGGATATGGTTTCACAAATCTGTGTAGGTAGTTTTGCTTGATTCAGGGATTTAAAGCTCAAACCTGAAGATAGTGACTGGTTTTGTTTGACCAATACGATGGCATCGATCTTCAGCTTGTCGATCAATCTGTGGATTAAAATCCATATCGTGAATTATTACTGTATCTGCCCCGGTTAAATTCAGACCTTGTCCACCTGCTCGAGTTGACAACAGGCAAGCGAAGATCGACTTATCGTTGTTGAATGTGTCGACTATGGTTTGTCTATCTGTGACTTGAGTACTGTAGGAAACAAACAATGACTTGAAGCTTCTCCCTTAATGCAGAATCGTCAAAATAAAAAGACAATTGACTCTTCTTTCTATTTACCTGCCGTCAAGTCTTCGATATGTAACGCCGATTACATCTAGCGTCCATTCTAAGATATCAAGCATCGATGTCCATTGACTAAAAATTAGAACCCGATGGCCGGATTTCTTCATTGAAGGGAGAAGCTCCGCTAATGTCTGATAAAAGAAGGGACAATTAGATCCCTAACAGGGTTAGTTATACTTTAAGTACAAAGAAGACTTTTAAAACATGAAGAAAACAATACGTACCCGACATTTTGCTGAGAGCATCACATGTTTGTCTGAGAGAGTTCCTTTGGTATCGTTAACTCCAAATTGGAACAAAAGCTATGAATAGAAACAAGTTAGCTTACTAAAATGCATAAGATATTAGTTTATGGATTTTACATTGCTTTTGGAAGGAGAGAAATTTACCTGGTGGATACGGAAATCGTTGTAACCCTTAATTTCTTCAATGACTCTTTCCAAGGAACATTCAAATCCAAACGCACCAATTGGATGCAATTTCCTGGAGATGCGAATGACGTCCTCATCGCTGTATATTCGCCTAATTAACAATGGATGATTTGCAATCTGGACCACCAAAATTTAGTTAGGCATGAAGAATACACTCATTTGGCACAAAGGGGACAATATTAGTAGCGCTGACAATTACTACCTTCCGGAACTGAGTAAAATAGTTTGAAATTTGACGCTTTGGAAGTGCCTTGGCTAAAGAAGTCAAGGATTTTGATGAAAGCTTAACAAGCCTTGCTTGAGAAGCAGCACGATAGTCCTCTATGGCTTCTTTATATGTATCTTCCTGCTTTTTCTCCATTAGTACATACTCAACCTGCATTGGATTGATGAGAAATTTATCAAAATTTGCAGCTTATAGATTAATATATTGTACTTAATCGTGCATAGACCCATACACGTTGTATCTTCGGGACAAGCTGCTGCATGACATCAGATTTTAAACGCCTCAAGATGAAAGGACCTAGAATAGATTTCATTCGAGTAATCAACTCCGTATCTTCTGCATTCAACAACTTCTTCAAGTCAACATTTTCTGTAGTAAATATATCAGGCAACATGAATTCCAGAAGCGACCACAGTTCCTGCATAAGACAGATAAGGGTAATTATTCTATGATCACAGAACATATGTCCTCAACATTAGGTAATTAGATCTTGAACAGATAAACAGAAACCAAACCATACATGCAAATCATTTTGCAAAGGCGTTCCTGTAAGCATAAGACGCTGGTTTGCGTTTCTAGCCACAGACATCAAGTTTTTCCACCTATAACTATTCTTATCCTTTAAAGCATGGGCTTCATCCATCAAAACACAGCTCCAACGCCATCGTTTTAGTACTTTTCGATCATCTTTCTGTTGTTCACTGTAAAATTCCAACATCTGTAAGTAACAGGAAAAGCCATAAAGCAAGTAAAGGATCAAGAGTACTTCAAAGTTGCACCTATGCCGTTCAAACAGAGAGTAACAGACAAGAAGCACATTGAATGGTGGTGGCTTCCCAGCTTTTGACAACGAATTCAATTCTCTTGAGTAGGCTGCTCTTGCAGCCCCGTGATATTGAAGTACAGTAAATGATGGACACCATTTTCTTAGTTCTCTCTCCCAGTTTTCCAAGACAGAGGCAGGGCATACAACCAAATGAGGACCAGGGTCATTGTTTAAGTGATTCAAGAGGGTTAAATAAGTGATTGCCTGAAAGTGAGAGCGACATTAGTATTGATATGATAAAGAAACAAAGACAACTTATTCAGTAATGACAGAGTATAATGCACCTGAATGGTCTTTCCAAGACCCATCTCATCGGCTAGAATGGCTACAAATAACAGAAATGTAAGTTGCAAAGTGACATTTACGCTAAAAAGTCTTAAAGGTCAAAACCAGTGAAATATTTACCTCCTTCAATTTTTTTCTTATACAACAGAAGAAGAAAGTTAACACCAACTAACTGGTACGGCTTGAGTATAGGCTGAAAATCGGAATCCTCTGCTTTGCAGGCTTCATTAATATCATTCTGTGATCATCACATAATCAACCCGAAAAGTATATGAGTTAAATTACCACGAAGGTAAACCCTACTAAACAAACCAATCAAAGTTAGCACAATATACGTTCTCTTATCAAACCCAATTTTCAAATTGGCTAAGGAACACATTATAAGTTATCTCAATGCAAATACTTTCTAGGTGAATCATGCTATAAATTCACCAAATTCGATGTATGCATGAATAGTACAGCAAAAATCTTCAAACCCCTGTTAAAAGAAGCTATAAATTCACCAAATTCGATGAAACCTTTCTTAAAATATAAGAACTTGAAAAGAGCAGTGGTAATTGCAGTACCTGGGTGACAATCCTGACAGTAGAAGTTTCCACTTCAGAGTATCTATCACAAGTAGTAACCGCAGAAGAGGTACCATAAAGCTCCTTCCTAAGATCCGCTGAGATTTTAGCACACTTTTGCAGTGCCTTGCCCACAACATCTTCATCTTCTCCTCTCCTCCCTCCTCCTCCTCCTCTTCCAAATTCGTCCTCACTAGCACTACTCTCAGCATCATCACCAAACCCATCATCACTCGCTTCTTCATCTTCAATGACAAATCTCCTACCAACTCTGGCAGCTCGCGTCACAACCTTAGTCTCTTCCACTTCCTCTTCCTCCTCATCCTCCAGCAACAAATCCTCTCCATTAACAACCTTCACCTCCGAATCCGAATCACCTAAATCCTCAATCTCAACACAATCACCATCACTGCTATTGCTCTCGACCGTCGCCGTCGCCGAAGGTCTACGATACGCAAAAGACTCAATCGCAGGCGAAGGATTCGACGGACGAGTCCTCTTCGGAGTCCGTGGTCGTTTAAGAACTCGCGAAGCGTTAAACGAGTGCTGCGACCACTCTTCCTCGGAGATTTCGTCGAAATCGCGTTTCATCCTCCGGGAATTGCGAATCTACTGGATCGGAAAATTTGAAGAGAAAAAATCTCACATGAAGAAAATTGAAAACCCTAGATTGATTGAAGTGACTATTAGCATCGAATTGGAGAGGAAGAAGAAGAAGAGAGATATTAAAAATTACACCATTCCCTTTGTGTTATTACTTCGAGTTTCGCGGAGAAAGGGGAAAGGTCAAGGTTTCAAAGTGAGGTTACAGAGAGAGAGAGAGAGAGAAGAGAAACTCAATAAACAATGTATTGCTTCTTTACAAAAGAGCGGCATCCTCTAAAAGCTAAGCGCGCGGACGCAATGTTTATATGGGCCGAACTCATTCGTCGTCAGGCCCAATATGTTTAATGGGTTTTAACAATTCATAGAAACAAAGCATTTTGAACAACAACACATATATGTTTTTACTTGAATTAATAAATTGAATTGAATGGAATTTTTAAGTAAAGAGACTCCAATAACAAAAGTTTCAAATATTAAGATGATCGCAACTAAAGTTTGAATGGAGCTAATAAACTTGGAAAGTAAGGAACAACTAAGCCATAGTAACCAAGGAAATACAAATGATAAACCATAGAGTTGGGATCAAGATCAAAGGCGACGAGGCTATCTCTATATGTAAGTGCGAGGATGACCTTGTTGGTGTCCTTGGAAATGGTCAAAGGTGTGAGAGGCTTTGAGGTGACACCACCAAACCAAGTGGAAGTATAATGCAAATCAACCGAGAAGATCCTCTCCCATGTGTTGTCTTCAACTCTCCACCAAAACTCTTGCTTGCAATCTCCCTTCAACTCAGAAACGCAGAGACGACCATCAAGATTGCATACACCAATCTTGTCACCAGAGGCATCACGAGTAATAAAAGATGGTGTTGGAATGATTTCAAACATCTCTGTGTGAATATCGAAAACTATGAGTTTTGTTGTCGTCGATGGATCTCCATCTTCCTCTCCTGTGAGCCAGTAGAGTGATCCGTTTGCAAAAACTGCCCTTTGATCAATCAAGATGTGATGATGATCAAGAGGATTAGTATTCACGAATCTCCATTTTTTTTCCTCTTGAAACCAAAGAAAAATATAAAGTCTCAAAAACTATGTAGTATGTATTATCAAAAATTCAAAATCATCCCAAAACCAAAACCGTGAAAGAGTCAGAAAGTTA